AACTTGAAAATTTACAATTATATGGATATTAAACAACACACTCTTAAACAATCAATGGGTCAGAAAAAGAAATCAGTAAGGAAATCAGAAAATATTTTGAGATGAATGAAAATGAAAAACACAACATACCAAAACTTATAAGATGAAGCAAAAGTAGTACTCAGAGGGAAATTTATAGTTATAAATGCCTATGTTAAAAAGAAACAAGATGCCAACTCAACAACCTTGCTTTTTAAATTATGAAACTAGATAAGGAGCAAAATAACGCAAGGCCAGCAGAAAGAAGGAAAAGAAATATAAAGATTATCGCAGAGATAAATAAAAAACAACAGAGAAAATCAATAAAATCAAAAGTCTTAAAAGATCAACAAAATTAACAAACCGTTAGCTAGACTAAGAAAAAGGGGCAGATGATACAAATAACTAAAATCAAAAATGAAGGAGCAGACATTAGTACCAACCTCATAATAATTAAAAGGATTCTAAGTGAGTACCACAAATAATAGTTCACCAAACAAGATAATCAATTTATGTAATTCCTAGAATCACATAAATTACCAAAATCAACAAGAAGAAACAGAATTATCAACAGATCCGTAACAATAAGAGATTGAATCATTAATAAAACACTTTCTAAAAAAGAAAATTTCCAGACCAAATAGCTTCACTGGCGAATTCTAAACACATTTAAAGAAGAAATACTGGTCCTACTTAAACTCTTCCAAAAAAATAGAGGATGAACAATTCCAAACACAATCTAAGAGGGCAGCCTAAGCCATTATCAAAACCAGCAAGACAGCACAACAAAAGAAAGCTATCGACCAATATCCCTTATGAATTTAGATACAAAATGTACAACAAAATATTGCTAAATCCAACAATACATTAAAAGGATTATACACCATGACCAAGTGGGATTTACCTTACAAATGCATGGGTGGTTTAACATCCCATCCATTTATTATACTACACCAATAGGAATGAAAGGAAAAAAAATCATCATATCAATCAATGAAGAAAAAATATATGACAAAATTCAACACCCTTTCATGATAAAAAACACCCAATAAACTAAGAAGAAAAAAAATTCCTTAATATGATAAAGGGCATTTATGAAAAACCCACAACTAGCCTCAGACTCAGCAGTGAAAGGTCAAAAGCTTTCCTCCTGAGATCAGGAACAGGATAAGGATATCTGCTTTCTCAAAACACTGCTATTCAACACTGAACTGGAAGTCCTACCCACACCCATTAAGCAGGAGAAAGGAATAAGAGCATTCCAAATTGGACAGGAAGAAGGAAAACTATCTCTATTTGCAGATAACACAACTGCATATACAGAAACTCTCATAGAATCCATGAAATGAATGCCTAGAATTAATAAACAAATTCAACAAAGTTGCAAGGTACAAGATTAACACAAAATTATCAATTTTGTTTCTATATACCAGCAATGAACAACCTGAAAAGGAAGTTAAAATAATTCCATTTATAATAGCATCCAAAAGGATAAAATACCTAGGGATACATTTAAACATGAGAGTGAAAACACTTGTGCATTGAAAACTAAAATACATTGTCAAAAGAAATGAAAGACATGAATAAATTAAAAAAAACAAACCCATGTTTACTTAACGCTGTTAGAATGGCAACAATCCAGGAAGTGATCTACAGATTTAGTAAAATCTGTTACCTTTATTGCATAAAAGAAAGCTGTGCATCAAATTCACATGGAATTGCAAGGGGCCCTGAATAGCTAAACAATATTGAAAAAGAAAACACAGTTGGTGGACTCCTACTTCCCCATTTCAAAACTTACCACAAAGCAATAATAAACATAAGTGCGGGACAGACATAAGGATAACCATGAAGAGCAATGGAACAGAATTACAGTCCAGAAATAAACACACACCTGTACAGACAATTGATTTTTTTGTTTTTCTTTTTTAATTTTATTTTATAGAGAAAGGAATGGAGGGAGAGAAAGAGGGAGGGAAACATCTATGTGAGAAAGAAACATGGACTGGTCGCCTTCTGCAGGTGCCCCAACCAGGGATGGAGCATGGAGCCCAAAACCTAGGCACGTGCTCTCATCAGAAATCAAACTGGCGACCTTTCAATTTGTAGGATGACACCTAACCAACTAAGCCATGCAAGCCAGGGCCAGCCAGCTGATTTTTTTAAAAATTTGTATTCACTGATTTGAGAGAGAGAGAGAGAGAGAGAGAGAGAGAGAGAGAGAGAGAGAGAGGAAGGGGTGGAGGAAGAGACAGAGAGACATCGCTTCGTTGTTTAACTTATCTATGCACTCATTGGTTGATTCTTGTATGTGCCCTGACTGGGGGTTGAAATACTGGTCCACCTTAAATAGAAATACCTGAAGAAGAAGATTCTGCAACCTGGGCCTATCAGCAAGACACTCTAACCAACTGAGCTACCCTGCCAGGACTCAGAATATTGACAAAAATGCCGTGACCGCTGAACAGGAAACAATTTTCTCTTCGACAAATGATGTTAGGACAACTGGATAACCACATGAAAAGAGGAAAGTTGGACCCCTGCCTTACTCTATATACAAACAGCTCAAAATGGATCAATGAACTAAATATGAGAGCTAATGCTATAAAAGTATTATAAGAAAACATAAGGTAAATATTCCTGACCTCAGATTTGGCAATAAATTTTACATGACACCAAAAACACAAGCAACAACAACAAGAAAAAAGTGTGAGAAGACAACCTGGAGGATGGCACAGAATACCTGCAAATCATATATGTGACATGGTTTAACATCTGGAGTTGTAAGAATTCTTACAACTCAAAAACAGAGACACTCCAATTTAAAAAATGGGCAAAGGAGTGTTAGGACTATACTAGAAGCTAATAAAATTTAATGCATGTGGGACAGTGTCACAGGGAAGAACCGAGTTTTGTTTTATATCTTTTCATATTTGAAAAACGTTAAACCATGTGAACATATTACTTAATCAAAACTTAAAATCCGTTTCCAATGTTCTATTTATTTATTTAGCTAGGATATTACTATGACCAGTTTACTGAAGGATATTTTAATTGTATTTACATACCAGTAAAAGGCTTATACTGATAAAAGAATGTTACGGTATATGAAACTTGAGAAATTTTTAAAAAATCAAAATATTAATCCTTCAATCACAAGACCTTTTTAAATATATAAATTTAAATATTAAATAAAAGTAACCCAAAATCAAAGGATAAAGTGAAATAAAAGTTTTTTCCTTTTATGCACTGGCATTAGTTTCAAAGCAAACCAAGTTATACTTCATCATTTACCAATTTAATTTCAAGGGAATACAACTTTGGTATACTATAAATGGCAAATTTTCTGATTAAATAGAATAAAGCGCAAATAATTCAATAAACAAAAATGATCAATTCTTCATGAAATTATAAGTATATATTTTTAAATATAAAAAACTTTAAATCAGCCAGAAGAGTAAACATCATACCACAAATAAAATATGTATGTTTGTATATGTGTATGTATGTGTACGTATGTTTTTATATATATTTGTATATAATGTTTCTGATTACTGATGATGCATGTTTATAAATGCTTCATGCAGTACAATTAGGTTTTAGTTGTAGAGTTTTTATGATAAAAAATGGAAAAATTAAAATATAAAAAAGCTTATATTGCATCTCATAACAATTAGGTTTCTGTGAACTTTAAAGATTATATTAAGGAAACATAATAAAAGGAATGCAAACATTAATGCATTGCATGGATTATGTTACAAGCTGAAAAAGAAAAAGAAGCTCAAACAACATTCTGCCAGGCAGAACTGCAAAACAATCTGAAATTGGACACTGATCCTTCAAGACATAGAAAATTTTCCATACTTATTAATATCTCACAACTATATTTAAAAAATAGGAAAAATATAACCACCAGTAGGAAAAGTCATTTTTATCTTTTTTTAATTAAAAATACTTATAGGAATAAAAATTTTTAAAGCTCTACATATAACTTTTCTTGAAGATCAGTACAAATTTCTTGTGCTAAACAGATAAGGATAAGCTTCATATTGGTTTTGCCAATGCATTGTGTACCTATCATACTGTAGGTCCCATGAATTTTGATTGAAATCAGTGGTAAATATTGAAAAGATAACAAAAGAAACTTATATGGTACATTCTAAAATATTCCTAACCCGTTTTTTATAAAAAATTTTATAAACTGGAAGTTGATTTTATAAACTTAAAATAATTCAAATAATTAAATTTGTTTGCAAGTAAATCATCCATTGTCATTTAAATGAGGTTACAAATAACTTTTCATTAATCTTTTATTGGCTAAATATAACTATAAAGATAACATTCTACTGTACTTAGGCTCCTAAGATAGTCTGGTGTACTAAACTATATTTGCTCCTGTATTTTGGGTATTTAAAGCATATGTCAATAACAGGTTAACTACAAGAAAAACAAAACAGGTACTCTCAAAAGTTATTTTAATAAATATTATAACTATCCTATTATCATAAGACAAGTGTGGTTATTGCCAAACAAATATAATAAAACTAACATTATAACAGTTACTCTAAGTACATTTAAGAGTTATATATTTAGTCCCTGTTAATTTTCAATACAGACTGTCTATTTCTGTAGGCATATCAAGCATATCTTATCAAGAGCAGAGATAAATTAGTTAACTAGTAACGCAAAAAAACGGACAGTGTTCATGGCACATAAATGGACCTACAGTAATAGTTAGGGTAGCAGAAGCTAATGATGCTTTAAGCAAAATTGAAACGACATGAATACCATGCAGTTTTACTGAACTCACCTGACAGAGGTGTAAAACCATTCTCTAGGAGCAGAGATGCATGCACAAAAGTAAGAATATGATTGCAAGTAATAGACTTTAACAAAATAAAAACATAACACTAAACTTTAAAATGACAAAGAATGGACAACATGATGAGATTACTACGATGAAATACTTCTCTGGGTCTCACCTCTCTCTTTGCTAACAGCACGTTAGGAACAATGTGTGGCAGGCAGCGTCCCAGCATTAACATGACGCTCTTCTCACTGTCTGCAATCCGAGACACCTAGGAAACACAAATGATGACAGTGGAGAACTTCTGTGCATGATGGTACTTCAAGCTCATGCTTCAAATTCTGCTGCCTCTGCTCCAAACACACATCCACAATTACAACTCACGATAATGATGACGGTAACAACAATAACAACTGTGTTCCCAAACAAGGTAAACATTTCTGTCGGGCAAAAATGGATTAAAAACCAGGAAGAAGCAAGGATTAAGACAGGGAGGACTATTGTGCTCCAGCTCTAGGAACGAGAAAGGATAATATAAGACCTGGGCAGCTTCAGTAGTTTTTCTTTTGACCTTGAAGAGATGCCCACAAAGCTACAATCTTTGCCTAAGGAGTCTGTATAATGAAGCTGCAGGCAAGGGGAGGCCCAAGGAGGCTGACCTGGTCTTCCGATGAAGAGTGCCCGAACGGCATCCAAACCCCCTCTAGCTCTCTTATATGTATTCTTAATGATGCTGTGAGACAGCAGCCCAGCAAGTAGAATCAACCAGAACCCAGCTTGAAATGGAGGGGTAAATATAAAGATAGGAGGAAAAAATAAAATACCCTCTCAGGGTGAGTCTGCAAGAACAATAACGAAGCACTTGAGGAAAGCATATCTGAGAGCAACTGAAGACAACTGTTCTTGATGAAATCAAAATAATGGAGTAATCTAAAAATAACTGAAATATAAACAATATGTACTTAATTGGTTTTCTGAATTATACCAATGAAAGGTATATAACCATGTTAGCAGACATAATAAAAAATAGAGTGCAAAAAGTCACTTTAATATTAAACAAACCTTTAATCCAAAGATAAGAAATAATCAACTACCTTTCTTCAAAGTTAAATATTTTAGGAACTATTTCTTAGAGCATTATTTTAAAAAACAGATTTGGATTTAAAAATAGTCTTATCACAGCTGTTTTTAGATGAGATGCTAAATACCACCCCCCCCCCCCCCCCCAAGAAACCCTGAATGTTTTAAGAAAGTTGCAAGAACATCTGGTGTTATTTACCTCTGATCCTAAACGACTATCTGCTGACATTCGACAAAAAGAGAGTAGTGCTTGGTGGAAAGCAGGAGATAATTTCCTAGAAGAAAATGGCAATACCAAAGAGTTACCACTGGTATTTAAGGAGAAAGCAAATTACATGTTGTAATTCCATTCCTGCATTGATACTGCCCCACAAGTGTTAACTGGATTTCTCAGCCACCAATAACTTGAAGAATACCTCCCTGCAGAATTTTCCGGGGGTAAAAATCAGCAATAATTGCTGATCTTAAAAATAGCTTGAGGGTATGTGAATGAACAGGCAGTAAATGCTAATGGATTAAACCTGAAGTAAGAGAGCAGGTCAATGACTACAGATAGAAAGTACCTGCAAAATGTGAACGAGAACTTTTTTCTCTCTAGTTCTCTATGGTCCCAGAAGGGTAAACAATGGATACAAAGGTTGAGCTGGTAAGTGGCTGACGGAAATGAAAGTTTTGCATATCTATATAATAATGATAATGATAAACCTTAATGTTAGAGATCAACACAAAAGAAGTAAAAGGTAAGGTAAGCGATGGGAAAGCTCATTCAACATTCATGGTCTATTTAAAAGTATTTTTTGTAATTACAAATATTAGCCTATTTATGTTTCTAAAACAACACTGGTCTCTCTATGTAGTAGTATTTGTGAAATTATAAATATGACTTGTACTTGACGTGCTCAATCTACAAAGAAAACGGCCAACACCAAAAATTTCAGGAAACAGCGCTCAGTAATTTGTATGGTTATAGAGGTAGAGCACCACGCCCAGGCCCGAGCTTCTTTGCTCGGTTACGTTCCTCCTCCTCCTCCGCTGGTATTCTTTCAGCAGAGGGGCCACCATAATCCACCCAACTGCCCAAGCCAGAAGCTTCAAATCAGCCTTTATACTTTCCTTTCTTTTCACCCCAAATTAAATCAATCTTTACCTTGTAACTGCTTTGCAAACCTATCTACTTCCTTCCAGTGCAGGACAGGCCTCAATCATTTTTCACTCGGATTTTTCCCACAGATGCTCCCTTGGTCTCCTTCCCCACGCCTTGCTCCCCTCCAGTTACCTCTGCCTAGAGCACTCTTCCTAAAACCGAGACTCCGTGGCATCCTAACTCTCGAAGACGAGACTCCGTGGCATCCTAACTCTCTAAGACGAGTTAGCGTGGCTTCTATGACTTAGCCTTTGCTTAATTCTGTGACTTCATCTCCTGTTGTTCTTCCCACTTGCACTCTTTCTGAAACCTTACTAAATTCTTAGCTCCCCATATGCACCGGCTTCTTGCATATGCTGCTCTCCCCTGGTGGGAACACTCTCGCTCTTTCCTCTTTGCCTGGTTACCTTGTCCTACTTGTCAGGCCTCAGGATGCACAACAGTTCTTCCCTGAAACCTTTCCTGTTGATGACTAGTTTAGGTGCACTGACTGTGTGTTCCCAAAAGAAGTTGAACTTCTCTTGTATTACCTTCTTTCATACTTTAGTATAATTGTCTGATTGCCAGTGTCTCTCATATTGTAAGGTTTTTGACTGAGGGGTTTCCATATATTTTGCTTACCATTATATTCCTTGTCAACACTGTCTGGCACATAGTTAAGAACTAAAACAATCAGTTGAACAAACTTAACAATCATCTTTCTCTAAAGAGTGGCTTTTGACTATTAAAGGAAATATATGGAAGTACTACGAACACTAAAGAACTACTGTACTACAAATGCCATTATTGTTGAATATCAGAACATAGATTTCTTTTATCTCCATACCTTATCCATATTAAAATAAATGCTCTATTTCAACTATGTAAGCACCACAATACCTAAAGAAAAAATATACCTAGTAGGTACAAAAAAATTGTGGTTCATGAATGGAAAGCTCTGCTTAAAAACAAACCAGACACTTCTCACTGACAATGAGTACCTTTAAGTTGCGTTTTCCTATTATATCCTAACACTATCCCTCTGTTTAGGAGGAGGAAGCACGACTTTGTGGTTCACGAGGCAGCATAGCGTATTTGTAAGGATTAAATAAGTTAGTATACATGAAACACTTAGAACTGTGCCTGATGGATTAGAAAAGGTTCCTTAAAATTTTTTTTCGCATTACAATCTGAACAATTTTTAAATTACACAGTCTCCTTCGCTAGAAACCATGATCATGAAGTGTTGGGGCCATGGTTTTGCCATCTGAGTTCAATCAATGCGAGGTATTAAAAATTAAATAAATGAATTGAAAACTATTAATGATGCATTATTACTAATGGAAGCAGACACAGGAAAAAGAACTAGGAGCAAAAACTACTCCCTCTTTATCACAGGCAACTACGCACTACCAAAACCTCTTCTGAGTCTGACAACTGAGGTCAAGTGAAAAGGTGAAAAGGTAAAAAGCACGGGGTGAAAGGGTTTGCAGTACATAGTAACATACATGTTATTTATGGGTTTAAGTATTTGGCTAAGACTGGAGCTACCCCATTTACAGTTTCTGTCTCTTTAATGTAATTCAGCTTAGTGGTTAGATCGTGATATCCATTTTTGTGACATGTACTTTGCTATGTGTTAATACCAATGTAAAAAATTAAGGCACCTGATCTGCAAAAGCAGTTCAGATAAGAACTGAAGCTCTTCTGATTTGGCAATGTACTAAATAGCTGAAAGACACATTTCAAGATACAGGAGGCACACTTACCTATTGGGTTTATCAAAATGGACTGTGTTGTTACTTGATGGAGAAGAAGATGGTATTCCTTCTCTTTCTCTCCTGGGTAAAGAGTTTGGGAAATTCTCTTTAGGGACAGTGGAATCAGCTTCATCTGGTTTTGAAAGATGGATATCCTTGTTTTTTCCCTCGTCTGAGCTATTTATAACTGGTTTCTGTCCACTGTCCTCAGAGTCTTTGCGAAGAGACTGATCCAAAGAAGGTTGAACAGAGTCAGAAATAACTGGAATAGCAAAGTGTTCATTTTTGAGAAAGTCCATTTCACTGTAGAAAGAAAGAGATGTTATCAGACAACAATTGTACTTTAAAGAACTTAGGCAATAGCATAAACCTCATAATGGGTTTAATTTCTTAAAAGTGTAACATAATAGAAACTGGTTTGGCACTGATTAATCTTTTCTGTAGTACATATACTGATGCTTCATATACCTAAAAGCTACAGACCTTTACCAAAGAAGCATAAAAATGGCCTTAGAAAATGCTCTGGATTAACACTTAACTTTGTTTCTTTATTTGTAAAATAGGGATAATTCCACCAAACCAGAGGATTATTGTAAGAATTAAATGAAATAATGAATTAGAAATGTGTATAACACTAATGTGAAGGAGTTATTTTATTGATATTGACAGAACTCAAGAGAAGTAAAAAATATCTTATTCTTTGGTTCCAAGACATAATTGATTATTAGGAGGTTACTACATCAGTTTAATAACTTTTTTGGGAGTAGGGGGGTCAGGACATACTAAATATATAAAACAATTACATGACTTTCAGAAGTATTACAATATTAAAAATGTCTGACAACTAAAATGTTCTTTTTTATATTTATATAATCTCATATGATAAAATTAATGTTTTTTAGAAATGATGAAGTACTAACCTTTCAAGTCTTCTGATTTGTTCCATCAAAGACCATTTCTCACTATTTAACAAACTAATTTTATCTTCTAATTTCTGTACAAGCAAAGAGTTCTAAAAAAAAATGGGAGGAAAAAAAAAGAAACTCAAGATCTCATAGTATGCTTCTATGTATTGTAAATACGTTTTGTGGACTTGAATAGTTACCGTCGCTCACCTCTACAGCATGAGGAGTTTCAGGGGTTGAAGGGAGGTTGCCTAAAACTGGCGTGAGGGCCTCTAATTCATCTTCTTCTACTCCACTGGCCACATCCACAAGGTCTTTTCCAGCCACTTGATGGTTTCCAAAATCTCGGTAGAGTTGCAATAAATCTGGAGGTTTTGGAATGTTTAATCCTACATCATCCCATAGTTCAAAATCCTAAATAATAATAATAATAGTAAAAGTAATAATAATTTTAAAATGTCTGAGGCAATTTCATTCTACACTTTTGAGGTTTATTTTACTCTTCATTGCTAATGTCTTAAAAACTGAACATCATAATTTTGTTATGTTACAAAGAGCTTTATAAAGTTCCAGAGTAATCAATGATATGCAAATACAGTGTCCATTCTCTTGTCCTTTAATAGATCAAAATTTAGTATTAACTTAATGTCTTATACCTCAGTTATAATTTACATTCATTTGAAAGTTCTAAATGTGATACTCTCAATCCTTTGAGGTTTATGAATAATGGGAATAGCTATTATTGAGGGTTAAATGTGAGACAGATATGATAGGTATTAAAAATGGGAGCTTTGGAGAAAATCAGACCCAAGTATAAAATTCATATCTGTCTCCATTTATTATTATTGTTATAAATTCATTTGAAACTTGAACAAGTTATCTGTAAGATGGGTATAATACTTATCTCTTAGGGTTTTATCAAGGATAAAAGATATTTTATGGCTATAACACAGAGCTTGGCTTACAAGTACTAAACAAATTTAATCTTTTAAAAATCTATGAAATGACTATTACACTACTATTCAAATGTCCATTTATCTATCTATATTCACTATTTATTAGATATCCACCCTTTCCTTAGACCAAAGGAAAAAATATTGTCACCATTCAGGGAATTTGACAAAGAGTAGGAACATAAAGACAGAAGTAGAATCTACAGTATCACACATATTATGACTGGAGAACTGTCCATAATTCAGAGAAAGAAGTCCGTTTCTGTCTGGAGGTGAGGGTGAGGAAAGGTTTCCGGAAGTTGATGACCTGCGCACTTTCTTGGAAAAGGAGGAGGTATTTATGCAGCAGATGGCAATGAAAGCTTAGGGGAACTAATTACCGCAGGAGCAAGGGGAGAATGAGCAAAGATACAAAGCTCCAAAGGAACCAAAAATGTTCAGGGAGATGTAAGCCCTTCTGTTTATGTATGATTATAATGAACAGACAAAGGTAATGTGAAGAGGAAGGTAGAAAATAAGAGAAAGAGAAAGCTGAGAGTGTTTAAAATTTTAGGACTGATAAGGAAGAAAAAGTGGAAGGCAGCAGAGATGACTGCTGTGAAAAACCGGGAGAGCGGAGGGAAGTGGATAATGAGGTGTAAACACAGACGCAGTGGGAGCAAGAGACAAGGTGCAGAATGTGGTGGCGGCGGCACAGGCAATTCCCTGCAGCTGGGGACATAGCGATGTTGCTAGGAGCTGGGGAGCATCTGGTATTAGACTGGGAAATGCGCCCTCATCTACTTGGAAAATACAGGAAACAGGGTCCTCAGTGAACAGACAGGTTGTATTTAGGGCAAAAAAGATATACTGAAGAGAAGCTGGGAAAGATACTGAGTTTATTTATGATTAAATAAAAGTTTCAAATAGCATGAGAGAGACAGGATATTCATAAAAGAAAAGAGCTGGCAGGAGGGAAGCAAAGAGCAGTATGACAATGAAGGTACACAAAGTATGAAAAAACTACCGACAAATATTTATTGTTATATATGCAGATACAGATGAAGAGGACATTATTTTAGCCCTGGCTGGGGTAGCTTAGTTGGCGAGAGCATTGTCCTGACAGTCCGAGATTGTGAGTCTGATCTGCGCAGGCCACATACAAAAATCAACCAATGAATGTGTAGATGATTGGAACAACACATCGATGTCTCTCTCTCTAATAAATAAGTAAAAATTTAAAAGAAAAAAAGAGATTAATTTAGCTTCGAGGAGCTTATAGCCTAGTCAGGGAGACAAGAGATAATCCCAGGTATCAGTAAAGTGCCATTAAGAGGATAGAATGTGGCAATGTGATAGAAAATAGAATAGGGTGAAAAGTCTTAAAATTTGGCCAGGGTCTGAACATGAGAGGAGAATGAAGAAGGTGAACTTGCTCATTAACAGTTTTCAAGGAGCCCTTTGCAACTCCCTCTTACTCCTCACACCTGCCTTGTTTCCAGGCAAACAGTGTTCTGTTTTCCTTACATTTCTTAGAATTTTATGTAAATGGAATCATACAGTAAGCACTCTGTTGTTTTCTTTCATTCAGATTAATTATTTTCAGATTGATCCATGTTGTATCAGGAGTTCACTCCTTTTTATTGCTGAGTAGTATCCACTGTAAGGATATAAGAATTTTTTATCCAATCACCTGCTCTTAGATATTTGGGTTGTTCCCCAGATTTTTTGCAATTATAAATAAAGCTGCTATTAATATTGTATAGGAACCTTTGTACAAACATTGCTCTTGGATTGTAATACCTAGGAACAATCAGTTCATACAGGTGGTGAAAGTTTTAACTTTTTAAAGAAACTGCCAAAGTGTGTTTCAACATAACTGTACCATTTGCATTCCCACTAATAATGAGATTTCCAGTTGCTTAACATCCTTGCCAAGATTTGATACAGTCTTAGGAATGCTAATTAGGGTGTCATCGTATCTCATTACGATGCAATTTACATTTCCCTAATGATTAAAGGTTGTATTTGCAATCCATACAGGTTCTTTGTTGAAGCATCTGTTTAAATCTTTTGTCCATTCGTTTAAAAATTGGGTTGTTTTCTTATTGAGTTTACAGAGTTCCTTATATATTCTAGATATAAGTCCTTTATCAGATATGTTACTTGCAAATACTTCACCCAATCTATGGCTTATCTTTTCATTTGTTTCAGAGTGGCTTTCAAAGAGCAGATGTTATTAATTTCGATGAGAACAAATTTGTTGAAAAACACCATGGTTTTGGTGTCATATCTAAGGAATCTTTGTCTACCTTCCCAGGTTGCAATAAGTTTTTCCTCTTCTAGAAGTCTTACAGCTTTAGAATTTACATTTAAATCTATGATCCATTTGAATTAATTTGTGAGGTATGGTTTGAAGTTCATTTTTGGGGGGCAGATAAATATCAAAGTGTTTTGGCACCACTTGTTAAAAATACCATGCTTTCTGCATTGAATTTACTTTGTATTTTGTCAGAAATGAAAAGGTCATCTAATGTAAGTCAATCTCTTCGCTCTCTCTTATGTTCCATTGATCTATTTGTCTATCTTTATGCCAATAACAATGTCTTGACTATAATATCTTGAAGTCAGGTAAATCTCCTTCAATACTTTACATACTGTTGGATTTGATACGGCAAAATGTTATGTAGACTTGTTGTATAATGTTACGTAGAAATGTTATGTAGAGTAACTGAGGAAGTAACTGAATTGCTATCTGCCTTTGAGAATGTCTATTTTTGTTAAGCTACCCACAGGATATTTCATACACCAATGGAATAAACCTGATTTAAAATGATGGCCTCCTGATTTCTACATAATAAATTCTTTGGTACTTACTTTCCTAAGGTGTGAGATTCAAATTAATCTAAGCACTAAGAAGTCAAAATATTACAGAGTTCAGAGATAACACTAAAACAAGCATCATTTCTTTGCTTAAAAGATTTTATCAAAAAATATTGTGGTACTTTTACACAATGGAATACTACGTGGCAGAATCCTACCTTTTGTGACAGCATGGATGGAACTGGACACTATTATGCTAGTGAAAAAAGCCAGTTGGTAAAAGACAAATACCATGTGGTCTCACTTTATAAGAGGAATCTAATGAACAATATAAATCAATGAGCAAAACAGAAACAGAGACAGGGAACCATGGAACAGACTGAGAGTGGCCAGAGGGGAGGCAGAAAGGGGATAATTGTGAAAATAAGGGGAAGGGTCTAGTTCAAGAACATGCACGAATGACCCACAGAAATGGACAACAGCGTCGGGATTGATTGTGGGAGCCGGTGGTTAGCTGGGTGGTAGAGGGCAAAGCAGGAAAATTGGGACAACTGTAATAGAACAACAATTAAAAAAGATTTTATCAGGAAAATAATGAGACTCTAAAATTGGCTGATATTCAAACATACTACTTATATTCATACTCTTGTTAAAAATATTCTTGCACTGGCTATTATTTATCATCCTAATTATTATAGTGCTTATGAAGAGGTTTTTATAAGTATACATTAACCTATACTACCAAGTATATTTAAAGGAAAAAAACCCAGCACATTCTATAAATACTTGAAAGTGTGAGTAGATTATATAGTTACTAGGCAGTTGTAAAAAGCTACCTGGAAAGAATGAGAAGTCTTTATGTAAAAAGTAGAAATCTGTAAATCAATAGAATACTAGCCTGGGTAGGCAAGGAAATAAACTGTGTTTGGTAACTAGCATTGTAGGAGTTTAGTATATGTATAACTTAAAAAAATTAAAGAAATAAAATAAAAGAGAAAATAAGTACATTTTGAATTAAAAATTAAGTAAAGCACTGTTTAAAAAGTAACTGTACCTGATCATCATTTTCATCTGAAAAGGTTATTGATGTAAGCTTGTAGTTATTCTTCAATAAAAATTCATTGACTAAGAAGTTTAGAGCTCTCTTTTCAAGAGGTTTGATTGGCTCCTATAGGCAAAATAAGATAAAATACCGTAAGTTTTCCTCCTTCAGTACACATGCTACCAATTTATGTGGGAAATGCTTTTCTATCTGTCATTCACCTACCTGAATTTCAGGACTTGATTTGTAATTTTTTCGTTCCTGTAAAGGAACTTCATGTTCTGGTGGAAGAAAATATAAATAATATTTTACTATTTTACATTTGAAAATATCTCAGCTACTTCTACATTGTCAAAGAAGGAAAAGTCTCAAAAAAATTTTATGTATACCACCTGCAGCCTTTGTCAGGTTGGCTCGGAGGGCCTGAATGGTCTCCTTGGCTTTCCGTAGTTCAAACTCCAGGACTGGACAGGGATTTGGAATAAACACACACAGGCATCCAACCAAGAAAAGGGAAACAAAAATAAAAAAATAAAAAGCAAGGATGGGTATGAAAAAAAAATACAATTTGTATTGAAAACAGAAAGCATGCAATCTTTATGAAACTCGTGAACGCATGCAGCAGAGTTGATTTGCAAGCAAACTGGTGAATGTTTTCCATAGTTTTAGAATTCAGGGGATTATTGATAAAATGTTCTAGCTGTCTGACAAGGAACAGTTCTATTTAAAAATAAAATCTATGGCATACTCTCATCTAGGTAAATGAAAATATTAATAATCTGGGTGCTTCTCTTACACTCAGTCTAGGAAAGGAAACACAATGAAATGTTCTCAGGTAATATAGTTTTAGGGGAAAAGATAAAAATTAGATGAAGCCTAAGCAAATATACCTAAAATCTTACGATTAAAAAGTAAAAGGTATTTTTAAATGCATTATCTAAAATACTGTTATAAATCAATATACGAAAACGTTAGTGAATATTATCTCTTCATTAAGATGTTGAAGCAACATAGTTAAAATATTTACCAAATATGGGGAAGCCTATAAATTTTTCTACACACAAGCATATGTTTTTTACAAACAAGCATAGATATGTCAACTACATATCTTTTTAAAAAAGCTCCTAAGAGTTTATTTTAGGTTTCATTTTAAGCCAAAGGGTAGAAATAGTTTGTCTTTCAATTTCTAATTAAGATCATTCTAAAGCAAAAGATTGCATAAAATTCTAAAAGTGTAGTTAGCTACAGATACTAAAACTGTTTAGAATTTCAAAGTTTCTGGTAACTCTTCAAATAGGTATTTTTTTATGTTAAGAGGTATTAATGAAATGCAAAAGTTTCTCCTCGTACCAGAGTCTGATTATAAGATAAACATTAATACTGAGGAAACATTTTACTAAGCTTTTAAAAATGTTCCATCATGAGCAAGATTTAACTGTATGCATGCTAACTGGGAATTTTATTTGAAATATATGAACACCGCTCTAAGATATAAATAAAGTCATCTCAGTAAAGTAAACCTCTAGGAAAATTAAGTCATCTTTGTCACAACTAAATATTTTTAAAATTATAGTATTTAAATAGTTCTGTATGAAAGCTAGCAAATTTAAAATTTTTAATATGCACTTTTTTTCCTGACTGACTAAAAAACAGAAAAAAGATGGCAAATGAGATTCTATCAGAGACAACAAAGCTATAAAAATACATGGAAAAATTAGGATTCACTCAGTTTGCATATTTTCATTGAAAACTTAAGCTATAACTGAATCACATCTAGTAAATGAAGGCCAATTATTCTGATGCACAGAATCTCACTGCAACAACATGGAAGCACAACTAAAAATCAGATGACATGGATGTACTGTTTGGTTTTTGGTAGTCAGCAATGCTGATCTGCAAACATTTCTGTGCAACAAAGTTAAAATATTTTCCCTAAAACTTACACTTCTGGAAACTCTTAGAATGTGTGGTTAAAGTTAAACTGCACACATTTAGAGTGTAAAGTAAGTACAGAATAGGTTTACTTTTTTTTTTTTTTAATTTGAAACTCAAGGTAATTGAGGTTTAAAAATACTTAACCATATCTTAAATAAAATGAGTATACATATTATGCTTTCAGTATCACAGTTTACTAAGACATATTACAGAACAATTGCAGATCAGAAATGCCCTGCACCAGAGACAGAAATATGAAGAAAAAAAAGAAAAAAATGGTTAAAACAAACTGTGAAAAACTCAAATTCAACTGGTGCAAGTTTAGGTGATCAAGAGCAAAACACTGAATGATCAAGGCACAGAAAGCCAGAAAAACCCATGTCAGACGGCAAGAATTTAGATTTTTATGCACATCTACATACATATACACTGCCAAGTGTCATTAAAAGTTACCAATGTTTTGAAAAAGATAGTGCTTATCAAAATGAATTCACTCTGCTGCATGTTTCTTAATATACAATATAGACTTTAAAAGACAGAGGCATATCTTTAAAGCTATAGCATATCTCGATAAAGGCACAGTATGATCAAGTAACTGCAGTTACGTGAGAAGGTTTTACCAGAAAGGTCTGAACAGCTGTATTTACACATATATGAACTTGTCTCTTCTTTATTAAAAAATATTGGCTTAGAGCTCAAAATTAACTATTATGTAAAAAGATACACTCTACCAAACAACCTTCAAGAATTTTTAAAATATTATCATTCTTTATAAAAATGTTTGAGGATGCGTATGTCTTTAAAAAACACTGTAGGAAGTAACAGCCCATCTGCTCACGCTACTGTCACAACCTTCTCGAAGCCCCACACTGCTGAGTGCAATTTTGTTGGAACTAAAGTGATAACTGCGAAGATGTACGCATATTCCAGTAACACATATTACAATCTTACCAAAATATTAATAAGTCAGTATAAGCAGCTCCAGATTAGTTGAAACAGTTATTTCCCAACCCGGGTTGGATAACACTGGTATAACAATATCGGGGGTACCTGAGGGCTAAAGATCATGCTCTCATGACTTGGGAGATGTATAGCTGACTGTGCAAACACCCAAGATGAAACGTTCCATTTCAAAGCAGAAAAGAGGATCGATCCTTTGATGTCCTAGCTAAATAAACCACTAACAGTATCTTGAAACATTTGCTAGTCTTAGTTCATTTTAGCCCAAAACTCAAAAGATTATTTAGGAAGACTTTTTTCGTAACACGGATCAAGTCAAGTACTTTTCACTCCTGTTCCTGTTCACTATGGAAGAGGTCAAATCAGTAGGATGGAGTCAAGAACCCTGCCATCTCAGGGCAGACATAAAACTGTCTTCTTTCTAGTACTAGATTTTGCTTTTCTTCTGAATATCAAGTAATTTAACTTCATAGCAAAATACCACTTCCCCAGCTTTAATACTTATTTTATTATCCTATGAACATTTCTAGGAAAAGGAAAACTTCTCCTAAGACTATGAGTTAGGATAAAGATCTCTCCTAAAATAATATTAAAATCCCAAAATGGTACTATCAGCACCCCTCCTGGGTTTAGAGAGTTAAGACAAACATAGTACTATTAGGCATGACTTGGTAGACAGTGAGAAATAAATGAATGCAAGCAAGATGCAATCTCCACAGTTTGGAGATACTTAGTTTCCTACAGTCATCATAATGGGGAAAAAATAATCTTCCCCAAGGCTTAAAAGAAAAACAATTCTTTCCATTACTGCTACCCCTTCCCAGGGTCTCCTGTACAGATTCCCCTATCACTCATCTCAAAGCTGGTGTTTCTCAGGGTGTCACCCTTGGACCTTTCCTACTCTACGTGCTCCATGGGGGTGATGTCTATGGTTATGGTTTTTACTATCACAATCTCTGAAGACTCAGAAATCTTTAAACCATTTCCCCAAGATAAAGACCTACCTAATCACCACCTGCACATGCCCACTTGAATGCCTCCCAAGTTCTGAATTCAGTCATACCTAAATGAATTTCACCATCTTCCTCTCGAATCTGCTCTTCCTCCTCCCCCCTTCAGTCTCTCTCCATTAACAGTACCACTATCCACCCAGCTGACCCAACAGGAAACCTGGAGTGTTCTTTTCATCTGTCCCTTGTGCTTCCTCCCTCATTAACTAAATGTCCAAGCCATACTGATTCCAACCCCGAGTAACCCTCTAAATAACCATTCATCTCAGTTGTCTCTGCAACTATCCTAGTTCAGACCTTTATGACTTATATAGATTACAACAACCTACAACCGTATTAAAGGCTTGTTGCCTTTAAAGTCTTGTTGGAACATCTTTATTATTTTAAATCATACAAAACCATAAGATTCAAGTAAGGTTCAAAATAAGAAAAACAAAAGTAGCATACGAGGGGAGAAGTATATAATAAAAGACAAATGGGCTCCTTTAATCTGGTAAAGCTGGATATGCACGCTGCGGGCCAACAGTGGAGAACCAACCGAGAGGGCTACGAGGCTGCAGGCTGCTTCTTACCGGGGCAGGGCAGGTTTTCCCAACAGGCAAAAGTCCAAATGCTATTTCAGAATTTAACAATAATTCAGAGTAGACTATTTAAGCTTTGTAAAGGCTTCATATATCTATTTTGTTGATTGCTGTTCCCAGAACAACGTAATGCCTTGAATACAGAGTAAGCACTCAAATAGTTGTTGAATGAAACTAACAATACCTGATGCCATATTTAATAAATCTGAAATATTACCGATCTTACCACATTGATTGTCTTTCCTACCAAATGGCAGTTTTTGTAGCTCTCTAGATCCCAATGTAAAAGTTAGGGTGTGAACTAGAGCATACAGTAACAGGCAGAGATATGAGAACAAAGTCAGACACTCTGATGCTAAGAGATGGATCATGTGAACTGTAAGCAGATCCTTATTAACTGTTTCCAAAGTACTGAATAGTTATTTGCATTAGAAATATAGACCTGTTTCAGTAGACATTCTTTAAGGGCAAAAACTATCTATTTCATGTTTTTATATCCAGTGCATAATACAGTCCTAATACATTGCAGATGCTCAGAATGCCTAAAATAAATTAAAGAATTGCTTTTACACTATGAAGAAAACTTCGAAATAAGAGGTGCACAGAGCAGATGCTCAATAAACAGTTGTTCATTTACAGATCTTTTCCTTTTTGAAAGAACACCTATAGATACTTGAAAAAATGAGATTTTTAAATTTAGGGAAAAAATTATAAGAATGATGCTGAAAACAAATGTATCTACTGTCAGATAAACAATAATAGCTAATTAAAGGTTGGAGCACACCCTACATCTGCGTGATGGGCCAATGAACTCAAGACCTGTGTTATCTATAACCTCCTGTTGCCCAAGACTGGTATAGAAAAATAAAAAAGAGATGTTTGTTCTTTCTTTTTCAGAGAAGTTTACATGTGATCCAGTGACAGATGGCAGGATAATTACTTTTTTGGACTACTAGTCTTTTGATATAAGTTTTTAAGTTACTATCAATGGTTAGCAAAGAGTCAAAAATCTTTATGGAAATGGAATTGTGATTAATTAAAACTGTTTTGTAAAGTTTCACCCACATTTCATACACTTGATTTGATAACAAGCTACAGTACAAGTCTGAAAGCTATTCTCTGAAAATGTTTTTCTTCCCTCTTCCAATGAATGTGAAAGATAGCATTTATTTGTATATTGGCATCATAGAGTAACCAAAAGTTACTTTATGCCCCCACTGTTAGAGACTGAGTACAATCCTTAGATAAAAACTAAAAGGTAAGCCCCTGCCACAGCACACCAGGGAGCAGATGCCGCCCCAGGCCCTCCCGCTGAGAGCTGGCGCTTCATCACTGCACGGGCCCATCGACCACGGAAAACACCTCGTGGTCACTCCTGGCTCAACTGCCACCACCGAGAATGACGACGAAGATGACGACGGAGAACACTGACATCGCCCTCATGCCTGAGCTCCACACCCACCCCAAGGCCCCTACGGCAAGAACCTTTTGGGGAGCTCGACTTCCCTTTTCTGGTCAACTCCCGTGTGCACAAGCTCTTTTCAATACACTCCATCTGCTTGCAAAAAATATAACTAACTAACTAGCTAACTAAATACATACATACCTACATAAGTACATAAAAGGTGAAAACTATAATGTATTAAAAACATTTCATTCTTAGTTTCTTGGTCATGACATTTTCTTTTAAATCAATAATGTTTCCCCTAATTAGGAATACTAAAATACCTAATGAGAATGATGAGTATCTTACATTTGACTAAATCTAAAATTTAGATTTTCAAATGCAAAAAAGATAAGAAAGTAATTATATGGCCAATTTCTGTGTACAAGTTATTTTCTAATATAGTACCATTTAAACAATAACATAATATATAAAACTAGATAGATCTGGTTATTCTTTATAAACTAAAATGTCATGTATTGAATATTTAATATATAACAAAATATGTAGTATCTAATATTTACTATATAATCATATATAACATATGCTACTTAAAATGATATAATAGGATAAATTAGTCCTAAAGTTACTCAAATAACTTCCATTTGATTTGTGAATTTTTAGATATGACTGATGCGCTTTGCTGTTTTGAAACATTTGCCAGTTAATAATGCTTAGACAAATCGATTTGATATAGACAGCCACTCTTCCACTGACATCCCCATTCAAATGGCAGTGCTATGGCTTATACTGCTGACTCTTCTAAGCTCCTGTTGAACTGAAACCAATTACATCATTTTAACTTATATAATACTCTCTGAGGTTTTTAACACTCAATATCTTCATTCTCAAGCAATGATTAAAAATCATATACTGCAGTGCCATTTTTAATTAGGTCAAAGCCCATCCCTCATGCGAAGAGGCAGCATATGGTGCTCTGTGGCTGGGCCTCTACATTTGAATCCTGGTTCTGCCACGGAAGTCCCAAATAATCCCTCTGAGGGCCTCAGTTTCCTGGGGAGGAGGATGATAACATATAACATGCAGGACAGTGTTTAGAACGCACCAAGTGCTACGTAATAATCAGTACTCGCTGTCATTCAAAATGATCATGACAGGTAAACATTAGGTAGTTTTAACAAATTTGTGCCAGTAACTGGAAGAAAAAATTCAACAGGGATGGTCAAGAGAAGAATCTACATTACGGTTGTTCCCTGAATCCACAGGCTCTCTGTCCCATGTGGCGTCTCCCTTGTTCCAGTAGTGTGCTCCATTGTAGTAGAGATCAAAATACTTAACTGGTATCTCTCTGCTATCCCCATCTGCCTGAGCCTAATTAGGAACACTAAAACACCTAAATAATGTCCTATGGAACTTACGATTCCTACAAGGCACTCAAGAATGACTTCAATGAGAGAGCCACAGTCTTGAGGCACCAGAAAGGTATCAGACATTTGACACTTAAAGAGCCAGGGCTGCTATATGTAATTCCAGGGTGGATCCCCAGCAGAATACAACTGACAGAACATAGACACAAACTGGTCTTCTGAAGCCTCTACAGACCCAATGGTGATGCTCAGAAGGCAGAACTAGTGAGAGGCTGGGAAGCAGGAGGAGACTAGAATAAGTAACCAAGCAACCAGAAAGAATGTTTTACTGGAGGTCCCTCCTGTACCAAGCATTAACCCTTTCTTTTCTGGATCATAAGAAAGTCAGAAATTTCTGGAGAGATGCTGTGATGGTTAAGGGAATACCTGGGAAACTCAAGACAAAGTTTTATTGAACAAACATGAAAGTATTTCCAACAATTTTAATAGAGCTGCATTGGTATACAGCACCTGAAAATCAGCCCTGGTTTGGAGAATCAAAGGAATATGAAGGCCAAGGTCCAACTAACTTTGTACTAAACTCTGGCTAACTTATAGCTGTTTTATATCAGTTTTATAACTACATGGTTATAAAGTGCTGGCTATATGAACTCAGCAAATTGTACGTGTGCAAAGCCAGACACTCACAGCATTGCTGAAAGAGGATGGGGTTGAGATGTTCCCTGGAGCCAATAAATTAGTAAAATAATTGTGTATAATAACTATATAATTATATTAACATACCAAATTGTAGAAGAAAAAGAATTCCTCAAGTCATTTTATTATTTCTGCACTGTCAAAGAATCCAAATCTGTCTTTACAGTCTTACTCACCTGCTACTCTCTCATCTGTTTCCCTGTTACCATCATCTGAGTATCTTGCAAAGTCTAAAGAATCAAGAGTACTGATGCTCCCAGCTCTATCTGTAATAAAGAAAAAAATAAAAGAATTAACAGGTTTATCAAAATAGGTACTGGAAATCAATTTCTTATAATTATTTCCAGTTAATAAAACTATCATTGTAAGATCTAGGGATTCTATTAAAGCAATAAACTAAGATAAAAATGCTAACATCAATTAAAGTACTATAAAAAAATCTCAAGTTTCCCTGCCCAAATTTCTAGATAACTACTGAACAATGCATGCACAGTGCATATTGCAACCAGCCCATCTAAACACAAAGATACGAAGGAAGGGAGGGAGGGAGCGAGGGAGGGAAGGAAGGAAGGAAGGAAGGAAGGAAGGAAGGAAGGAAGGAAGGAAGGAAGGAAGGAAATAAAAATTTTGAGCTGCTGCCCAAAGGTCTGCAGACTGAGTCCAACAAAGTAATTTCTTACTAAAAAAAATTAAGTTTGAAAACACACAACATAATCCTGTCTGCACAACAATAACACACACAATGTCCACCATAGAGTCCAAAATTACTTGATATACAAGAACTAGTAAAGTGTGACCCAGTTTCAAGAGAAAATACTATCAACAGAGACCAATCCCAAAATAACCTTGATATTAGAATTAGTAGACTAACATTTGAAAATAACTATTATAATCATGCTCAGTGAAGTAACAATACATGTGCACAAAGAACAAAAGCAGAGGAAATCTTAGGAGAAAAAAAGAGACTATAAAAAAATGTCAGTGGAGATTCTAGAACTGAAAAATGTGTCATTAGGCAATTTCATCCTGTGCAAACATCGCAGAGCACATTTATGCAAACCTAGATGGTAACTGCTCCCAGGTTACAACCCTGTACAGCAGGTTTGTGTACAAAATCAAGCACAAGAAAAAACGATCGAAAGACATAGCGAACACAAGCTGTATGAGGCTGCTGCTAGTGTAACATGGCATACAGTTTTACAGCAAAGTTTTTTCATAAGTACAGAGAGTATACTTTAAAATAATGATAAGTATAGTAAAATACATAGACTAGTAACATAATCACTTATCATTATCAGATATCACATACTATACATAATTGCACATACTATACTTCTGTATGACTGGCAGTACAGTAGGTTTGTTTATACCAGCAGCATCAGAAACACATGAATAATAAGCTTCTGCATTATAATGGCTATGAATTCTGCAAGTATTGGGTCATCATTATAAAAATCTATTGTTTTACTATATAGGAAATTTTAAAAATAGATTCAAATATTCAAATTAGAAAAAGACTTACTAATCTTCACTTAATATTTGAACATACTTAATACCCTATTGCTATTTGTCAGGTACCATTTTAATTAAGTGCAGAGGATTCTGGGTCAGCAAGACTGAGAAGGTCCCCTTTCTTAGAGAATAGATTAGTGAGACAGAGCAATAATTAAGTAAAATTAGATAATGATCAAAATGGTATAAAGAAACTAAAAAAAGACAAAACCAGAAGAGCAAGGAATTGCAGTAGGGCGTGCAATATCAGTGTGCTCAGGAAAAGCCCTTCTGGAAAAGGTGAGGTCAGAATGAGGTAAAAGAGTTTCAGGCAAACCAGAGCCAGGTACAACACAGGCCACTGTAAACAAATTGAAAACCATTGCAAACAGTTTGAATCTTATTCCAAGTCTAATGGGAAACAACAAAAACACACACGGTTTCACAAAATCATTTAGCTGCTGTAAGAAAAGCGTTTTGTAGAGAATCTAGTTAAGAGACTATTAGAGTCATGCAGGTGAGAGCTGATCAGATTGGGACTGCAACAGCGGCAGCGGGACTCTGAGACGTGGTCCAACCTGGGTTATTTTTTTATGTAGAACATGTCCTGGTAAAGAAATGGAAGTGGGTTTAAATGAAACAGGCTACAAAAATGATTCCTGAAGACTTCGCTTACTGAATTTGTGTCATGGGATATAAAGGGTGAACAGAGAGGCTTCAGAGGTCCTGCTGTGTTTTGAGTGCAAGGTGGTGAAGGGGAGGGCCCTTAGCTTTGCCAGACTGTCCCTAAACAGAAAACGCTGTGTAAACGTTCTCGCTCACATAAAGAAATTGAGCTGATACTTATTAAGATTGCATATCTAATAAATACAAAAAAAAGGACAAATTAGAGGCAAGGTCAACTCATTGAACACTGTTACTTTACATAGTACTTAGTGTTTACATATTGATCTAAGGAAATAGATTACTTATGTTCAGAAAGCACAATCCTGTCAAATGAATGCAAATTACAGAAACAAAGATTTGGCTCCCCCACATCCTTTTAAAATAATTAGTATGTGCCAAAAATCAAAATGGTTAAATTTTCAGATAGAGCCATGTCATTATCAATGTGAACTACCTATTTTTAGAGAAGGGCAAGGGAGAGAGAAAGAGGGAGAGAAACATCGACTGATATGCCCCCAGCTGGGAACCTGGCTAGCAAGCCAGGCTGGTGCCCCTACCAGGGCTTGAACTGGTGACCTTTTGGTCTGCAGGACTACACCCACCCCACTGAGCCACACCAGTCAGGGATGTATGACTTCTCTTTAAATCCTTGTTAAGTTGAACTAAGGGAAGTTCTGTATATTGAGCTCTTCTTTTAAGACACTTTCTATCCAGAAGCATTTAATTTCCCTGCAGTTCTACTACATCTGATAAATAATAACTTGATACTAAGTTTTAAGGCAACATAAATAATAATTATAATGACAGAAAACCAAGTATTACAGTATCATTCATTACACCATAATGTCTTTTAAACTTAAAAAATATCAAATAACAGTCACCACGAAAGTCTCAGAAGTTCACATTAAAAATGCACTGAACTCAGGAAATGGGTTGAACTTGGGAACGCTACTCAGCAATTAAAAAAAAAAAACCTGAAACAGGCAACAACAGGAGTAAATCTCAAAGTGTTATGCTGAATAAAAGAAGACTTACGCAAGAATATATTCTATATATGTTCATTTACATGAAGTTTTAGAACAGATAATAGTAATTTATAATAGAAAAAAATCATAATAATCACACTCTTGGAGTGTGGGGTGGGAAAGGGTGGGAACTGACTAAATGGGAAGGAGCACAGGGGGACTTTCTAAAGGGACAGTAACGCCCTATACATTGACTGGAATGTGGCTTATCACAGCTGTATCCATTTGTCAAAACTCACCAAATGTACACTTAAGACATACATTGGCTTTAAATGTTACCTTAAGAGAAAAGAGTCCTAAATACTGAGGAATGTGTACTGACATTTGCAACTTAATTTGAAATATACTAAAAAAATAAGATGAGTTTTTGGATAGATACAGGACTGGAGAGGTATACAGACAGGAGATAAAGCAAGTACAGTAAAATGTCAATTGCAGAATCTAGATGTGGATATATGGGTGTAAACATTCAACTATTAAGTTTTAAAATTGTCAAAATGCTGAGAGAAAAATTTGGATGTAGAGAGGGAAAAAAGTTAAAACACTGATCAGGATCTATTGATTCCTAGAATTTAATAATTAAAGTTATAATACTGGAAAATAACTATTACTTCTTATTGTCATGAACAATAATAAAAAAAAATTGTGTGTTTATTCTCCCCATTGTTTGAAACTGAATCAGAGCTAGACAATGAGTAACAAAAAGAAAGGAAATAAATTTCAAAATATAGTAGGTAAACTTTATAAGGCTTTTTATTTATACATCTTTTAAATAGGTGAAAATGTAAAATGACAGACTGGAATAAACCACCGGCCTATAAATATACCTGTCTAGTTAATAACTAATATGATCTATTGTAAAATGGAGTACCTAGATTACTACATAGTAACTAAAATGTTCAGCTCTTCCAAAATAAGTTAATCTAACTACTGATCTCCAATGTTTTCTCCACACCATGAATGAGCTTTTCCCTCTAATGAAATAAATACAAATATTATAAATAATTATAAAAATAAAGGTGCATAGAAAACTAGATAACTATCCCAATCTCACTAAAACTGGGGATAAGGTCATAGATCATTAGTTTTCATTAAAAGATATCATTAAAACAATTTTTAGATAGTCTTTCTTGAACTCTTTTTTGCCATGTCTAAGTATGTATAGTCTTCTAAAAAGAGAATACATATAATTTGTATCTTGTTTTTTAAACATAAAGCATATAAACAGTAAAAATTTGCCGTATCATTAAGGCTACTAATACATATTTCTCAAACTGCTTTCCAAAATACATAGCAATCTGAGTTCCATCAGCAGCATATAATAGCAGTTGCCAATTATTAATTTCAATCTCACCAACTTAACATACTATAAAATTATATCTTAATGAGGCATCTCTTTGATTCTTTGAAAAATATATTGGCCATCTACCTTTTTGGGTGTGTGTGTGAATTTTCTATTCACATTCTTTGACCATGTATCGACATCTTGACTTTCCTGATATATTAGTTTATTTGGCCGTTACTGCCCTAACCAGAAACTCCACTTAAGTACTGTACTCTCTGTTCTTAGTCACATGCCTTAGCTACTCATTAGCTATTCTGATGTCTCTAACCTGTATTTTAAAACATGTACACCAACAGGATGAACTTATATCAGCTAATACTCTGGTATTGTAATACCACGCCTCACTGTTTTAGTCCTAATTTTCATGGAATGTTAAGTATTGTTGTCGTTTGATTTCAGATTTTTTTATTATGTTAAATATCCATCTGTTAGTTTTCTAATATTTCTTTCTCTTCCTCCTTGAAATATTTTTAATCATACACAAGGCATATGTTAGAGCCTATTTGATCATTATACATTATTACTCCATTATACTCTGAAAAGAAATCATCTATGCAGTAGGGAAAGTCCCTGAAGAAAGAAAACACAGTTTAACTTTATTAAACAAAGTTTAATATATTGAAAAGTATATTCTAAAATTTTTTTAGTTCCAAGCCAATGACTTTATATTCTCCAAGGAAAAGAAACTGAGACATTTTTTATAACAATATAATAAAATTAATGTCTTAATTCATTAAAATGTATTCTACAATGCCAGAAGAAATAATTATTTATGGAAGAAAATAATTTAAACTTTTATTGGACTAACCTATAACAGATTTTGTAAACAAAGTGTACTTTGGATTTTAAGACTAAGATAAGGTAATATTATAACTCCAAGATAAATATGCTTCTTTAGATGCCGCCACAATTTTTTTCTAGGGCCAGCAAAGCCCTTCCAAATACTCTAATATAAAAGAATAAGAATTTGGAAAAATTAACCTCTTTTATTGAAAAAGAAGCTGCCATATGTTAATATAAAATATACTAGCATTTCTTCAAATTCTAGGATAGAGTAACTTCTTAATAATAATTCATTTTATACTCAGAAACTGAATGATCAGGGACTTTCACCATAGTTTGCAAATTGGTCTGATTTCATAAATCACATACTTAAGTACTCTTATTTGTATTTACTTCTAATACTTTAGTACTGATTATAGAATGAACTTTTACAAAAATTAAAAAAAATTAGTCTCAGGCCGTTGAAAAGGTAATCTTTTATTAAAATTATATAGCACTTTAGGAGTTAAATGTATCAGAAAAACTTACTGGCTGCTGACAGGTAAGGAGTATTGGCTAATTCAATGAAACATCTGTTGAAAAACCACTGTGTACCAGGTTACTGACAGAAAGGATAGTAAAATATTAAAGAAAGATTTTTAAAGGATGTGGATGTAAAAGCCCATGTAGGTGTGTTGCATATGCTTATATATGCTTTATGTTTTGTAAATATACACAGTAAGTCATTAATAGTAATTGACTCAGAGGAGAATTAAAATTCTTCATTACAAACTGTGTACTGTTTGAATTCTGTGTTTTGGTATCTTTTCTCCAAAGACATTTAATAATTTTCATAATAGGGGTATTTTATAATTAAAAAGTCTTGAAAGTACCCAAATCGCAATTTAAAAATAGGAAGAAAAATAGTATCAAGCAATTGTCTTTAAAATTCTAACTCTTTCAGTGAAAGTCATTTATTGAACCATGCCTAAAAAATCTATATCATGGTAAATAATAAAGAAATACATAGTAAATAAATTTAATGAATAAAAAGATAATAAATTTGCCTTACCTTAAATCCTGAGGTACATAAACATTTTATGTTATCCATTTAAATTAAAAATACCCTGGCTCTGCCACTCAGTGGATTGAGTGCTGGCCTGTGAACCAAGGGGTCGCCAGTTTGATTCCCAGTCAGGGCACATGCCGGGGTTGCAGGCTAAGTCCCCAGTAGGGGGCGTGCAAGAGGCAACCACACACTGATGTTTCCTTCTCTTTCTCCTTCCCTTCCCCTCTCTCTAAAAATAAACAAAATCTTTTTTTAAAAAAAGTAAATCTTAGAGATCTGTCAATGGCAAAACTCCCATTTATATTTTCTGATTCTCAACTCTTCTCTAATGTTGGAGGTCATTTCACTGACCTCTAAATTCAAAATATTTGAGAGTGAGAGGTGATCTTAGAGATAGTCCAACCTCTCATTTCTAAAAATGAGCAAAATTGAGCTATGTATTCAGTCCATGAATATTTACTAACCCACAGCGGGAAGTAGGAAGGTAAAAGCCCTTGCCTTAAGTAAACTCTGTAAACCGCTGGAGTTAAGTCAGGTACACAGATAACAGTGATTCAGTGAGTGATTTATGTTAAAGGTTAAATTCATCTGTGAGCAAGTGAGAATTCAAGTCTCCCAGTTTGCAGCCCATCTTTGTCACAAGATTCCACAATGAGCTAAAGTTCAAAGCCAAAAGATTTAAACTTAGCAAGAGATTTAAACACTAATTTTATTGACAAACTGTTCAATTAAATTTCTAAAGAGCCAGTTGATTTTAACATATGAACAGGTGTCGGGTAAAAAGGAGGATTATTATTAATAACAGTCGTAATTATGATACTTAACATTTTTGACCACTTTTTATGTGCCAAACACTTTTCACAGATAACCTTATTTAACCTTTGTAACAGTCCACTGTGAGAGGAGTTGTTACCATCTGCCTTTTACAGTAAAGAAAACAGACTATGCACAGTTGGACAAGTAGGAATTGTCAGAGTAGAAACATGAACTCAAGCTCTCTGATGCCAAAGTCTGAGCTTTAAATGACTCTTGAACAGTATGTAAGAGCATGTAAGTTCAGATCTCCTAGATTGCACACAAACTGGGCTTGATACCGAGAATGGTCAGAGAAAGACCAACTATGACTCAACTTTGTTCAGATCTAAGAAAACAGGCTATACCAGGAAAAGGCTAATTTTCACAAGGAACATTTCAAACTTATGTATTTCTAGGATCTTAGTACCTAAAGATCATTTCTTTAACGTAATTTCAACAGTTATTGAAAGCTCGTTTGCCAGGCACAATATTAGGCACTGGTGATACAAAGATCATTAAATGCAATCTCTTTTATTCTCATGCTAAATAAGCATTTATAAATTATCTACTTTAGTCAGGTGTACCATATGTGATATAAGACAAAGATATATGAGATGTGAACTCCAACTAACGTCTTTTTTAATAAAACCTAGTCAGCTAATACATTAACACAAAAAAGTTCAGTAACACTAATATATTCTCAAGTCTCTACATAATGAATTTCCATAAGTGTTAGAGACTATGTGTGTGTGTGTGTGTGTACACACACACACACACACACACACACACACACACACACACAGTTTAGAGGACTTAGAGATCACTATGGCTGGAGAAGCTTCAGGGAAAGGAAGAAACATAAACTGGACTTTCCTTTAGGAATACACAGGATCTGGAAAAAAGCAAAGGAGGACAGAGAATAAGCATTCCAAGAGAGAAAAAAATACGGACAAAGGCAGAGTCAGGAAAGTATAAAACGAGTAAGGGACATTGAGTAAACGATATGAGTACAACAGAGATTTAGTGTATAGACAACATAGTTGAAAAGTCACGAAGAAGCAAAATTATTGGGACAACTTTATTACACATCTATGATAAAATATTTTAAAGCAATTTTTCATATATTCCACAAAAATGGGGAAAACATTAAAACTCCTAAACAGGTTTATACATTCTTTTTTCCTGTAATATACAATTTTACTAAAAAAAAAAAAGAGGTTAGAAAAAGAGTTGCTTTGAACTGGAGGAAGCAATTGTAAAAGGTTTTAAAAGCTGGAGTGACAGGAACAAACAGCTTTTAAAATCAAGTAAGAATAAGGATGGAGAGCTTAAAGACACCAGTTCTAAGACTAGACTGATGGTGCACGTGTGCACTAAAGGTCTGAACCACAACAGCACACAAGCACGGAACTTGATAGATGGTTAGAAATAACAAAAAAAAAAAAAAAAAAAAAAATGTGATGACATTATTTGAGCAATCTTATCCGCCTACAGCAGGACCAGCTGGTTTCAAACACAAATGAACATCCTTTCTGATGGCTGGGGATTTCTGAAATAATGGTTTAAGAAAATCTGGAAGAAGGCTCCACCCATGATTGCATTGTGTGGTCTTCTCCTCCTTGAGACTTGAGACTTAGTCACGGCTTCACCACTAGACTAAAAACAGATGTAACCATGCAAGAAAGCTTCAAGACTGAAGAAGGAAGGGCACTGTCTTAGACTGATAAGTAAGGAAATTAATGATTCAGGGTGACACCCGAATCCTCACCGCTAAATGTGAGAAGAATTTTTGAGCAGGCAAAGGTTGCCCGTAAGGTGACCCACCTATTTTGCGGGATGCCCAGGAGTGGGGATCTGGGGCGGGGTCGGGGGGTAGGAAAAGAGGGCAAACTAATTTCGCCTTGTGAAATTATTTCATTCAGAAGAACAACTGGTGACTACATTTAGCTCTAAGTCAAGGCTTAGCTGATTTGGAATCACAGGAAGGATGTGCATGTCCTGATGTGGATTAAGTTGAGAGCTGTACAGTGTGAGCACCTTGAGGAAATGGAGTGATGCTTTAGGTGGACTATTCCCCTCTGCCTCCGTTTTTCACTTTATTTTTTTAAAATAATCAGTTTTGTACTACCTGCACTTGCCTTCCACATTAAGACAACTGGCTACTTTGAGTTAATAAGATATATACACTCTGAATGAGTTACTAAAATACTTTGCCTGATTGTACACTAAAATGACCGGAAACTCTTGCCGAGCTGTGTCCCAAGGTTGACCTATGGTGGCAGTTTTGGTGCAGCGAAAAGAGAGTAGACTCTGAAGTCAGCGATCTGGGTTGGAATCCCAGTCCTGCCACTTAAGACATGCTACGTGCTAAGATACACAAGGGCCCTGCTCTCGATCAGCAATCCTTCTCTGCAGCGCTGATCACTGTGTGGATCCTTTTAAAATATTCTAGCCATATGCAAATCTCTCCCTTTCTTTGTACATAAATGGAAACATATACACATTGGCTACATCATAATTTATTCAATTTATAATATAACTCAGTGATCATTCTGTATCAGTACACACTGATTATCTATTTAAACTGATCAGTCCCTTTCTGCTGGCCATTTATGTTGTTTTCAATTGCTAATGCCTTTACTTTAAAATGATATTTTAATAAATCTTGGTCCAAGTGTTTCAATGCAATCATGTCTATAATAAGTTATATAAATAAAATTAGAGATTGAAGAGTCCAGTGAGAACACAGATTCATAAATCACCTATCAATACAGGCTACCATTTTGATATGGTCATTTTATTGAAGGGTTTCGTAGACAAAGATAAATATCCTTACTATTGTGATTTACTAAAGGGCACAAAATGCAAGTATTCACCTTGAAGAACAATGATAAAATGTGACTAGAGATTTTGGTGGTACATTCATAATTCTCATCATTCCACCTTACATTCTTTGGTCAACTGTCCTTACTCACACATCTAACCCTGAAGAAAAAAAATAACCTTCAGTCCTTACCGTGATTGTAAAAGAATGATAATAAGACAGAGCTCTACTCATGACTAGAAAAATCAGAAATATTAAGACTGTTGGTAGGTGCTTTTCTAACGGTAATTCTACTTCCATACACACATACAGAATATGTATTTACAAGATACCCATACAATGTAATATAAAAGTTTTGTTCACCTGAAACATGCTAAATATATCCTAAAAGAGATTTGTGTTAATATTATACTAAAAATTATTAACATATTCTGAGGATTTTCCTTACAAAACAGAACTGATCTTCAAGGTTATAAATGGCAACAGGAGACTGAGAAGAGATCAACTGGTACATACGTAACCAGTGGTTTGTGAGCAAAGAATGACAGTTCTTTCGCTTTTTTTTTTTTTTTTGCAATTTTACTTACTAGATGATATGTAAGATACTGATATTTAATATAAGGTAACAGAAAAAGGAGGACACAAGCCAGGCACCTATGAAGAAATAACTTACTGTGCAAAATATCGTCTTTGTGTCCCTACACCAGAGAGAAGAGGGTACTTCATGTCCCCGACACACCACACTCTACTCACACTGCACTGATTACAGGATTAGATGCCCATTAAGGAGGAACAGTAGGGTCAATTCCCATTACAAAATTCCCTTGCAAATTTTGACAAAGCACAGTACATACTGTTTTAATTGCTTTTAAAAAAGGAAGTACAAAGGACAGCACCATGTAACAACTACCCACTATGAACTCTTAACATTTTCCATATAAATTGTGAAATTTAAAAAGAATGAACACATTCATGTTCCTAATATTTCTCTCCTCAAAGGCAATCACAATACCCAGTATAATTTAATACAACGGTATGTGGTGATGGATGTTCCCTAAACTTGAGGTAATCATTTTACAAATTATACATATGTCGATCATTATGTTGTACACCTAAGACCAATACAATGTTATATGTCAATTATATGTCAAAAAACTGCATCCAAAATATGACCAAATAGCAGAACACTATTTAAATATCACCAAGTATGCTTTTAGTATCAATAACTTAGAAACCATAGTCCTGACTGGTGTTGCTCACGTGGCTGGGCATCCATTGTCCCGCAGAGCGAAGGCCGCAGGTAGATTCCTGGTCGGGGCACATGCCTGAGTTGCAGGTTCAGTCCTGGTTGGGGGTTGTATGAGAGGCAACCCATACAACAGGCAACCAATCGAGGTTTCTCTCCCCTCCCTTTCTTTATTCTTCCCTTCCTCTCTCACTAAAAATAAATAAAATCTTTTAAAAAATTATTTAGAAACTGTAATTCATCATCAGCTCTCCACTTACTGATAGAAGCCAGTAAAATCAACTACCTCTAAGAAAAAAAATAGGCTGTTAATACAAGGGTGAGGCAAAAGTAGGTTTATAGTTAGAGTAGGCAAAATAGTTTATTCTTGTATTATTATTTATTATTATATTATTTTCATATAAAAAACTGTAAACCTACTTTTGCCCCACCCTGTATAAGCACTTTCTGAAATGATATTTGTAATTTAGATTAACAGTGTATTTTTGGACCACAGTAAATGTTCTTTTTCAGTTGATCACCACACAGCCATGGAAGGGGACACTGATAAAAATCATAAAAAAACCCCCAACAAAACACCAAAGTAACCAAATTTAGTTCTGGATCCAAAAATACTAATAAACAAAATGAAAATATGCTGATTTCTGGAAGCTTATTCCAACCAAGGTTTTTCAAAAACAAACAAGCATACATTCTGGAGATCACTCCTAACTTTCTTGTTTGAAAAGCATAAACTGTAACTTTAATTTTTGACAGAAATAAGGTCTGTTTTTCCTGATTAATACCCCTATCTTGCTTCCTTTTAGTAAAAGCACCACAATGGCTTAAAACATCAATCTGCCTTTTTACAACTACCCAAATGGAAACACTATATTAAGTGGAGAGCCAGATAGTGGTAAGCATGTTTCCAGAAGATGTTTTAAACAAGGCAAAATATGAAATAAATACTATCTTTTCTTTAACCCCACTTCCTTTTCCTTTCCTCACTCAGGATATAGAGTCTAAATTTGACCAAATAATAAAGTTACTATTTAGTCAAATTTCACCCATCCTTGATGGTCATATCTAAGCCTTACTTTCCCAAGGCCATTTCATTACCATAACAGATACTGATTTTTCTATATCTGAACGTTTACATCATAATCTGTACTACAGAAGACTATTATATAGTCATATAGTTTTTTCATGTTAGTCTTGCCTCTCCATTAAGAACATGCATTAAACATCTTTCGGATCCCAGTCCTGGCCAGGTAGCTCAGCTGGTTGGAGCACTGTCCCTATACACCAAGGTTGCAGGTTCAATCCCTGGTCAGGGCACACACAAGAATCAGCCAATGAATGTACAAGTAAGCATAACAACAGACTGATGTTTCTCTCTCTTTCCACCTTCCTCTTTCTCTTTAAAATCTTTTTTTTTTTTTAAATCTTTTGGATCCCTTCAATCAATGCTTAATTCATCACACAATTTAAGAAATATATTGATCAATGTAAAATATTGAACATCAACTATATTCAGGTCACTGTGTTAAGCAGTGAAAATATCTGAATAAATTTCTGCAACATGTTTAATAATATCTCTGAAAGTACTGCAAAGACATAGGCAAGAAAAAAATGACACTTATACAACAGATATATCTAAGAATGTACAAGTATAAAGTCCAGACAATAGTGGAAAGTCTCATTCAGCTAAGAGCAGTGAAATTACTAACTTTTAGAAATATTCAGTTGATATTTTCTCTCTCAGAAACCAGAGGAAGCACTAAACCCAAATCCAATCTAAAGGGTAGGAACTACTTTGTACAGTGGAAGAGATGGGTACTTTGAAGACTGCAATTCTGACACTTTTAGCACTGATGATACTAAAGAAGGAACATTAAGCATAATGAGATATGTATTCTTTTGAGAATTCTGAGAAAAAAGTAGTAGGGTTGTGAAACAAAATCTGAAAGAGGAAAATAACTCAAAAAGACTGTAGGTTCACAAGTAAAATGATCACATTAGGACACAAAAAGTATGAATTATTTAAGAAAAATTGATTAATCAGACTTGATGAAATTAAATACTTTTGTTAAGACACACTCTTAAAAACTGGAAAGGCAAACCATACTGGGGAAAAATATTTTCAAAACACTGACAAAAGACTTCAGTCCAGAATACATGAATAACTACAACTCAAAGGTGAGACAAAAAACAAAGTAACAAAAAACACCTACTTTAAAACATCAGGGAGAAGACATGAACAGATATTTCACAAAAGCAGAAACACTAAGATGCAGATGAGCTCAGCATCTCTAATCCTCAGAGAAATAAAAATTAAAACCACAATGAGACACCACAACATTCTCACTAGAATAAGTTAAATTAAAAGCCTGAAAATACCAAGTGTTTGGGGATGTAGTATATAAATTGGAACTTTCATACATTGGTGATAGGAATTTTAAATGCTACAACCACCTTGGAAAACACTTTGACAGTTCCTTATAAACTTAACTACATACCAACTATATAACCCAGCAAGTCTATTCCTAGGTATTACTGCTACCCCTCCCCCCCAAAAAACCACATGTCCATTCAACATTTGTACAAGCACATTCATGATTCATGACAGCTTTATTCATACAGCCCAGCACTACACACACACACACACACACTCACACACACACACTTCCAACAGAGGAATGGATAAACCACAAAATGAACTACTAATACACGTTAAAAAATGGATAAATTTAAAAAACAGGTTGAGCAGAAGAAGCCAGACAGAAAAGAATATACACTCCATGATTCTATTTATATGCAGTTTTAGAACAGGCAAAACTTATGTGTAGAAACGGTTCTTTCTCAGTGAGGAAATTCTGCCCTCCCCTTCCCTGAACAATGTTAGGGGCATGCTTGGTTGCTACAGCTTGGAGGGTGGGGGGCAGGGGTTGGGGGTGGTTGCTACTGGCATCGAGGGAGTAGAGAGGCCAGGGATGCTGTTAAACCTTCCTCAGTGCGTGTGTATTTGTATACTCTACATGTGTGTCTCCAGTACCTAAAACAGGTGCAAATAAACAAGGATAATAGAAGAGCGGAAGTGCACATGAATATTTGATTGTACTTAAATTGTGATTTTTTTTTAAATCACAGGACTTAAGTTACAAACACATATAATACAAAGGCAATTAGAAGAAATTTGTACCGTCAAACATTGCTAAAATATTTAGTCTAAATTATAAGCCACTATTTCTATACAAAAAGTTTTTAAGAGAAATTTTCACTATAAACAGTGATACCAAGCCATAATAAGGTAGGCTGAAAGGTTAAGAAATTCTTTTAAATTAAATAAAGTTATAAAGTAAGAATGAAGCATTTCAGTATATTAATACAATAGAAAACCTAGCAGATGTACTTCAGTTATGTTCAATAGGCACAGGGACTGCACAAAACGTAAGGATATGAAAATGTCCCCGAAGAAGCGACTGACTAATAGAGAAAAATGCTATTGCTGACAAACCAGATACAAAAGTGTTAAAGGCTGTGGCCGAGGTCTGAAGGAGGAGGCATGGAGAGCATGAGAAGTATTTGCAAAGATGTCATCTGAGCTGGGTCTTGAGGAAGCAGGAAAGCTTGTCAGGTGAAAACCGTTCCTGGATAACTCAGACATCCTCACAAAAACAAAACCCCCAACTACCGAACACTTTTGTTACGCTGCCTTGCTCCATTTTAGAGTCTTAGGCCAGCAATGAGACATCTCTGCAGAGGACGATTATCCCACACATTGAGTAAGGAAGTTATTACAGCAACCGAGACAATTCCATATGCAAGAGGGAAATCCATGGAGGCTTTACCTTGGCAGAAATGCACCCCTTGCACTTTCTGCTACATCTAAGTCTGGCCATGTTAGCCTCTTGCACCATTCAAAAGCACAGAGACAAAAAGGAATCAGTTGGGCTACAACTTCAGAACTGCATGTTGAACATGTGTCAGTAAATTCCGGTGGTTCCCATGTAACACACTAAAATATCTCCTACCATTCATGCGGGAAAATCTGAGAGGCCTCCCAAAAGGAGATACTGGGGATCCAACATACATCCCCTTGAGGGTACTTTTCAAGCCATAAGAGACGCTTACAAACAGTATATGACAAATGGGGTAAACGATTACTCGGTGCTGCTAGAGATGATTTTAACAAGGTCAAACACCAAATTCCTGTCTCACGCAGAATAAAAAGGCTGCGGTGTGGTGGGACCACGAGACAGATGGCAGGCAGAACTTGCTATCGGCTCCAGAGGTTTCCTGTGATTTTGGAAACTACTGAAATTAAGGCCTCGAAATGGAATTAAATTAACTATCTTTGAACAGAACACATTTTATGCAGTTGAACCTCCCGCTCCCCCCCTCCCCCCCTTTTTCTAAGTGAGAAAGTCATCCCGAAGACAAAGGGTCTTTGGTAGATCTGACTTTGAGGATAGAGGAACAACATTTCCTATTCTTTGCACCACTGCGAACAATTCAAGAAACATTCTTTCCTGGTAGTGGCGATTCAGGAAATTGGAGAAAAAGGAAAAATGATTAAAGCGATAAGCCAGTCTGCAAGGGAGCCGTCTGGAGTCCTGTAATAGCCAGTGAACTAGAAACGCTGGATATTTTTTATAGATATCGATTCCAACAGGGGAGCCAGGAGCAAGTTCAGCCAAGGGATGAGGGCGGCGGAGGGAGCAGTCACTGCCAGATCCTCCTGCTTCCCCCGCCAAAGACCCCCGTCCATGCAACTGTCTCTTTAAAACGTTCATAACACTCAGCACCCGCCCAGAAAAACCCTCCCCCATATCCCTAACAATCCTGCCGGAGAGACAGGCCGCGTTCACTTACTGAGCTGGCCCCCGCCCGACGTCATGCTTGGCTCCCGACCTCCTGCACCTCCAACGCCGACAGCTCCGGGAATTCCCGGTGCCCCCATCCCCGGCGGGGTCCCACTCTGCCTCTCGAAGTTGCCCGGATTGGAGAAGTAGTCGCGCAGCCGAGGCAGCTCGCGGCCGTTCTCTAACAGCTCGGTGTGCAGCTCCAGGGCGGTCAGCAAGTATTGATCGCGCAACAGCTGAGCAGCGATCGCATCGATTGACAATCGGGCCGGGGTCTCCCCGCTGCCCCCTAAAGCCACCGATGCCGCTGCCTCCCCAGGGAGCCCTGGCCGTGCACTGCTCCCTAAGGCCACGGGATCCTGGGGCGATAGCGAGTCCGCAGAGCCAGGATCTAGGTCGCCCCCGGAACCCAGCCGAAGTCCTGCCCGCCGCTCCTCGGTCGTCGCTACCTCGTCGTCGTCCTCGTCCGAATCACTGAGGAATGGATTCACACCACCGCCACCACTGCCACTACCTCCAGGCACCATCGCCGCCATCTTATCCTGTCAGGCGTCTGTGTACCTCCCTGACTGGCTCTGACAGGCCTAAGCCTGAATTCCCCCTAAGCCTCAGCGGGCACTGCGCACCACCACAGCCAGACCTGGCCACGTCCTGCCTCCCCACCTGCAGACCAGGCGTAGGCTTAGAGGCAGAAGGTCCGGACGCAGCACCACTGGCTGCCTCAGCCACAGCTGCACCAGCAGCCGGGCTCTGCAGGCGTCTTCCTGGTCTCCAGTCTCGCGAGAAAAATGGGGCGCGGTTTTCCCCTGTCTCTCCGCCCCGACCTGCTCCCGCCCCGCCCCGCCCCGCCCCGCGCGGTAGGTTCACAGCAGCCGCGAGCAAAGCTGCTCCAGGCAGGCAGGCAAAACCCCGCCCCGACTCCTGTTTGATTGGCCAGGAGAATAATAAGGAGGAGGAGAAGTTACACAGGACTGGCCCTAGAATTATCGCGAGAGCAGTCGCTGGCCAGGTGAATGTCGGGGGGCGTTCTGTGATTGAGATGTGGTTGTGACCGTGACTTAGGGACGTTCTTTTGGGGGGCAGAGGAGAACTCTGCCAAAGAGTTGGGTCCTTCCTTCGCGCTGAGGAGGCCTCGTTCCCGGATCAGGCCTGACCGGGATAAGTCCCAGGTAAAATCCGGGGACCAGTGCGCAGAGGGACGGTGGCACCGAAGCTGGTCCCATGGCCGCAAACGCGCTGCTGCTTCAGCACGCTTCACTTTTTCTGTTTGCTGCTAATCGGTGACATTTTTCCTGCACGTGTAGCGGGTGCGCAGGCAGGAGTTAGAATTTGGCGTCTTTTCCTTCCCTTCTCAGCCACGTGCCTGGTTGCTCTGGAGGCCGGGCAATAGGGCCTGACCGACTGCTTGCAGCTCTGGGGCGCGTCTTCTCGCCCTTGAATTAGCGCTACAAAACGGCGGGTGGGGTGGGGTGTGGGAGGCGCAAAGTAAGTGGAAAAAGGATTTGCTTGCATCTGTGAATACCCTGGTAGCCTCGACCCGGATAACAAACTGTTAGGGGCGCAGTAAATGCTTAGGACTATAACATAATTTGCACCAATAATAAAGTCCCATCCAGTCCATAACAGTCCCATCCAGTAGACAGAGAAGTGAATTTAAACCTAGAAACGTTCATTGACCTGTTCAAGTCAACTCCACTCATGAATATTCAGAGGCACTCCAAGCAATTCTTTTAACGTCCAAAGCCATTCTTCTCCCACTATGCCTTGCAACTTGTCCGTTTAGGTTGGAATTCAGATATTGACGGTGAAACTTAATTATTTTAAAACGTAGACGCTTTAGATAGTTTTGATTTTCTTTATCAAGTGTTAGCACATAAAGTAAGTATACTAAATTTGGAAGTTGAATGTTTATCTTTTATGTTATTCCTTGATTACAATCCGAGGTGGTAAAGGGGATATTAGTTTTTAGCCAACAGTATTAGAGTGCTATTCATAAGAGTGTCTCTTTTCTTCACACATAAATTGCTACTTTCGCAGGTTTAAGATTTCCTTTCTTTCTGTATAGCTTCCTTTAAGAACCAAAGTAAATAGGTAGCAGTAATTATGTTATCAGATAAGGTACGTATTACATCCAAGCAGTAAAGTATCTCCTTTAGCTCTGTGGAAAAATTAAAATAGAGCATTCTTATATAACCTTGGGTCAAGTTATTGGTTTACATGCAAAGGTATGCCAGCAGTTAAGTGTAGGCGTTCCTTTCAGTTTGCCCAGGCTCAGTAAAACAAATTTTCATTTGAATGAAGCTTTGGGTTTTTTGTTTTGTTTTTGCTAGAAGTTTTTTGCACAATGTTAGTACTAAGAATGTGAAATATTTTTTATAGAACGTTAGCACCTGATGTTTGAATTCTAAATATTTTTCAGTGACATATACTGAAGAAAAACATGGAAAAAAAATCCCATGTTAGGAAAATGGTATTAAAAATAACTAATGCTATACCCTGTTGCATATTTCTTGGGACAAAGGATTGCTGATCTTATTGTAAGTGAGTTTGCCAGAAAGATTGAAATGGAACCAATCTCTGGAATGGAGGAATGAGAGAGACTACAAATGGCTTGGGGAGGGCACGATTAGAGATGGATAGTTTATATATAATTCCATCTCTGTAATGGGGAATTTTAGAAGTTTCCTGAACTTATGGTCTCTCAAGAGGCTCGTTCTTATCAGGAGGAAGAGCTTAAAATCCGTGTCGCAGTTATAGGAATTATTTGCTGTGAGACCTTTAGAAAGTTAGGTACTGCTCTCACCTCACTTACATTCATCAGTCTGTCAAAGGAATAATAAAAATACACAGAATTAGGAATGTGTTTGTCGCAGAGACTGGTACTTAGTATACCATAAATGTTATTACCGCCAGTTACCATTTTGTGCAATATTAGCATATATTGAAAATATTTGACACGTTTTTAAATAAAATAAGTATCAACTGGAGAAAGTAAGTAAGTTAGTAGGGCCCAAAAAACAGCTTTAAGTTAGGGGCTGACTTCTAGAATATAAGTTGAACGTAGATTTAAAATGTTTCTGCAGAGAGTTGTAAGACGTTGGATGTAGAAGTTCTTCATGATCGGTGTCCTGTACAAACCTAGTTTCCTGTTTCTACTTTATATCCTCTCTTCATGGATTTGTTGATGTGACCTTCCATGCCCATAACGAATCAACTGGCCAGTCTTATCTGTAAGTACTTTACTTTTGTGCTGTACAGAAGTTTACTTATCAATTTAAAATTTTAAGAAGTAGCACATGTTAGAATATTAATAATTGTGGATCTCTGCTTAACAATAGTTTATTATTAATATGTTAGGAATTTTTTTGACTGAGCAAGATTTGCATTAATATGGATCTTCACAGCTAATGTGTCATTGAATAATGAGAATAATCATTGCAGTTTTTACCTTAATGATGAAAATGTAACATTGCTTATTTTCCAATTACTTAAGTCATTTTTGTGTCCAAAAATTATTTTTGGCTTTAAAAGGCTTAAAATTTGAACTGCAAGTAAAATTTTAAATGCAAGTTGTGGTCGACTTAAAGTTTTAGAAATATCTAATATTTTATTGTTTTTTAATGTGTAGTAAACATTTTATGGGCAGAACCTTTTATTGGTACATGGATATGTGTCTTTTAAAATTTTTAGTAGTTATTCACTTATTTTGAGAGGTTTCTAAATAATTGAATTATGACAAAGTTTTTCTTTTTCAGTAAATCTGAATAAAATGTGATTTTGTATCCTGAATCTTCAGTTTTTCTCTATGTTCTGGAGCAATAAAAAGAGAAGCAAAGCAACCTCTAGTGGCAATAGTGCATATTCCATGTACCTTTGAAATGAGAGTCCGAAGTAATTCGGTAAACGCTTGCTAAGCGCCCGGGACTGGGATGAGTGCTGGAGAAGCCCTGTCTTGCTGAGATGAAATTATGGTTAAGTGATAGAGAGAGACGGTAATCCAAATACTGAACGGCATGGCTGGGTAACTAGAAGCCGAAGGGAAGGTTTTGGTTTCTGCTGTGGACTGCATAGTCCCAGAGGAGGTGGTGCTTGAAAGCGCAAGCAGATATTATGGGACAGGGGGTGAGAGGGTGGAGGGAAGGTTGGAAGTGCATTCTACGGAGAAGACTTGTACTCGTGGAGGCCCTGCAGCAGTAGGAAGCACGGCACATGGAAGGAAATAAATTGGTCAGAAGGCCAGCACAGTGAGATGCCGTAAAGCAAAGGCCGGGGTGGGGGGTGCTATGGGACCGGCTGGAAAAAGAGGCAGAGGCCAGTCCATGTAAGACCTTGTTGGTCCCATTAAGGATTTCAGTCTTGATTAGGATGGGGGAGAGGCACTGAAGGGCTTTATATAAGGGGTGAGATATTCGAAACAGCAGAATAAAGGATGATTCCTAGTTCTCCGATTCGCATATTGGGATGGAAGGTGGTGCCTTTACCTGAGACTGGGAACCCTAGGCTTAGTGGGGGCTCCTACATAAACAAAACTCACGAGGGCCTGGCGAGGGCCAGAGGTCGGGGGCGGGGTAGGGGGGGGGGAGGCCGTGAGTTTGGTTAAAAACATACTCAGTTGCATTTCTTTGAAATATGCCAATAGATGTGTCATGGTTGGAGTTATATATATGGATTTGGAGCTATAATTTGTTCTGAATTTTGCATATAGGTCATTACTGAAACCAAAGGTATGATTTAAAATGCCTAAATAGAAAGTGTAGAATGAGGAGAGAAGAGTGCCCACAACCAAGTTGTGAGTGACTCCAAAAGTCACTGACCAGATAGCGCCTGTGTTACACAGGGCGGAGATGTAGGAGGAAAACCAAAGAAGTAATGGTCAAGGAAGCCAAGAAATGAGAGCTGTTTTTTTAAAAGAAGGCATGGTTAACAAAGACAAATGGAATGGATAAGCCATGGAAGGTGCCTGAAAAACAGCCACTGGATTTTGCTACATTAGGGAAAGCTTTCCCTGTGATGTCATGGAAACAAAGGCCTAATTTAAGTTGTTTGAAAATTAGGTAGCCAGGTAAAAAGAGATTGTATTCAATATTTTCAAGAAGTTTGGTGGTATTGGGGAGAAAAGAGCAGTCAGTGCTTTTAAAAGATTTTTTTAAATTAAGCCTTATATTTGTTGAGAGGTATCCTCGTCACAGATGTGGCTTCATTCATTTTCAATGCTGCATAGCATTTCATTATGAATTGTTGATGTAAGAACATACAAGCCTGTAGAGAATTTTTATAAAAATTCATTTGAGTGAAACAGACAATATGACTAGAAGCAAGATTTCAACAGACTAGGCAAAATGCTTCTCTGAAGGGCAGTTTGCAGTTTCCTTTATGCATTTGGAATTAAGGAGGGAATCTAAGGCAGATTACAGGAAGGTGGGGAAGAGCAAGGTGGAGATCAGATTACAAAATAGTTCACAAGATTTACTGTTCTCTTGAAGGTCAGCATGATTTCATGATTTCGAAGGAGGTGTCTAAAAAGGGGAATATCCAAGGTGCTAACCTAGATGCACAGAAACAGTGAACAGGGCTTGCTTAAGGCAAAGATACATCTTTTATTAAAGAAGTTAGGAATTTATGATCAGACCTCCCTGTGAGGCTCACAGCCTTTGACCCAGTGATTGCACTTATATTCAGTATCTTAAACATGTCATGTGAAATGTCTAAAAAGCTAAATAAAAATTACATATAAATTTAGATTTGTCATGCTGACGTTTAATAGTGAAAAACTGGAAAAAACTACAATGATTAATAATATGAGGTAATCAAGAAAATTAAGATACACTCATAGAATAGATATATGAAGGTATGATGTATAGGAAGAGTTTTTCTTTTTAAAAATAACAGAAGTACTAATGTATAATAAAGAAAAAATATGTAAAATTGTGAGCCTCTCTAAAAATGTAGGTAGGATAAAAACTAAGAAACTATTAATAGATTTTTATTTAGATAAATTATAAGTAATTTTTCTATATTTTCCAAACTTATCAGAGTGATTATCTTATTTTTATATTCAGAATGCCATTATTAAGAAGGTGCTTGTCGTGTAGTTGAAACTCATATGTATATTAGAAAAAAGCAGAATATTTATTCTGATAATCTTTTGTTAGATTGCAGAATAGCGCCTACTCTCTAAGGGATTTTTTATAGTTTACAAAAAATTTTTGATACTTAGTTGCTCTTGATTCTCTCAGGGAAAAAAGTGGCCCATAATTTGACCATTTGCTCTGTTTTTTTTTGTTTGTTTTGTTTTGTTTTGTCATATGCTTGGCTTTGGTAAGGTTTATTCCCCAATGCTTAAGTTTTTTGCGGGGTATTTTGTCACCCTTTCTTTCCATGATGTAATTTTTCAGGCCAGGATGAATAATAGGTATCTGTAACTGAAATTACTTCATCTCTGGTGGTTTTCACTCAAGGGTCACTGTATGTAACTAATGCAGTTACATTACAAGAAAGACATGTTAGAGTACCTTGTTGTTATCAATCTGCAGAGGTTCACCAACAAAAGCAAATTTGAGACCGGCTCGAAACACGCTCCTATGGATAGGTTGATCTTGGCAGTTAATGGCATACTGTCTTATATTATTATTTCAGTGTTTCATTTCACGTTGCTTAGTTTTCCCTCGCTAAGTATTTGCAAGCACATCAGATCATCAGATCTGCGACTGTCTTCTTAGTGGTCTCTGTAATATGCCTGCACACAATTATGCACATCACATGTACAGAACACTTTTATTGATTGAATAAATGAAATCTTCTGCTTTCTTGTATTGGTGTTCAGGGAACTAAAACACTGTGTTCCCTTAATAAGTGCAAATTTTCTGAAGCTAAAATGAAATTTAACTACTTTTTCCTTCCTATGATTCAGTTAACTGGACAAAAATGCATGTTGTCTGCTCAACTTGGTGATAATCAAGAGAAGCTCGGAGTCTCCTGAGCTGATAAACAAAAATTGAAAAACACTCCCACACCTATGATGATGTTAAAAATCTGGGAACGTCAGTGGCTCTCATGTGGGCAGCCCAGAGCACCATGAGCTGCAGTTTCTGTTGGATCCAGGGCTGGATCTGGCTGTGCCCTAACTCATTTTAGGGCTCGTTTTCTTTCTTTGTTTTTTATCCCACTGTACATTAGTGTTTATGAGCTTAATACACATTTAACTTTATTTTAAATAGTTCATTCGAGCTAATTGCTTATTAATCTTCAACATTTTATTTTTCCTTGAGTGTACATTATCATGCATTTTATATCAGTATTAAAAAAATGTTTATTGTTACCACCATAAATGAAGTTGTGAGATCTGCAGTATTTTAAAATACATATCTCATCTATATATAGTCATCAAGACGTGAAAATATATAACTGCCTTAAGGTTTACCCCAATTTAATTTTGTTTCCTCTTTCAGCTTTTCTGGAAGACCTGTTAGTTGTACGAGATATGCTGCTCTTCTTTATTGTGGGATTGTTTGTCCACATTGTGTTCTTCGCCTCCATCTTTGACATTTACTTTACATCTCCTCTGGTTCATGGGATGACTCCTCAGTTTACGCCGTTGCCCCCTCCAGCGAGAAGACTAGTGCTCATCATTGCCGATGGGCTGCGGGCAGATGCACTTCATGAATTCGATGAAAATGGAAATCCTAGAGCACCATTTATTAGGTAAGCATGTCAGCGGAAACAAAGACATCTTTGGAAAAAGTATGATCTGAACTGATCAAAAGTTTTCAAGCAGAGGTATCCAAATTACTTCCTGTCTTCCTTCTTCTAAATTCAGTTTTCATTATGTAACTAAAGAAGTTAAAAAAATATATTTCTCTCCTAATATGTGGTTCATTGGTTTTCAAGCCTTTTACTTATTATGTATGTATTTTACCAAAATTGGTTTTATTATGAGGTAAGTCAATACTAAAAGTATCTAAACCAGTACTTAAACTTTTTTTAATGGAATTGATTGAGATGATACTGGTTGTCAAAACCATACAGGTGTACAACTCAATAAAAGAATTTCATGTGCACACTGCGTTGTGCACCCATTGCCCCAAAGTCTCTTTCTGTTCCCATTTTTACCCCCTTTGCCCACCTCCACCTACCCGCTTCCCCTTTCCCTCTAGCTATCACTGCACTGTTGACTTCCAGATACTTGTATACGGACCATTTTGAGTCAAGCATTTCTCTTGAAACAGGTTACAATGCAGTGTTTTCTAACTTGTTGCTCTGCTGCCCTTTCACCTGCAAAGACATTACTGGTGGTTTTCCTTCCCAAAATTTTATAAATCGCTATAATACAATTTAAGAAATACTGACCTATTTTAGCAAAGGAAGCTTTTTGCCTGTTTTAATCTCAAATTTAGGGATATACTTCAACTCCTACATAAGAGTCATTTCGTCTCCCCTTAATTCTTTATTTTGAGAATTTTTCAAGTAGAGGAAACTTTGAAGAGATTATATAATGAATATTTATATACCTATAACCTAGATTTAACAATTTTTAACTTTTTTCATATTTGTATCCTCTTACTACACACAGACACACACACAGAGGCTTAATTTTTTTCCCCTGAATAATTTGAAAGCAAGGTACTACGTACTCATAAATACAGAGAACAAACTGATGTTTGTCAAGTACAATGGGGGTTGAGGGGCAGGGAAAAAGCTAAAGGGGTTAGGAAGTACAGTTGGTAGTTACAACATAGTCACAGCAATATAAAGTACAGCATGTGGAATATAGTCAGTAGCTTTGTTGACAAATGGGTACTAGACTTATTGGGGGAGATCGCTTTGTAAATTATATAAATGTCTATTCACTATGCTGTACACCTAAAACTAATGTAAAATAATACCGAATATCAACCATAATTGAAAAATTTTAAAAAGAATAAAAATTTATAAAAAAGATATTATGACACTTCATCTCTGGACACTTCAGCGTGTATCTATTAAGAACAAGGACTTTCTCCTACATGTCTATAATACCATCATCACACCTAATAAAATTTTAACATTGATAGGATTTTATCGTGTATGTCAGCTACTTATTATGTAACAAACCATTTCAGTACCTTGTGGCTTAAAACAACCGTGGTGTATTTTCTCTCTCAATTCTGTGCGTTGTTTGGTTCTTTGTTCATCCACCTGGACTCCCACATGCTAGTGATTCTGCTGGCAGGAGGGCTAGGAGTGGGCTCAGTTGGGGCTAAAAGGGTTTCTTTCATTCTCACATTTTGACTTGCTTTTTTGGTTTTGACTCCTGTAGTAATCGCATTTTTCCAAGACCTTACCAGAACAGTTCAGTAGAGGCTATGTTAACCATTCATCGGGAATGTCTTTTAGGAGCATCATAATGCGGGAAGGCAGCTGGGGGATCTCTCATACGCGTGTGCCAACTGAGTCTCGGCCCGGTCATGTGGCCGCCATAGCTGGCTTTTATGAAGATGTCAGCGCGGTTGCCAAAGGTATTGCCTATTTAGACAGTTTTATCATGTGAAAAATGTATTATGTCAATACTGCTTCTTTAACACTGGCTCATGACACAAGGTGAAGCATGTTTTGAGATGTTTCGTAAGTATTTTAGCTGGCCTTGCATAAACACACACTGGTATTAATTCAAGAATCCAGCTCTTAGTCTTGTAACATCCTGTGCTATTAAAAGAATGTGATTGAATGGATCTATGGTTTTTCTAGATGTTAACCCTCAAAAGTTCAAAATCTATATTTTAGTAAAAAGTAAATTATCTACTGTAAGCTTTAAAAAGTATAGCATGATACATGTAACAAAATCTGTTACTACTTTAGTATTTGTTGTGTAGTTAATCCTCATTGTTACTACTTGAAAAATAGTTCTTTAAGGGCTATACAAATATCTCACCATGTATATATCACTATTGTTATTATTTGCTCTTTCTTTCCCTCAATTATCTGAAGGATGGAAAGAAAATCCTGTAGAATTTGACTCTCTTTTCAATGAAAGCAAGTACACATGGAGCTGGGGAAGCCCAGATATCCTGTCTATGTTTGCCAAAGGTAAGAGTCACTGATTCTGTTTTCTCAGACAATAAATAGGTTAATATGTCAGTAAGGTAATTTTCTTTATACTAACTATGTTTTATTGATTTTGAGATACATGTTTTAATATATCTAACATTTCTGAAATGGGGATGTGTGTTACAGTGAATAGGCATGTCAATTTGATTTTTCCTTCTGAGTGGAACTTGAAATATTGGCACACCATATAGTTGTCGGTATTCTGGATTCAATGAAATGATACAAGACTCTAACATTCAACAACTTTATAATCTTGGGCAAGTTAGATAACTTCTTTGAACTTAAGTTTGCCTTTTTATAAATATGTTAATTTTTATCTCAGGTTTGTTTTTAGGATTAAAGTAGATAATTCATATGAAACGTTGAACAAAGTGTCTATATAACTTCTCAAGATGATGTTGATGCCTGGCTTATTTTACGTTGATAAATTAAAAAGTTGGTAAAAAAATTTAAAAAAGACATTGGTAGTCACATAAAGATTTAAACATTAAAATTTATATTTATGATTTCTACTTTTATATATTCAAGATCTTGCCATTTGATTTGTTGTATTTGTTTCTGTGTATGAATCTGTAAGTATTAGAACATCTTTTGATTACAGAATTTATTAATATTGCTACCTAAAATCACTTGGATTTTATTTCAGTTTTATGTCATTAGATGCCTTTTAATGGGGACAGAATGATTGGTTATTTTGCTTAATAAAAAGGTTTTTTAACAGGATACTTTGCCACAGCTGTAATTATAATTAATTGGAATTATTGAAGATTATTATGTCTTCAAAGCAAATACATATTCAGAATTTTACATATCATATTCACAGAATATTATCATGTAGGGAAGGCCAAGAAAAACAAAACCAAACCCTGCAAACTGCTTTACATGCTCCGTTCTTTGGACAGCAGTTTAGCTTTGCGGAAGAGGGGCGGTTACTGGTGGTGGTGTGGATGGATTAGGTCGCGATGGCTTACACCGTCCTGCTTATGGCTATGGCTGACAGGACAGGGCTAATGCCTGAACTGGAGCCAGCCCCATAGGAATGTTCCGTTTCTTATGGAACCAACAAACGCACTCAGATTTAGGATGTGGGAATTAGAATGGCAGAGCAGCAGAATAGCTAATGTTAGTAGAGCTAAACTGATATTGTAAGAGATTGTCATTATTTTATCTTTTCTATATAATCTGTAAGAGCCGATCTAACTCAGAAATTTACTAAATTGATTGGATTCTTGATAAAAAACTGCAAATGTATAAGATTAATATACATCAAACTGTTTATACATCAAACTTACTCCATCAAACTGCTTGGCAATAATTAATATTTCTTCCCTTATATTGATAAACCTCTCCCCACCAAAAAAAAGGATTTATTTTCTGGAGGGCGAGCCCCTTGTAGTACAGGCTTCCCCTGCTAAGTGAGTGTTCTAGGACCCCATCTGTATCACTGTACCAGCTGGCGTTGTTGTGAGAGGCTGTGTCCGGCTTCAGTGAATTTTTTTTTTAAGATTTTTAATGCATTTGCCTGTTTCATGGTGGGTGATTTATGAGCACACCTGCCCATTCCATACTGAGTGTTCAGCATTTTTTGACCAAAAAACAGCATGACCCCCATGCTCCATCCTCCCTTTTCACCCTATCTCTCCCCTAGAAACTTATTTTTGTTTTCCCAAATGAGAAAAGTCCTCAGAGGGAAATGTTTCAGTGGTGTGGAAGAGGGAAACAAAAAACAGCCGAAGCACTAAAAGGCATCAGAATCAACGGGTTCAAAAACTGTTCTGAGCAGTGGGGGAAAAAAGATGTCTCCATAGGTGTATTGCATCAAATGGAGAGTACTTCGTAGGGGACTGAGGTTTAAACATGTAAAAATAAATACATAATTTTTTGTAAATAAAGTCTGTTTTTTGGCGGTCCGCCCTCGTAATATGTTCTATGAGTAAGAATATTTGAATTTTCTTCTTGGTTTAGGAAGTTTTGTAAACTAAATTACTTCCTCTATTTTAGATTATAACATCCTAATACAAAAGAAACAGTTTTTGAATAGTTTAATCCTTATAGAGAGACAAACTTTGGTGTTTATTTTTATATATTAGCATTGTCACTTGGTGGGTTAATTAACTTACATGTACTTTATCTGTAAAATTAGAATATGTTATTGTGAGAAGAAAATGCAATGGCATGTGTACAAAAAAAAGCACGGTCCATGGCACATTAAATAAACGTTAATTCTTCCTCCCATCTTTATCTTCCCCATCATACAAAATTCATTGAGAAAAATTTTGGTTACTCACAAATTTTTTTAAATAACTGCTTCGTATTTATAACAGTTTAAAAGATGGTAAAAAAAAATTTTTCCCCCCAAATTTCCTTTTCAGGTGCTACAGGAAACCATGTTTTTACATATAGTTATGACGCTGACAATGAAGATTTTGGTGCCCAGGATGTATCAAAACTGGATACATGGGTTTTTGATAGTATTAAGGTACGTGGTATTGAGAGGTTAATGTACAGCACACGTATTTCTACCTAGAGCACTAGAAACCAATTTGTTAGTAAATGCATCTTAGTTGTTTTCTACTTGTGTGAATGTGAAAGTCCTATATTGTAGCACACTATTTTTAAAAGACTGGATTCCAAGAAATTATACATTCTACAATAACCAATTAAAGAGAACTTCTAAAAATAATTTTTAAAAGATAACCTTTTCATAGTACCTGTTTCTGACACTTAATGAGCCCTAGGCTGGAACTGGGTTGACCTGTGTTTCAGTCCTCGCCTGCGGCCCGTCCTCGGCGTGACTTTGCCGCGACTTTGCCGCCCTCTCACAGGGGCCGCCCCGTGTGAGGCGGTGACCGCCTTCTGAAAAGGGTGGTTGAAGCCTAATGCAGTTGTAAGAACAGAAAGTAGGTTTTTATAAAAATTGTACTTTGAAGAAAAATTCTGTTAAGTAAAAACAAATTAGCAAGTTAATCAATAAAATATGCATGTAAGAATTCTTTGACTCTTTGATAATGACAGTTACCGCAGTGTCACCAGGAATCCAGTTAAAATTCATCAAAAATTGTGGGAAAATCTCAGTTGTGGCTATTGGCTCTCTCCTTTCTGTCAATCCATTGTTTCTCATCTTCAAATTATAACTTATAATTCATTTGTTGTAAGAAGCTTCCATTGATGGACCTTTAATGATTCTTTTTACCAGTTATGTCTCTGAACTGACGTTGTAATCTTCTCCATAATGTAGTCATTTTTGTTCATTTGTTTGTAATAGACTCTTTAGTGTGTGTTTGCATTTGTCTTTGTGTTTACATAGCAGGAATTAAGTGCTCTACATTCTTTGATAAACACTACTTCTTTTATCAGTATTTTTCTCCTTGAAATTTTCTTTTTTTAAGTAACAGACTTTTGTCAACGGAGAGAACTTTCAGGTTAAATTAAATTTCTTTAAGAAAATAATTAGTGAATTTCTTTGCTAATCATCATGTTTTAACATAGTCTACTTATTTATGTTAGCTGCTGCTTAAAGGCCCTTGGCTTACATAGCTAAAAATGCTCGAAAATCATGAATCTGATTTCTTGTGGGTGGGCATATATATATAGCTGGTGGTGTTAGCTGCTGCTTAAAGGCACTTGGCTTACATAGCTAAAAATGCTCGAAAATCATGAATCTGATTTCTTGTGGGTGGGCATATATAGCTGGTGGCTGGCCTGATCTTATGCCTTTTTTTCCTTCTTTATTTCCATATTGCTAGCGTTGGTGAACAGAAAGAAAAGATTTGCCCATGACTTCATTTAAAAAATATATATATAGCAACAAAAATAGGAAATCATCAACAGTAACTAAACAGTGTGAAGGAAAAATACAAGGGCTGAGAATATGTCTTTAGAAAATTCTGGCCTAGACTGAACAGCGCTAGGGAAAGACTTTCCTGAGAATGCTGAGATGATCTCTGAGGCTACATGGGCGACAGGAACAATATGGACCTGGATCGCCAGTGGCATTCTGTGCCTCTGGGGCCCCGAAGGAAGAGCCGGCCTGGGCTTGAGGAAGCCTGAGGGGTGGAGAGGTTAGCATGGCAGGACCGCGGGCTGGGAGCGAGGTTTGCCAAAGGGCTGGAGAGGGAGTCAAGGGTTTTATCTGCACTCTGCGCGCTGGCCAGAGACTCACGCCTAACACAAGCCAAACAGTTTACAAATCCATGCAAATTTCTACTCACTTTTTTTTTCAGTTGGGGTAAATATACATAACATAAAATTTGCCATCCTAGCCATTTTTAAGTGTACAGGGTCAGCAGAGTTAAGTACATGCACATTGTTATGCAACCGATCTCCAGAACATCTTCATCTTGCCAAACGGAAACTCCATGCCATTAACCAACAACTCCTCACTCCCTGCCCCCCACCACACACACACTGCTCCCCAGCCCCTGGCAGCCACCATCTACTTTCTGTTGCTGTGTATTTGATTACTCCAGTTACCTCATAAAAAGGAAATCATACAGTATTTGTCTCTTTGTGACTAGTGTATTTCACTTGGCATAATATCCTTAAAGCTCATCCATGCTGGATCTCTTTGCTTTCTGAAACTCAGCTGGTGCACCATTTTCTGTATTAGGCCTTTCCTGGCTTCCCCTTGCTTTGCCCCACTTCCCACCCGACTTAGGTAATAATCCTCTTCTATGTGCCCTTAAGGCCAGTAGTACTGCTTTATTTTTGGCTCTTGTCAAAATATTTCTTCAACCTCCTATGTTTTATTCAATGGTATGAGATCTTCATAAAATCAGACCTCCTTCCTATAGCCTATTTTTGCCACAGGAGATAGCTCACTCCCTATTGAACACAGATGTCTCAAATGACAACAAGGACCTTGTGTTGGTAGGCCTGAGGGCAAATTTAAGCAAAATAACATAATGTTTTAGTTAATGTATAAATTTTAAATGTGTTCATCAGAATTATTTTATAAATAAAATAAATGAACTAAATTTTTTAACTGATTTGTTACATATAGGAATTCCTTCATGCTGCCAGAAACAACCAGTCTTTGTTTTCTAAACTAAAAGAAGAGAAAGTAGTTTTTTTCTTACATTTATTAGGATTAGATACAAATGGACATGCTCACCGACCAACATCGAGGTAATTTTAATGCTGTGTTTTATTTCTTGTATTTGTGGGAAACAACCATTCTGTTTGAACTTTTAAAGTATTATAATAGCTTTTTTTGTGATTTTTCACAACAAAACTTATATTTTAAATAACTCTAAAGTAAAATAAGTTCTCAGTGATATGAACTGTAGATTGATATAGAAGGTAAAATCACATGTGCTGTGGCCAGACTGCACATTAATGTGAGTAAAATATATCCTGTATTCATTTATCGATAAAGAGAAAAAATTTATATATTTTAGAAATTCAGTATATCTAGAAAAGTATTTTTATGGTGTTATATCACAAAAAGATGTAATTGGCTCTTCCATTTAATCAGTATTATATCTAGCAAGTCACTGCATAAACTTTTGTATACTGTACTTCAGTAGTATTCCTTATATAGAATAGCAAATATTTTTCTCACTTTTGCAGACCGTAAGGAAGAGGAAGAATCCATGTTATACTTTTAGACTTTATCTCAAATTTGGTTGAGAATAGTCTTAACTGTAAAGCCTATTGAGTAGCCGCCAGTAACAAATACCCATGCTCCCCGCCTTTCACACGATGCACTGTTTTAACTAATAGAGGTCACACCAAACCAGCCTCCCTCAACCTGCCTTGCCATCCTAGCAATTTTTAAGTGTACAGGTATAGAAAGCGTAAATGTAATTCATTCAAAACCTATCTGCTATGATATTACATTATAATATTTTATATCACAAACAGTCTAAGGCATGAAAACATTCCATAGTTGAAACAGTTATATTTACCTGTTGATGCAGCAAGGGCAATATAGTTTGCATTATGAAAGACATGAACTGAAGGCATTGCTATTGCATTTGAGACGTAAAAAGCATTCATTAAAATGTATTTGCTAATTAGTACCCTCCTCTTAAGTCATTTCTGAAAACTATTTCATATCCTGTTGCTTCTTTAAACAGAGAAAACATTACTTTTAACAATCTAAACAGCTCTGGTTTTAAAATGTTAAAGGAGAAATCTAAAAGTATTTCAGGAGTTAATTGACTTTGAATGTCATGAGTTCATGTTGAGTATGATTTTTCCAAATTTAATTTCTGTTTCTTTTTAAACAGGGAATATAAGGACAATATTAAAATAGTTGATGAAGGAGTCAAAGGACTTGTGTCTCTCTTTAAAGAGTTCTATGGAAATGATGAGAAAACGGCCTTTATCTTCACCTCTGACCATGGAATGACAGACTGGGGTGAGCCCGTCTTTAAGCAACGTGTACTTTATGATTAAAGTGGTAACTGAAGCTTGCAGATACAGCATTTAGGAGGATTACGTGTCTTAGTGTATGCAAAGTGTCTAGCATATAATTGTTTAAAATGTTAGCATAAAAAAATTCTGAACTTATATACAAAATCTTCTGACTGTAGAAGGACTATTTTCTCACAATGTAACTTAGGGAAAAGTGGGGAGGAGAAAACAAAAACTACCAATACTTTCCTACCTAGCGTTAGCTGTGTGTGATGGCAAAGGGGCGAGGGAGAATCGACCCTAGGCAATCCTGTCCGCGCTGTGAGAGTCCCTAGGAAACACAGTGTGTGCCCAGGGAACAAAATGGGGCAAAGATGAGGTTTGAATACAGAATCCTAGTGAGCTGATTCCACTTTGAGAAGGGCTTTTGGCTGCACCAGCCGGAGAGGCCTGGAAGGAAGACACCTAGAGACCTCGCCATCCCCTCTGGGACAGACCTGGCGGTAGCCGCTTGTCCCAAACGTGGGAGGTTCCTCCCCAAAACCGCTGTTTCCCTATTCTTTCTGCCTTGGGAGCTACTCCAGCAACATCTTCTCCATGTCTTATTGTTAGTATTCTTAGTTTTTTTTTCAGCCAGAGTTACTCAGCAGACATTCTGCCCTTTTTGTTTGTTCATTTGTTTGTGCCTGTTTGGTGATGCTGCTCTGACTTGCTTTGGGAGTATTTTAGAACTAATTGTTATACAGAGTTGCAAGCATTTGCAAGTGTGGTAGCTAGAATTAACAATAGATGAATTAACTTTAAGCATTTAAAAAGTAAATATTTGGGTATAAGTTAGTTTGTATGGACTTGCCTTATTCCTCTTGGTGTCCTTGCAGGTTCCCACGGGGCTGGCCATCCTTCAGAGACCTTTACTCCTTTTGTCACTTGGGGAGCTGGAATTAAGTATCCCCAGAAAGTGTCGGCTCAGCAGTTCAATGACACACTTTTGAAAGGTATAAACATTTATCTTTATCATCTTTATAAATAGAACATTTTAAAATAAAACCAAAGTTTAATTTTAAAAAATCCTTTTCAAGCCCTGACTGGTGTGGCCCAGTGGGTTGGGCGTTGCCCTGCAATATTGCCTGTTTGCTTCCCAGTCAGGGCACAAGCCTGGGTTGCAGGCCAGGTCCCCAGCTGGGGTTGTGCAAGAGGCAAACCGAATGATGCTTCCCTCCCTCTCTTTCTCCTTCCCTTCCCCTCTCTCTAAAAAAAAAGAAATAAAATCTTTTTAAAAAATCCCTTTCAAGTGACAGTTTTCCTTTTGATGTTGTGCCATTACTATTTATATATATTACTTTTATATAGTTCCTATTATTTGATTTATAATATTCAGCTCCTATAGTCTTAATCATTTGCCTTATGAAAGTTCAAGTATAAATTTTACTGATTTTTTTTTCACATTCCTTATTTGACTGGGGTGTAGATTAAACCCTGAGTCAAATCTTATCTGCAAAGACTATCAGATAAATCACCCATATGTCATAACTGATGTTTCACAACTGGGCAGATTGTGCCCTAACTCTAGTAGTTTTGAAGCCTTTCTAAGTTGCCCAAGCCTTCCTTGCTTCTCAGTTCCTGAAGAAAAAAGAATTAAGGTAAGGTTCTTTTTCAGGGTTCCACTGAAGTTTTTATTGATTGGACAAAGCAAATTCCTTTCAAACGCCTTACTCTGATTTAGTTCATCAGACTCACCCACACCTTTATTTTGTTAAAAATAAAGATATTTTAAGAATGCATATTTCCAGATCTTGTGACTAGATATTTTGAATGCATGAGTATGGGTGAGGCCTAGAATTTTTTTAAAACCCTCCTCCAGGGATTCAGACTCAAGTTGTGTTCCATTATTTTTTTACCACAGAATCATAGAATACTCTTTGTGGTCTGTATATTCAATTTCTTGAAATGCTTTCATTCTCTTTGTGAGTTTTTTTAATGGAGATATCATTCTCATACTATAAAATTCACATTTTAAAATTGTATAATTTATTCTTTTGAGTACATTAACAAGATTGTGCAGTCACCTCTACTATCTAATTATAAAACATTTCACAATTCTGCCCCCCGCCCCCAAAAAAACCCATTAGCATTCACTCATTTCTCCCTCTCCCCATCACTTTGCAACCATTAATCTACTTTGCATCTCTATGGACTTGCCTGTTCTGGACATTTCATATAAATGGGATCATTCATTATATGCCGCATCCGATTTCTTCCATATGGCATAACATTTTCAAGGTTCATCTATGTTGTAGCACGTATTACTGGTTTATTTCTTATGGCCAAATAATGTTTCATTGCAGTATACACTGTATTTTTCTATACAGTCATCTTATGGACATTTGGGTGGTTTTCGCATTTTTGACTGTTAACAGTAATACCACCATGAAGACCTGTGTGAAAGTTTTTGTGTGGGCATATGTTTTAATTTCCCTTGGGTAGGTACATAGAAATGGAATAAATGGGTTATATGAAACTCCATGTTTAATTTTTTGCAGAACTCCAACAAACTGTTTTCCAATGCAGTTGCATCATTTTATATTCCTATGCCCTGTGGTAAATGGATTAGATTCAATCTAAATAGAAGCTAGGTTAAATAGTATGCCTGTACTTACGAGACAGAACTGTATTTTGGCATTTGATTTTTTTCAGTGAATTAATGTTTTAGAATCACATGACTTCAAGAATCGTGACAGAAAAAGTGTAGTTTTTCTTATATGAATATTAAGTGTTACTAGTTAGAAAGGAAATATTCTTTTCCTCAAGAGGTGGTTAGCGTGATTTTTATAGTAGCTGACTAATAGAAGCAGAAACATATTTTAAACTTTATTAACTTATTAAAAGAAATTTCATTGTAAAATATCTTAGAAGCCTTTCAGCAATATATCTTCAAGTCATTAAATCAAAACATAGGCCCTGGCTAGTGTGACTCAGTGGACTGAGCACCAGCCTGTGGACCAAAAGGTTGTGGGTTCAATTCCCGGTCAGGGCACATGCCTGGGTGGCGAGCAAGGTCCCCAGCTGGAGGTGTGAGAGAGGCTACCAGTTGCTGTTTCTCTCACACATCATGTTTCTCTCCCTTTCTAAAAGTAAATAAATAAAATCTTAAAAAAAAAAAAAAAAGACATGGTCTCATAATTATTTTGATTACTGTTTATTGAAATTTCTGAATGTATAGAAAGGTAGAGGAATGAGGTTGTCTTTGAAGGCAGCTGTAATAGTAACTTTACTGTTTGAACTTTTGGGGTGACTGCCGGTAGGTGCATGACAGCTACAGCTTTATTTCGCAAGCAGCCGCCGTGACAGGAGACCCCGTGCGGCTCCCCGGGACAGGGCTGGGTTAGGTGGAGCCTGCTCATGGTCATCGTCACTGTGCCTTTTAGTTCCATCGTCTCTTCATTAGCCTTCTGATGTTCTAAACGTTATCTCCAAATGGGCATTTTGAAAGTTTAATAAGTTATCACAGAAAACAGCACATGTTTTTCAGTTATTCTTTTAAAATGCTCATTTTAAAAATGCACAGCTCTGCCTTTTAAGAATTATTTGGGTTCATACTGGCTTAAAATAGACTTTTCCAGTACTTTGGTGTTTCATTAGCATTGACCACTTGTAATAATGAAATGATCCATTCTTTTTTAATCTTAACATCAGCTTTTGTGTCTAATTATGTTTTTCATGTTTTTCAGAATGGAAATTGGAGTACTACAAGAGGCAAGATATCAATCAGGTATTCATCTCAATTTATCATGTTCAAATTTACTTTTATCTCCTCTTAAACAAATTTACTTTTATCTCTTGTTAGTCCTGTTCGACCAGAAAAAACCCAAACACCTGAAAAAAACAGGTATTAATAATAATGATGATAAATGATCTTTTGAAACAATTCAATTACCAAGGGAAGTCCTTTCGGTGCAAATATTTTAACCCAACTAATTTTCTTTTGATAAAAATATACAAAGCCTCAAGTAAAACTAAAAGAAGACTCCCTCCAAATAACAATGGCTAATTAATTAATAATATGTAAATTGCAATTTGCATGCCTGTTAAATTTCTGTGCTTTCTTGTTGTGTATGGTTGCCTTGCTGAGTGCTTTAAGCACAAGTCTAATAAAACCTCATTACAGGTGGCTTTCCTGTAGTATGTCAGTTACTGTTTCTTTATTGACACATATTTTATCTTTAATTCCATCCAGGATCCTTACAAACGCAAGGGGGGAAACTGACAAGAGTATAAATGACCCAGCTAGAAAGCTTATATTATAGGAAAATGCACGGCCAGCTTGATCAAGTTAGACTAGTAACATCGTCTATAAATGGGATGCACAGAAATTTCATTGTTGAATATGTGCTGTATAAATATATTCAATTATTTCACTACTTGCAGAAAGCATGGCATCGGATGTACAGCCTCCATAGCGGCAGGAATATCTTACTTTCCCCAGGCCAGCTCCCAAGCTGACACTCCCTACTGGCGCGGGTGTGCCAAGGCCTGGGGTCCCCCCGACAGGCCTGCGGGTGCAGGAGCTGGTCTTTTCTGCACATTAAGGATGCTCTCTCTTCTCAGGGTGGCTGTGTGTTACCAAATACATGCAAATGCATAAAATCAGAGTAGCAACTTGTTGATTTGCAGTAAAAATGACTGTCAAAGGGGTAGGAATAACTTGAAAACTATAGAACAGGAACGTGTTTTGCTTACAGCCAGACTGGGTTATAATAACAAACTGAATATAGATTTGGCCGTTTCTCTCTCCATAATGCTACTTCAGATCTACATTAGCTGAGAATTTATACGTTTCTTCCATCAACATTATTATGCGCCTGCAGTATTGTTTAAACATTGTACAAACATTATCATTCAACATTGTGTCAGTGGTATAATGGTGGGTAAAAGACACAACCCCTGCCCGAGGAAGCTTATTCTTTAGGGGTGAGCACAGATACTAGTCAAATACTTAGACAAATAGATGTAAAATTGTAGCTGTGGTGAGTACTACGGAAGAGGCCCGCGGAGCCTGGAGGGCGCAGAGCAGATGTGCAGTAGTCCCCCTCATCTGTGGCTTCTCTTTCTGTGGTTTCAGTTGCCCACTTTCAACCACAGCCTGAAAATATTAAATGGAAAATTCCAGAAATAATTCATAAGTTGAAAATTGCATGCCATTCTGAGTGGTATGATGAGATCTCCTTCCACCGCGCTCCATCCTGCCCAGGACGTGAGTCATCCTTTGCCCAGCTTCGCCACACTCCCTGCCCATGCGTCACGTAGTAGCCGTCTCAGTCATCAGATCCACTGCTGTGGTATTACAGTGCTGTGTTCACGTCACCCTTATTTTACTTAGTAGTGGCCGCCGGGTGCCAGAGTAGGGCTGCTGGCGATTCCCCTATGCCAAAGAGAAGCCTTAAAGCGCTTCCTTCAAGTGAAAAAGTATGTATGTATAGGGAAAAACATAGTATGTATAGGGTTTGCTGCTGTCTGCAATTTCAGGCATCTACAGGGGTGTCTTGGAAAGTATCCCCTGGCACCTCTATATCTGGTAGCCTGTGTGGCCAGCAACGGCTTCAGAGAAATTGAGGATTGAGCTGAGATTGAAAAATAATAGGAGTTACCAGGCTTTTCAAGCAGGGGGAGCAATACGTGCACAGAACTCTGCTAAGAGGGCACACGGCATGTTGAAGGGTTTGCAGGAAGCTGGTATAAGGAGCAGCAGAGCCTGGTGTGGTGTGAGGCGGAAAGAGGTAGCACTAGACCTTGCAGGGCCTTATGGGCCCTGGGGGCTTAATCCTGAAGCTCAGGAAAGGCCTTGAGTGTCTGACCCCTGAGAGTGGCGTGATCTACTTCTTTGTGTGGGATTCCTGGGGATGCAATGTGGACAACAGATCGCAGGAGGCGCGCCGTGGGTTCCGGGGAAAGGCCATTAGTAGACCCCTGTAGTTTTCCAGTTTTCTGTGGGGTGGCACTTACTAAAAGAGTCCCGATGGTAAAAGGTAAGAAGGATTGAGACCCTGGTAATGGGCAGTCACAGGGGCCGGAATGGAGCTTCTGCACAGCGCCGCCTAGAGGTCCAGTAACTAATAATTGCAGCGGTGTCTGTAGCCACCAGTTTATTGCAGATTATTGTGTGCCAGGTACTTTATACATTTAATCTCATTAATCATGCCATAACTCTATAAGGAAGAGAATTCTGTTTTCTAACTGGTAAGGAAACTGAGGCATTGAAGAGGGTAACTGACCTGCCCAAGGTCTCAGAGGTTACAAGCAAGGATTTAAAAATGGTCGTTCTAACATCCAAGCACTTTACTGCCTGAAAAATGGTAAGGCCTAATATAAAAACTGGCAATAAGATTTAGAAAAGTGGAAGTTACTAGTTCTCTTAGGGAGAGTGGTCTGGCAAGAGGCACCTGAACAGGAGCTGTATGAAATGGTATTTGGGGTCTTCTGTTGAAGGGGCCTCTTATCTGGTGTATCTTTTCTGGACTTCACTTGTTGGCCACACCTCCTTCTGATACATTTTTTCTTTAGTTAATATATACATTTGTACAGGTAAAGTCTACTATTGCTATGGGTTTTTTTGTTTGTTTAATTAAGGCATCCTTTTCATAATACTGAAAATCTGTTACACAAAGTGGTCAAATTCCTAGCTAGTAGGATAAATAACTTTTTGTTTTAATGTGTTTTACATTTGGAGCTCTTAATGGTTTCTTTTCAAATTTATTTTTTCATAAGGTCATGTCCCTCTAGCAAATGACATTTTTCGAGATCAATATCTAATGCGTATTAAATGTTTGAAGATAATAGATTATAACAAACATGCTGCTTATATTACAAAATGTGTGCAGTAAATGAATTTTCTTGTTGATGTCTGTAGACTTTTTAAAACTGGACTTGTTCTCTTTGTAGGCTGATATAGCACCGTTGATGGCTTCTCTTATTGGAGTCCCCTTTCCCCTTAATTCAGTGGTAAGGAACAGAATTTTTTTATCAACTCTCAGAATAAAACAATATATTGTACAGTAAAATTTACTTTTTATATGTTTCTGAGTAATCTTTGATTACATGTAAAACTATTCTGCTTTACATTTTTTCTAAATTTGTAATACCCTATGATTGTGTGTGTATTATTATCTACAAGATAGATAACAAGCTTAATAGGTTTTCTATGAAGTCTTTTATTTTCTAAAATGTCTACAGATTTATATTTGTATTTCATCCTAATGAAATAATTTCATTATTATAGTCAAGTGTATGTGTATCTGTGTGACTGATACAAAAGTTTGACAAGATAATCCTCACTCATATGCAAAATACACTCTCATATTTTTTATTGTCTTTTTTCTTTTAAGTTTGTTAGTTTTGGCCCACCATAGGGATATTTTGTGCGTGCAAAGCACTTAGTTCATTGCCTAGCACAGAGTAATTTTTCAGTAAATGTTAGGTTGTAGTGAACTTAATTCATTTCTTTTGCTTTATTTACTTTATTTATGTTATTTATATAAGAGAAAAATAAAAGGGCATTTTTCAGTTACGGTTTAAAGAAAGATTTTTTTGTTTTATTTTTCCAGTAGTTTATTTGTCCATATGTCTTACCTTCATTGCTTCCTCTGTAAGTCTACTTAATACTAATTAAGTAGAACTTTGTTAATACTAATACTAAAACAGTATTTATTATGTACAGGGAATCCTTCCTGTGGATTATCTTAACAACACTGGTGTCTTCAAAGCAGAGAGCATGTTTACAAATGCAGTCCAGATTCTTGAACAGTTCAAGGTAAAATAAGAGACGCAGTTGTAAAATTGAATATATTAAATGAAGACATTTGATTTGTGCTTTAAGAAATTATTTTCTACAATTCAGTGTCTTTAAAGTTTGTGTATTTGACTAGTGTCACAGAGTTTCACGTTTCTGAGGTTCCACAAATTAGTGTGAGGGTGTAGAACTACCTCTGAGGAGTCTCCCTCATTGTAAGCCTCCCACATATGCTTAAAGACTTTAAACCAAGTCTTTATTATTTGGCCTTTGCCCCTGTAGAAGCAGCATTAGTGACTGCAACATTTCTTGTCATCCCTTGCACATTGGTATATGCGTTAGGAACTTAAAAAGGTGACCGTTTAATGGAAACTTTGTTATTCTTAATACAATTAATGCAGCTTGGCTTATTTTGTTTTCTAAGAGTTAAAGTACAGTTTAATTACATTACAGAATGTTCTTTTGCAGACTTGCCATCCTTAATTTTCAGTTTATTGTAATAGAATGAGCATGTTAAATTTTTCTTTAAATATTTATGAAATAATGTAGTAACACAAAATTCCATTTATTTTCAAAGTAGTTAACCAGCCCTGAAGACCCATTGTAATGGATGTTTATATTTCAAAATGAGATTAGTTGATTTTTTTCCTCATTTATAATATAATTAAATATTTTCATACTTGGTTCCCAGGTGAAAATGACTTATAAAAAAGAAGTTACTTTACCATTTTTGTTTACACCGTTTAAGTAAGTATTTTTTATTTATTAGTTGATAGGAAATAATGTTTCAATGAGTTTAAATGCTGACAGAAAAAATTACTTAAAAACTTTGTCTTTTTTATATGCATTAGTGCAAACTCCAAAGTGAAAACCTCGTCTCTTGTTTTTGTAAGTAATGAGCCAGATGTGAGCTGGATGTCTTTGAATGACTGGTGGAGGAGGTATAGGGTGCAGAGAGGTAAGGGAAACATGAAGGAGATAAATTCAGTAGGGCTTGGCTGGGAAGGTGTGAGGACTCTTGGCTGGGCTGACGGGGAAGGCACTGGTACCATAGGGCTTATAGAAAGAAGGAAGAGCTGGTCTGAAAGGCAAGGATGAAGTTTCAAGTTAAACTTAAAGACATCAATGACTTGGTTAGAAACGGGATCTTAAGAAAGTAAAGAGAGTTGATGGTGATGATTTTGGAGCCATCAGCATAAAGATGGTGCTAGAAATGAATACACTTCCACAGGAGGCTCTGGGCAGAAGGCAGGGTGCGACAAGCCAAGGCCAAGGACACTATCCTGGGAAACACCGTCGCCTACAGGGTGGGTGAGGAGGAGAGCAGACTTTGGTGGACAGCAGACTTTGCTCTCTTATGTTCCAGAAAGATGCATTTCCCCTGACTCTGGGATGGGGAGATTTGCATCACAAACCTGGCTCTGCAATACTGACAGGTTTATTCAACCCCCTTGAAATGCGCCTTCACCTAGCAAGGATTCACATTTAATTAGGATGAATTTTGCTCCTGACCAAAACAAATAGAAATTGTTTGAAATATGGATGTTAGGGATGTGATTGAATGCCCTATTGGAATTATATTTGACAACTTATATAACATGAATATGGAATTCATAAACTAGAAAGGCTTAAATATTGCTCTTCCCTGTGAGTACTGTGACTGCATGCCTGACTCTGTGTGCGCGCACGTAGGGGAGCAGGACCAACGCAAAATTAAGATTTTGCAAGTTATCATATGCAATTAATTACCAGTGCATAAGACAACCCCACAGCAAAGAATTATTTGGCCAAAATGTCAATAGTACCAAGAAACTTCACAAACTACTCTTGACACATTTGATCTCCATACACTGCATAAATCTCTTTTTATGTTTCAGTTGCATTTTTACTTTTCTTGAAATAATACAGCATAATATGCTGAAAACATTGCGTATTTTTTCCATCTTCAATATTAAAATAGCTGCACAAAAATCCACCAATTTTGATAAGTTGTTTTTTTAATGCACGCTGACATGACAGCTGTTACAGTACAATCTAACAAAATTGTTTTGAATGAAGATAAAAACAACTAAGCACTACTAGAGCCATTGTACCGAAAAAAACGAAACGAACATTTTGGCCAGCCCAACAGAAAGACTGGTCGGGGAAGCACTCTTCTGTAAGGGGCTCAAGTGCACACTGCCCACCTTTTACTTGGCCTCCTGACTACGCACCATGAACTTGCTGTGCTTTGTTGCTCAGCACCTGCCTGCAGAGCCACTGCTGGCTTTGTGTCACCTCGGGCTCAGCAGGACAGTTGCTTCCCACCCATTGGCTCGCCCACCCTGGAGCAAAGCCACTAGCTCTGCCGCGCTGGAAAATCACCATCTGTTGGAAGCCTGCAGCATAACGAAAAAGCCTTCAGTCAGATGAAGAATTGGCTCTTGAGGAAGTGGATAATTTAAGGAACAGAGAAGAAAAAATATTAAACTCCTCAGGAATATCGAGAAATGATTGTACCATAAGATAAAAAGCAGCATAAACTTTACAAAATGAGAAAGAGTACAAGATGCCTTTTTTAAAAAAGGAAAATGCAACTGAAAACTTAGGGAAGGCTAACCGATACGGGAATGGTCCAAATGGGAGGCAAGTCCTACAGGAAAGAATAGGAAGCGAGTAGATCTCAAGTAAAATGAAATGATTTTTAAATGACATAGATTGAGTAAGGAGCCGGGCGAGGCACAGTGACTTATGCAGAAGGCAGACCTTCATCCTCCAAAACAACGACACCTGGAAACTTCAGGAAAACGAAAACATTTCAAAATGTACAAGAAATTTAATTTACAAGCGACCTAAGATGTGACGTAATTTTGAACAGTTGCTTAGAGTATGAGAAAGGCAATTTAGCCCTGACTGGTATAGCTCAGCGGGTTGGGCATCGTCCCACAAACCAAAACCATCACTGGTTTGACCCCCTGTCCGAGGTCAGGGCACATGCCTAGGTTGCAGCTGGGCCCGGCTGGGCGCATGCGAGAGGCAACCTATTATGTTGCTCTAGTACATGGATGTTTCTTTTCTTCTCTCTCTCCCTCCCTTCCCCCTCTCTAAAAATAAATAAAATCTTTTAAAAAGAAAGGACATTCATTTGAACATCGACACATGGATCAAGGAAATCTAATTATAGCATAAAACTTTGCTACTCAGTTAACAGTACTTAAATAATCATAATGTAAATATTTGTTTTCTGTTTTTAGAGTCAATCCTTAGACAAAATATGGAAGACTTAAAATTATAGAATAGAATACAAATGTTACCAGCCTTGACAATGTACAGGATTACAGGTTGTAGGGCAGATGAGAAAAGAAATGCAAATAGAATAGTAGTGATGCGGTTTTCCTCATGAAATAGAATGTGGAGAGTCTGGTGATAGTCGAGAGAATAGGCCAGATTATTAAAGTGACCAACGTAGCCAACAGATGCGGTAAAATTAGTAATATAACCATGCTGAAGGGGGAAGGGACAGCAGAAATTGCCTCTGGTCATCTAGTCAAGAAGTAGTGATAGAAGCATATTATTAAGAAAAATGGAACTACCAGAAACACTCAAAAAAAGACCCATTACAAATATTTGTGTCTGGTTTGGGGGACTTGAGAGATGAGTAGAGTGGGACAGGGATGTGTTGGTTGTCATTACGCCTTCCTGTTTTATTTTTAAAAATTATATGTATATATTGCTTTGATAAAACATTTTAAAAGAAATAAAGTATTTGAATCAAAATCATTGGCATGAAACAAAATCATAAAAATCATGGACATGAATAAAAAATTTATTTTTTCATATAAATTTTAGAATCACCATCATCTTGAGTTATAATGAGGAATTCTTTCATTATTATACAATATTTAGGAAGTAATTTGGAGGAAATTCACATTTTTACAACATGTACCATTACCATCCAACATGTATTTATATCTTCTGTTATGCCCTTAAGTAAAATTTTAGTTTTCCCCACAATATACATTTCTCATTATTTTATTCCTGGGTATTTTTATTTCTGTTCTTGTGTAGTATCCCTTTTGTCCTATTATATATGTTCAGTATACCAGGAAAAACAGTTATCACCATTTACCATCTGACTACAATGGGTTCTTTTTTCTAGTCCAGTGAATTTTTCTTCATTTCTACACCATCTGTTTCCTTTCAGTCATTGTTATATATATACCTAATGTGAGCATTGTCCACTTAGAAAATGTAGCAATTAAACATTAGCACATAAATATTATGAAAAATGAAAGAATACTGTTGCATATGCTTGTTGTAAAACAGATAGCTCAGGCGCATGTTACAAACAATAGTGTGATGATGTCCTTTCCTTTTGAGTAAGTACCATATTTTCTTTTTCTTTTTAGAAATAAATATATTGTTCATTCACCAATTCTTAAGTTTGAGAAAGTTTATCTAGGATAGTGACACCTGAAAATTCATAATCTTCAGATTTCACTTACATGATCAATTTCACCAGCATTACTAGATTTGTTTAATGGTGTCTGTCCACCATTCCTCCATTGTCTTAGTCTTTTCCAGAATTAATGATTGATGAATAATGTAATAATTTCTAGGGTGATAAAACATCAAATGTTTCAACAAAAAGGAAAAATTAAGTTGCTGAAGTCTCTGAGACTTGTAAAAGGGTCCAATGGATCCATATGGTAATCGTATATCCTGTTTTACCCTATTCTTTAAAAAAATAAGTACAGTTTCTTTTTGATATTTTAAAGACCCATGAGAAATAATCAAAGTCATGAAATAGCCATTCCCACAAATAGAACTGCTGGGAAAAAACCCTCAAAGCTGAAACAGGGTCGTTAGACCCCAATGCGATGCCAAAGAGTGATCAGCAGATGGAGCTACAAGACTAGGAGAAGCACGAAGGGTTTGCCTCTATGTGTAAGCACCTTAAAAAGGAGGAAAAACACTTTGAAGTGTGCACTAAGGAGGGCAAAGGAAGACAAGAAAAACTTTGAAAGAAAAAAAAAATTTATGAAATGGGAAAAGAACAAGAAAGTTCTCTTAAGAAATATTTAGCCCTGGCTGGTGTGGCTCAGTGGCTTGAGTGCTGGCCTGTGAACCAAAGGGTTGCCTGTTTGATCCAGTCAGGGCACAGGCCTGGGTTGCAGGCCGGGTCCCCAGTGGGGGAAGAGGCAACCACACATTGATGTTTCTCTCTATTTCTGTCTCCCTTCCTCTTTCTCTAAAAATAAATAAAATCTTTAAAAAAAACTTTTTTAGGAAAAAAAAAAGATGGGAAGGAGATCATTGTACCTTGCCAATAGAAGCAAAAACATGTTTTCATTTAAAACACGTTTTCATTTAAAACATGTTTTCACTTAAAACACATTTTTATTTAAAGCTCACTATGTAAAATCAGAGAACTTTAACAAAATATCTAAATGTATTTTCTACTAAAAGGGCAAAAACACTTTGGTTCCTTTTAATATATTTGCTTCTTTTAGGCAGCCAGGATTCTTCCCTTAGACCACATTTAAATACTGGTTTTAATGTCAATCTTTCTACCACATCACTGATCTGATTTACTGATTATTTGCTAGAAATGTTTTCTGACCTAAAACCACCTTAAAACTTAAAAAGTAACTTTCACACATCCATGCATACATGCATACAGAGAAAAATATTCACTTACTCAATTCTGACATGGAAAATGACATCATTTTACATTATTGGTCAGTCTAAAGAATGCAGATTATTCTAGAAATAATTTTTTATCCTGCTTTCTGTGTCTATCTTTTTGAAATACTTTTTAAATCTAAATATTCTAAAAAGAAATGGGTGAGATATCACTAAGTATCTCTAAAATATTATGTGTAAATGCAAGCAAAATATTTTTGTAATAATAATCTGAGTAAGAAGATATGATACTTTAAATGGCAGCATTTTTAAGGAAATTTTGTCCAAACATGAGGTCACCCTGAATAATTGATAATACAATTTTTGATAATTGTAAAGCATGGATTTACTTTCTTCTATCATGTTCAAGTAAATGTGGGAAATGGATGGACTAATAGCAATCACAGTAAAAAAATATGTATAAGTCATACACATTTCTCTTATTTTTTTATGTAAGTATAACATGTTGCTAATAGATTCTTTTAAAACTTGATGTTTTCAATATAAAAGATTTAGTCAGTAAAGGAATTTTTTTCCATCAGATTACTATGTAGAAATGTGTTGTCATTATCATCAAATATTACTGCCAAATTCTCTTTTCTGGGAGAATATATATTGGAGTATATCCTGTTCGCATAATGACTCGTGTCTTTGTAATGGTCTTTTCTGTATTTTCAGTTCTTTCTGCTCTTCAGGCTCACTCAGGATATTTTTTACTGACCTGTTTCCCCTAGTACACCAAATCTCTCTTCACCTTTGTTCTGTTTGTACAGAACACTGTGATGAATTCCAGACATATTCCAAACCCTCGGTATGTCCCAAAGTTTATAAATAGTCCATTTAGGAAAAATGTAAATTAGCCTGACTCTGGTCTCTTTACTTAAGTACTCCATATAGAACACATTTCATGTATAATATAATGTACCATAATTAATTAATGTAACAAATACTTCTCTCTTAAAGCGTTTTATTTCTCTTATTCTTTTTAGCGCTTTGAAGTAATTTAGTTCCAGACCAGCTTTCTTTTCACATTTATATTTAATTGAGCAAATCATTAGGTGTTTTAAGAATGGCACTGTATATTATTCTTATTTCTCTTCCTTTTTTGGGCCTGCAATATTTTGATAACGTTTTAATCAATGAAGATTTATTGATTCATTTTATGTGCTTAGCACTTTGCTAAGTATTATTGTAGATATTCATTGAAATAATTAATGGCCCACACGGAGGTTACAATTTAATTGAAGAGAAATAAATTCCTTGTTAGACCACACTAAAGTGCTAATGGTGTGAGCTGAGGTTTGGAGTGGACCATAAAGCATGACGAGGATTAGATTTTGGAAAGTAGCGAGGGATCTTTATGAACAAGAACTGAGATGTGAATGCAAGATTGGTGACAAATGAAGAGTATAACCATTTTATAGCTGAGAGTATACATTTGGGTAATGGGAAATTTAGTAGAATAGAAGGAGATGCTTATCAAGAGTCCAGGAAGTATAGAATTGGTGAGGTAGACAGAAAGATGCCCCTGTTGAATTTATGTCAGTTAGAAGATGCAGTCTGTGTATTAGAGACCAAGGGGATCAGAGCAAGGGGAGAGGGATTAACTAGAGGATTGTATCAGAATTTGGAAAATTCACCTTAGATCTAACATTCAAAGAATGCCAGTGCCCCTGGCCTAGCCATTCCCTTTCTTAGAGGACAATGTCCCCCGCTGTGTGGTGTCTGAAGACAGAGCACTGGGTGGTGGAAGCCCGAGCGGAACGCTCTGGGGGCCCTGGATGTAGGCACAGTCTTAATTAGGGGCCCCCTGGAGAACTCAAGAGGGTTTGTAGATGAGCTTCTGGGGTTCCTGAATTTTCAGAAATTTTATGTAAGATTTCAGATTCTGTACATTTTCTAGACAGTTTCAGATTCTGAAAGAAGTCTGCGAACCCACCCAAATTAATAGCATTGCTTAAAAGATTTACTCCTACAAGTCTCGATCTCACTTCTTCAGAGAATGCTCAATCCAAGTAGAAAGAAGATATGTGTTCCTATTATGTTGCGCCATAGGAAATTGCCAATATTTAATTTAGTAGCTTTTGACATAGAAAAACACCAACTTTACATGATCTAACCTGATATATCCTTAAATAACTTTTTTGCACTTTTTAAATGCAAAAGTATCCAGTTTAGGAGGATAGAGTTTAGTTAAGAAAAATATGTTTGATTTTGCGTTTAAATATGTTTATTTCAGTAAGATAATTGAGTTCTGGTGATATTTTCTCAGTATCTATATTCCGTAAGCTTAATGTCTTTCGCTATAGATTCTTTCAGTTTATGCAGTATTAGGAGTATTTCTCTTGGTAAAACAAGGGCAGGGAAATGATGGGAAGAGACATGAAAGGTAGGGGGACCAGGAAGGGTATACGGTACAGGAAAAGAATGGCAAATAGGTTCGCGTTGTTTACTGACTTCACGAGTTGGTTAGGCTCTGCCTGGAGCTCTTGACAAAGTCAACCCTCGGCCTGTCTGGCTCGGGTACCAAGCACTGGGATGGCTCTGCCTTGTCAGTCGCTTCTGTCGCGAGCACTGAAGGGCGGAGCGGTGGGACTCAATCACTGTTTGCTGTGCCATTAATTATTCATTTAGTCAGAAGTTCTTTGTCCGCCAGAGTATTACACTTCTTGAAAATGATGTATTATCTGACTGCCCTAGTGTAGCGTGGCAGTTGAATCCCGGAGTCGAGAAGACCAGATTTAACTATAATCTGTTTCTAGGAAGAGTTCAGATAACCAGCAATAAATACAATTTAGCTCAAGGTTAATTTCTTTCTTTTGTTGCTTTGTTTATTTTCTCAATTTTCACCATCCTGTAATTTTCAATTAAGAAAAAAATATAATTGATGTAAGGAAACATTTTAAACCTAACCTTTTTTTTTTCTTTTGTAGGTTGCTTTCTGATTCTAAACAGTTCGACCTTTTAAGAAAAGCAAGATCTCATATAAAACAGAGAAAGTATGATGAAGCAGTAAGTATGCAGGCCTTCTATATACAATTAGCTGATCACCATTCTGGGCGTGGGGAGGGGCAAGGTGTGGCAGTGGAGGGCAAGGTGAGTCGGCCAGGGAGTTGTCCTGAGCCCTCAAGGAAGGCCGACTTTCCTAAGTCGCTGCTTTAGCCGTGGGCATGCTTCCCTTACTTCAGATGGTATTGTGGGTAGACCTTGTGGGGGTTAGCATTCGAAATGAACAGTTGCTGTTTTCTGTCATGAAGAGGTATAATCCCAGGTTCTGTCCCTTGGCTTATGCGTGGTATTTTAGAATGTGACCTCCTTGGACATCTGGAAGTACCAGCACTCCGTCAAAAGTCTGCTGGCTCCTGAAGAAGCACGAACTTTTCCCAGCTCCTACCTGACTATGCTTTTCATTAATTTTCTCTTTGTTAAATGGTCATATAACTTTAAAGTAGGAAAGAATTCTATTTTCAGTTTCTAAAATTCCTAAGTAACACCATACGTTTCTAATACTTATTTTTGTCACAGTTTTAAAATGATCAGCTACTCTCCTCTGAAATACTAAGTGGTTTTAATGATGTTTTATAACTGATTCGGGTAATCTGATAAGAGAAAGTCAAAAATGATATACATGTGGGCATCTTGATTACTTGGGGCCTATGTTAGAGACCCTTTATTCTTTTTTTAATGTTATCTGAAGATAACTTCCACAAAAAGAATCATTTAGAATCACTATACATCTCAGTTTATATTTAAAATGCCCTCTCTTATCAGGATTTAAAAATTCATTTTATTCAGGAATTTTTCTTATACTCTGCAGGGAGATCTTCAGACAAAATCTATTTTTGATCCATTAACTACAGTTACTCTATTTTAATAACTTTCCTTCCTTTAAATTTTAGGTTTCTTATTCATTCCATGTGGCAAGTTATATTTTTCTTTCTCCTTAGGTCTTCCTTTGCAAGGAGCTGATTGATCTTGCATTGAAAGGATTGTCCTATTATCACACTTATGACAGATTTTTTTTGGGCATCAATGTTCTGCTCGGTTTTGTGGGATGGGCATCTTATGCTTCTCTGTTGATCATCAAGTCTCATTCCAGCCTGACCAGAGGTGTTAGTAAACCAGTTAAGGTACGTTTAGAAAATACCGTGACAATTCAGATGATGATGTAAAATCACTGAGACTAAGGAAGTAAATTCATTCAACTCAACTGTGATGAGTTCATACAATGGGCAAGTTGTACTAAGCTAACTCTTATCTTTCACTTCTTCTTGTTGTATTACCTCTTTTTCTCCTCAGTTCTATTTTTTTTAGTTGGGAGAGAGGTATGTTAATATGTTAATCATAATGGCTCTCTCACTTAAGAGGGCTATAAAGATAGCTTATAACTTCAATTCTTTTGTGGCATGAAGTATTAATTTTATGTTCTTTTATAATTATTTAGTATGTCATAATTATTCCATATCTTTTTAATTATGGTGGTCAGAAAGCTACTTCAAAGCAATATATTTAACTTGATGTAATATTAAAAGTTTAGGAGCTAGAAAGCAATAAAATCACTTACTCAAAATGTCCACTTTTAAATAATTATATGTTTCCTGGGAAATATTTTTACCTCCTTTTAGCTTTTTGAACTTTCAGCTACAATTTTCTACTTATCCTCATTTTAAGAATTAATCCCTAGTTTACTATAGTTTCAATACCAAAAAACCTCTTTAGTAATACTTCATATTAACTGAGAAGATGTAACACTGCTTATATGATTTTACTACATTAAAACAATTTACTCTTTAAAATATATTAATTGTCCTTTACCAGGGAGAATATGCTACTTCCATTTCCTATTATTCTCCAATGATTATTACTGAGTCTTTTCTACAAAGTAATATATCCAGATGGTGTATTATTAATAATGCCAGACTATAAGATTTCTAGTGGTAACTTTTTCCAATTTTATTTTTTCTTTTTCTGTAATGGAAGGAAGAACAATAGTGTTTATTCCAGTTTCTTGCAGTGCTTTAATGCATCTTAAATAATTTTCTCAATACATCATTTGAATGTATACAAAATTGGCTAGAATAGGAATCATTTCTTATGTGGTAGGAAAGGAGACAAAAATAGCCATGTTTTAGTCATGAATATATCTAGGCATTCTGCTGGGTCCGTGAAATTTATTTTGCCACTTTAAGCTCGCAATGGTGCTAGAAGTAGGCATTATAATTTCTCCTTACAAAAGAGGAAACTGAAGCTGTTTAAGGAACTTCGAAAAGGACACTTAGCAAGGACGTGGAGGAGTCGCGCTCTGCATCTAGAGCGATCTTGTGCCACACACTTTCTTTTCATGTTTACCTTGATGTTCAGGTTATTGAGAAACGACATGTCCTTAGATTGATGTGTCAACAGGTTTCATACCTGATAGTTCTTTATTCATTAATCTGATCATGCAGCAAATACTTAATTGAGTGTATAGAAGAATGCTAAATGCTGCATAGGCTATGCCAAGAAATATAAAATTTAGATTCTGCCCTCAAGAGCTTAGAATTAAATAAAATATGAAATAGACATATAAACATAACCACCTTATCGGACATAGGTCACTACACTACATTACAAAGGACGACTTTAACTTTTAACAACTGCAACATATATTAAGTCTTTGAGTGTGATAAAAAGACTGTCATAGTTTAAATATAAAGGAGAGCTCACTTTAGCTGGGACAGTGGTAACAGGAAAATGTAAGTCTTGGTTGAAATGTAACGGACTGCAGAGAAAGGATGAGAATTAAAGCAAATTAAGTGGCCCTGGTGGGTTCAGTCCCCAGTCAGGGCACATGCCTAGGCTATAGGTTCGGTCCTGGTCAGGGAGCATGTGGGGGGGCGAATGATGGGCATCTCTCTCTCACATCGATATTTCTCTCTCTTTCTTCCCCCCCCCTAAAAATCAATAAACATGTCCTCAGGTGAGGATTTTTCAAGAGCAAATTAGATGGCATGCGTGGAGGCTAAGCTGGGCAGTGAGTAATGTTCATCGGGCCCCACTCCTCAGCGTCCTGGGCGCTTCGCGAGTGCTAAGCTTAGCTCTACCTGAAATTCAGTGGTGGTGATTCTCATCACATGGATTTTACTATTACAGGGGAATTTAGGCTCAGAGAGATACGTGTTTTCTTCAAGGATACGCCAGCATTTAATGGCAAAACTAATATTTTTTAAATTCATGCTCTTCCGACACCATGCTGCCTTTAAAACAAATAGTTCCGTTTGGGTACAATAGTTCACTTCGTTCAAGGGATAACACTGACAATGTAGAGGAGGCTGAAGTAATCAAAGGCTTCAAATGCCAGACTGGAGAACTTTGTTTAGTGAAGAGTTGGTGTGTCAGTAAGTTTTAAACCAGAGAAACAGAGCCAGTAGGGTCTATATATGAAGAGAGACAGTGTAAGAAATGGGCACATGACTGTGGCTGGCAGCGCCAGTTGCACAAGTACAGGTCTGTAAGTCAGACCGTCGGGAGGGGCAGGCTGGCACTTGCTGCCTCCGCAGGCAGGCAGGTACCGCGTCTTCCCCGGCGAAGCCTCCATTGCTGCTGTTAACCCCTTCCGTTGATCGGATCAGGCTCCTCAGGATCCTCTAGGATAACCTTACTTAGAGTCAGTTGGCTGTAGATTTTAATCATGTCTACAAGATACTGTCACCGCCAACGGCTCGATTTGACAGAGTAACTGGGGACTGTAGCCTACCAAGTGGACACATAGAACTGACCGTGACAGCGGAAATCATTAAAGTACTTTGAACCCTGTGCTTCTGTTTGCAAAAACCTTCCTGGTTCCTCTTCAGCAACTTGGGAATCTAGTGCCGTGACACCCTCTGAACAGTTCCCAAGGAAGACCGGAGTGCCCCAGGCTGCAGAGTTAGCGGAGGGTGGCACGGAGTGCAGGCAGGAGGCCTGATGGGGGTGGCTGTGCACGGGAGCGGGGTGCTTGCAGGTGCGTGCCGGGGGGGCTTCGCAAGGGGCCGTCGCCGCCAGGGGGAGGTCTCCCAGGGCGAGCGGGACAGCCCAGTGGGGAAGGGGAAGAGGATGTGCAGGGAGGGCAGCATGGGCCAGGTGGGGCGTGGGGTAGCCTGGCTCCTGCAAGAGCTGAAGTCGCTGCTGTGGCTGCAGCCGAGCGGGCTGTTGGGGAGTGAAGAGGAGCTTGTGATAGACAGTGCCCTCCGTGGATGGCTTCAGTGAACTAAATGGTTTCGTCAAATTGCCAAGCAAGTAGAAGGGCAGCACTGGAATTAAATTCAGATCTGACCCCAAAGTTTGTGTCACTTCAACATGACAGTGCCCCCCAGGTCATACAGGGGGCGCCTCATCTATCGCTTTTACAGACAGGCAGGTCTGCCCCAAATATCCCCTTTCCTTTGAACGTCACTTGCCACCGCTCCTCCTGATTGAACTCTGCATTTAACTGCCATGTGCTCCTGTCCTGTGCTTTCCCCAGCTCAGGTGTCTTTTGCTTTAGAACTAACTCTCCTTATTTGCTATATGCCTTTCCCTTGTTTACTTATCACCTAGTAAAATCCTAAAACATTCATCCCTTACGCCAAGTCCCATGATTCAGTCTCTGCCTGTGTGGTTTAAACCCCTTGAAGGCTAACAGAGTGTGTGACTGAAGAAATGTTTGGTGGCTCAAAGAGAAATTACAGTATATGCAGCATGGTTTGTCACTTCATGATGAGGTGGAAAATGTCCCTCCTCCTCTTATTTAGAATCCTTTCAATTTTTACGAACCAAATTCTGTATGATCCAGTTTCCTAAATGTAGATATCATTTATAATGTCTGTCAGTGTACATTATGTAGCAAAGGCTGAGGTAAGTATGCCACATTGTACTGATTCTAGAAAAAAAATCCCTCAAGGATTTTTTTAGGTACTCTTTTAAACTTCTTTTCTTGTTATTTTGCTATTCTCAAAATGATGTGAAGCAGGTCCCAAGCCTTTTAAGGAATGCCTGCCTCAGCCACGCAGCTTGAGCGACCCTGCCTGTCCTCACCTGTCTGAGATTTGCCCCTTCCTCTCCCACCCGCTTGCCGTGGGACAGCCGGGGCCATCTCCCACATCTCCGCTTTCAGGGCTGTTTACTGACAGGGTTCTGTAGTGGCTGCGGGGGCTGATGTGAGGAAATAGAGGAGGAGAGGAGGAAAATGAAGGTAACAATAGCACCCACTATTTAGTAAGCGGTAGTAATATTCCAGGCATTTTGTCAAGCTCTTTACATAATCTTATTTAAGCAGTACCAGCCTTGATAAATAGATATGGAATTGTTCCCATTTTATAGGTGGGGTGAAATTAAGCCTCAGAAGAGTTCTGTACTCTGCCCGTAGACATTCAGTGAGCAAGTGACAGCACCCGTGGGCCACCACTGGTGGCTTATGTTGAGGACCTTCTGGTTCGGCAGGTGGTGGGGGAGGGAGCAGTGGCTGAATGAGCCTAGTGTGGATGGGCAGGAAGAGAGAAGCACGGGCTGCGGGTCAAGTCGGGGCTTGGATACATAGGAGCATTGTTCCAGATGAAGATCAGGTCCCACAGTTTACTGCGGATTAAATGGGCTTTTGTGAGCTAGCCACAGAACTCAATCAACATTATGAAATTATGACTTAGGAGAAATATGTTCCGAGTTCCGAGCAACTGACTTGCAAACACACCTTAGGAACATAGTCACTTTTAAATTGAGACTTGCCTTGTTGCAAACCATTCCATGCTGCCCAGCTTTTTATTCAGCACTGTGCTTCTCCAAGATAGATTTTTTAAAAAAATTCATGTGTTAGATTAATCCTCTAGTTGCAGAACCATTGAAAGAAATACATCATCTTCACTTTATAAAATCTCTTAAAAACCTATCAAATAGCATGAGTTTGGAAGTGTTTCAATGTTTTGTTTGATTTCCAGAAACCAAACTATCTCCTGCCATGTGGTTTTGTGGCTATTGGCATTTCAATGGCATTTTTCCTGCTGATTCAAGCCTGTCCCTGGACTTACTACGTGTATTGTTTGCTGCCAGTGCCTATATGGTATGCGGTTGTAAGAGAGTAAGTAACATCTTGCTGTCTTGTTTTTCACTTTACTGTCAGATAAACCTGTATTTAAAATGCATTAGATTTCTGTATCGTAAGTTTCAGTGATATTTATCGTACCCTCGAATTTCTACACCCTTTCACTTCATTTATAACAGCATAGACGTTGCATGTAAGTATCCTTTTGGTTTTACCTTTCTTTTTCAACTTTATTGACTTTGGGAAGCATTTTCCTTCTTTGCTTATCTTTTATAAGAAAAACCTGGAGTAAAAATAGAATAGTTGACGTTTACTGTGCTATGCCAGGAGTATCACATTTTGTACTCGTTACCTTAGTTTCTAGTGTCCATTCATGTTTCCCAAAGAAATTTGCACTTTTTTCCTTACATTTTACCCCTCCTGTCCTGGCTATCATGTAAACCTAGATAAATGAAACTTTGTATTAAATCATATCTGCTAATGTGTGCGCACAAGATTGGTGTATATTATTCACATGTGCTGTGGTTCCACCTTTAAGCGTCTCCTCGCAAGCTGTACTTAACTGTGTTCTTACCACTGCAGAAAACATCAGCTAGTGCGCTCGGGCGAGTTTTAAGCACTTGAAAGTAGAACCACTAAAGTGTTAGGCTGGTTCACGTTCACAGGCGGCAGGAGTTGAGCCGCAGATCTTGCTGATTTCTGTATTTGCACAGTAATCAAGAATTCAAGCGTAGTCTTGGGCACCTAACCACCCCCGGAGCAGACCAGCCCCGCACGCCGACCAGGGAATGAGCACCCAGAATGAGGGTGTTTGCAGGGGTGGCCGGCACATCTGTCCTGACACACTGTGCTCCTGTCTGATTTCTGTTAGCTCCAGCTTTGACCACCTCTTCCATCCTTTACAAACATTTAGTATTAAAAATAGTAAAATGTTAAAAATATCAAAAATAAAAATTAAGTTTAAAATATCAACATTTTAAAAGATAAGGCAAAATGACACCTGCAAAAGAACATACTGTTACTTCTTTATTTGAATGGAATGGGGGGCTGCTGGATATACATGTTTAAGTCAGATTTGTTTTTCCTAGTGTCATTTATTCTGTTTAAAAATTTTCAGAATAAAAGGTTTTATCCTCAGAAAATTCTGTTCTTCTGCAGAACCCCGAGTGGTTCTGCAAGGATAAAACCTTTTATTCAAAAAATTTTAAAACTAAATAAATGACACTAAAAAAAAAATCTTCTACCTGCTTTTACAAAATCATCTCTTGTTTCTCCGTGCTACTCACTATTATGAACAAAAGGAAAATTCTTCTTTTGCCTGGTGTTAGCTTTGTTTCCTACTTGGCACCTTAACAGTTTTGAAGACATTATATAGCCATTGTTTCAAAACAGGAAAAAGGTCATAAATCAAATACTGACATTCTATAATTACCTACTTAATAATGCACTACAAACGCTAATTTTTTTTTCTAGTAATGAAATATAAGATGTACTCAAGTATGTAATACATTTTAAATTGTTATGAATTCATATTTAATTATAATTACTATATAATTAGTGACATCTTAAATTGGGTTTGGAAAAGCTTATTTAGCTCAGTAAAAAATTGCAGTTAAGATTTACTCTACCCATCCTTGGCTGGTGTGGCTCAGTGGATTGAGCACTGGTGAGCTGAAAGGTTGCTAGTTCAATTCCTGGTTGGGGAGCATGCCGGGGTTGTAGGCCGGGTCCCTGGTTGGAGGCATGCGGGAGGCAATCGACTGATGTTTCTCTCACACATTGATGTTTCCCACCCTCTCTTAAAAAAGGGGAGAGGGGAGATTTACTCTACCCAGATAAGGAAAACCTACCTTTATTTCATGAAAACAGTTGAGATTTCAATATAAGATTAAGCTTTGTGAATTAAAAATTTTTTCAGTTTTTATTCATTTGGTTTCATTGTATTTTATTTTTGATGTTTTATCTGTAATTATTGTATTCTATCTGTAAGCATAGGTATGGTTAAACTAAGATCTGATGCAAGACATTTATTGTCATTAATATTTTAAAAAACAAGAAAATTTTTGTGATTATTATCAAATTACTCAGAAATTACATTTTTTCCTAAAATACTTCTAGGTCTCACAAAAAGATTTAGGTCAGTAAAGCCATTAAAACAAATCTATTCAAGAATCCCTTCATTTTAAAATAATCTGTGAATTGAAAATTTCCTGATTTTATAGTTTTGCACAAAGTTTTTGTTTTTTACTATATATGGCCTGCTTATTAAATTCAATATAGAGTATAAATAACCTTTTTATAACTAATCTTGCTAAACAGATACCAAGTTATTCAAGACTTTGTCACATCACTGTTGACCTACCCCCTGAGTCATTTGGTTGGATGCCTGTTAGCTTGTACGCTGGGAGTCGAAGTATTAGTAAGTAACTCACCACATCACAACATAGTCATGTCTTTCACAGATATGTAACTCCTCTGAAATGACCTCTCGTTTTCTCTCTCTCCTTGGGAATGCAATCCTAGGTTCTCAGTTTTTTCTACCGCTCTGTGCTTACTGTTGGACTTCTTGTGTTTGCGGGTTGGCCATTTACCACTCAGCTGTGGACTCGAGCAAAGGTACGAGTACTCGTTTTGGCCTTGGACACTTTAGTTGCTACTTTGTTTTGATTTGTGTTTAAGTTGGGGAACTATTCATTTTTAGAGAAAAGGGTGGAATGTGTCCTTACGTAGAGTCTGGTCCTGTGGACGGGAGGGCTGAGGCTGCTCTAAGGTGTCCGTGGGTCGCATAGACTGTCATCTCAGAACGAACCTGTCATTTGGGGACTGAAACACTCTGGAAGCAGAGCTGCTGCGTCCCCTCTGAAGCTCTCACCCGGGCTCTGCAGCCTCTAGTGCCTGAGGGGAGCGGCAGCCGGGGAGCGGCAGCCGAGGAGCGGCACCCGAGGAACGGCCTGGAGCAGCTGCAGGGGCGCCGAGGGCCGTACCCGGAGCCCCGAGCAGAGGGTCGCCACGCTCCTGGCCCTGAGCCGCCTCTGTTTTTTTCTGGAGAAGTATGTAGTGATGATAAATATTTTTAAATGTAATTACTCCCGATTGTTTTCCTTCAACTAGATAGCGAATACAATGTGCTTCTACAAGGAATACACTCACATTTCCATTTTGATACTTTTTTTATGGAGGTAGCAAGTTCTCTTTCCACCCTGAGAACTTGTAAAATTACTCAGTGGGATTATTGATAATTTTTGTTTACTCTAATTATAAAATCATTTTTGCTCATTTTCCTCCTGAGCTCAATCATTTGTTTATGATTACAGACCAAATTGTTTATAGATACAATCGATATATGGTATAACATAAATTAAAAGAAGCACTTGCGTTAATATCCAGCCCAGTTTAAAATGCAGGGTGTTTCATTGACTAATCATAGGCTGATACTTCTTATACTGAAACATCTCTGAGCTCAGTTTCCTCATCTGAAACTGTGAATAATACAACCTCTCTCCCAGGTTATTGTGAGAATTAAAGGAGATAATACTCATTATACCGAACACACTCCTTGCAACGTAACTGATCCTTCACGGATAGTAACTCCATTATTTTTTCAAGTAAACAGATATAAAGCTTTGCATTTTCCTTTTTGATTTACAGCAATGTAGTCTTGAAACACTGAAGACTGTTTTCTCTACCATATTTGTCTGGAGATAACTTTTTTTTTTTAATTATAGAGCACCTCGCTGAGTTGGATTTTCTTCTGTCTGCTCCTGGCGGTGTTCCCGCTGATGCCTGTTGTAGGACGAAAGCCAGACGTCTCTCTAGTGTACGAACAGTATTTTACCTTATTTTCTTTTCAAAACAATTGTTCTTCTCAATCAACCCTATGAACTATGAACCTATTCTTGATCTTGCGTTTAAAATCACATGAACAAACTGGAAGTTAAAATATTAATATCGAACCGCTAGTGATAATTCTGTCCCGGCTCTGAGAGGCACCGAAGCCCCCTGGAGCCGCCCCTGGGCCTTCACCGGAGGGGCACTGATAACTGAAACTGCTGCCTCCCAGCCCGGGCCGCCTCACCCTTGGGAAGGTACAGGTGCTTCTCTATCTTTTGTATATGGGGAATCCAGAAAAGCTTTCGTATGAAAAAGTCTTCTGTTGCCAAAACAAACAGGCTTAAAAGCCATTGGTGTCATCTCTGTCTTTGCCTTTGAGCAGGTCCACACTTTTAAGTCTTAGAAAAGTGAAATTCCTCTTCAATTCTGGATGTAAAGATCTCCAAGGAAGGAAGCTTGGGATACCTTCACAACTCTCCCACGTTTAATTACCTAACTGTTAGGGGATCCTATATATCTTCCCTCAGTGCTCCATGAGACTGTTATATTTATTTCTTCTTAATATATTCAAAAAATCTGTAAAATAATTTACTTTTTCTTTAAACTTTCCTTTTAAATTATTATCAAGTAATCTACTGGCTGTGTGTGTATGTGCGTGTTTTGGGCAAGCTAAATGACCGTTATTTCATGTAACATTTCCTCTCTTTTCTAATTATGTAATCTTTGTTACTTTCTTTAGAACTCTGTATAAGCAATATTTTTAGCATTTTAATGGAATCTTTAAGAGATGAGGTTATGTCTTTTTTAATTGAAGGAAGATTAATTAAACTATTTTTAAGTACCATATGTGTTAATTTTAAAGTATGTATGATTTATAAATTGACACATTAATCTCATTTCTGTGACAATACTAATATAGAATAGATCCGGAATTATTCTAAGAAGTCATTTTATTAGCCAAGTCCAAAATAATTGTATTGAGGTTTAAGGCCATATTGTCTAAGACTTAGTTTATAAGTGTTACTAAGTAAAAACACTTTGTAGCTGTCACAAACTACGGTGTGTGAGAAGATGAATGAAAATATGTTCATTTATTCCTTGCTTCCTAGTGCTCTGTGAGCTCTTCTGTCGTCTGTAAAGCCCCTTTCCCTCCTTTCATCAGCCTCTGCGTATCTCTCTTGCTCAAAATAATACTGACAAGAGAGCAGAATTTATCATATGCTAAAAGAAAAAGAAATTGTATACATGGTCTCCATTGAAATTTGCCACTTGCATATTCTAGTATGGATGAATTCAGGTAGTTAAGACATGAGAACTCAGCTTTGTATTTTTAAATATGTTGTTTCCCTACTTCCTCATTTAAATTCCTCAGTGATTTAGTTTGTGTTGGTTTCCTCATAGGTATATTTGCAACCTCTTTATTTTGCCTCTTGGTTCATGGAGAAATTTCAACTCTCCATTTGATCTCTCACATCAACTCCCTTCTTTAGAAAATTACTAACAATAGGATAGTATGCAAACATTTCAGGATAAAATTAAAGGAAAAAGCAAAAATGTATACAACACAGGTGTAATATCCCTGCTACTCCAGTTGTCTACAGCAAAAACATATTGGCCAATGCATTAAAATATCAAATTATTTTTTTAAAAGGAAAGGAAAAGCAAAAACAAACAATCTTGATCGTACATGGCCATTTTTCCTAAGTTTTAATGGTTATTCATGTTTAATGTATTACTACTTTTTTCCCCTTACGAGAGTGTTAGAAAAATCAAAGCAAAACCAAAAACAGACAAGCATTTTCCTGGGAATTCCTGTTTCTCATTCTCCTGAGCACGGCCTTTTTGCTCATTTTCCCTTAGTTCTGTCGAATTGCTAGGTTCCAGCTTCTGGCCGCAACATAATTTCAGTTGTCCTGTGTTACTCAGATTTTTAGAAGGTGAGAAATAGAGCTCAACACTAGTACCCCATTTCCTTGATATTTATTTCCTTCAACTTCAGAAACCATACTATATCTGGTGTTCTTGAAAATATATTATCTGTTGTTTTATTACTAGATAGATGCCTCACCTGCACACTACCTTTGTGACTGCTTTCCTGCCTTCCCTTAGCCAGAAACAGCTGAGGAAAGAACAAGATTACTGATAGAAAGGAGCAGTCTATCCTGCTAGGAATACTATGAATTAAAAATGTAGATCCTGCCCTAGCTGGTGTGGCTCAGTGGATTGAGTGCCGGCCTGCGCACCAAAGGGTTGCCAGTTCAATTCCCAGTCACGCCACATGCCTGGGTAGCGGGCCAGGTCCCCAGTAAGGGGTACATGAGAGGCAAACAAACTGATATTTCTCTCTCTCTCTCCCTTCCCCTCTGTCTAAAAATAAATACATAAAATATATTTTTAAAAAATGTAGATCCTTTTTGTGTAAGTGGTCATAGTAAAAAAAAAATGTATATTTTAAATACTATTTAGGTATCTTTTATATTGTTTTCTATAAATTTGTCCAAGTCAGGATAACAAATATGGTAGTTGGTATGCACAAGTTTTAAAACTCAAATTCTAAGAATAAGGTAAAAATATCTAAAAGATATAAGAAGTTACAAATACCCTTACCCCTACAGTATCTTTATCCTAAGATATTTATTCTTATTATACCTGTGCATCCATTTTACTGCCTTATCTTGATTAAACCATATGATCGAGAGCTTCTCCATTAGAGTAGAATGTCTAATATTTTAATAAGCTTTGTGTTCAGTAAACATCTTAAGAAAATCTGAAATTGTGAATTGTGTTTTCAAACAGGATGAGTGCAGGCTTGCTGGTTCTTCTGCTGTCCCTGTTTGTTATAGCATCTCTCATAAAAAGAAAAGATGGTTTTGTAAATGAAAAGCTGTTGTTACATCTATCACAGGTTAGTTACATTGTCAACACTATCTTATACTAATGATATACCAAAATGTATCTTATGGTTGCATTTAACTAGGTTGTTCTGAAGATGTCATGTGTAAGTTAGCCAGTACCTAACAGCTAAGGAGAGAGTTTTCTGTTTAAGTTATCACTTGGAACATACAAAGAGAGAAGAAACATTTTGTCAAGGATCCTATCAAGCCATTGGAGAGTGCCTTCTGTTTTAAATGGTACATGGACTGGCTTTTCACTAAATCCCACTGTAGCTTTGTCAGAACTCACCTGTAATAATGAGGACTTTGACAAAAGTGAATGTTTCTGAACCTTACTCTATGGAGCAAAGAGTATCATATGAAAATTCTTATGGACTTTGTTAGAAATACCCCTAAGTATAAGGTAAATCTGTTACAAAATTCCTTTTTACATTGACTTTATTAATGTGCATCAATTCTTGTACTGTGTATCCTATTTTTCATTGATTCCAAGATTGTATCTTTTTACATTTCAAGGTATCTGAAATGAAAATGTGCCTTACAATTGAAAGGATCCTAGGATTATGTCATAGCTTTATTGACAGCATTTTTTCTTTCTGAATTCACAAAAAAATATGAGTAAATTAAATATAGCTCTAGAATTTGGCAATGAGGTTGTTAATTTGATATCTAAGAAGTTTACTTTGCCCACAGCCATAACTTAGCTCATTTCTTAAAATGGCAGTTAATCAGCAGTTCAGGGGCCAGCAAACATTTCTCTAAAGAGTCAAACTGTAGATATTTTAGGCTTTAAGGCCATATGTAGAGTCTGTTGTAAATTTGCCTCTCTACCATCACAGTGCAAAGGGAGCCACAGACAACACGAGAATGAACAGGAGTGTCTATGATCCAATTAGGCAGTATTTTGAAAAACAGGCCCCAGGCCTGTGAGCTGTAGTTTACCAACTAGTTTATGTATAGTCCCTGAAGAATGCTGTACTGTTTGTATTCCCAGCACCGAGGGAATGCTCAGGCCACAAATAGGTGTTGAATGAATAAGCGGATATGACTGTGGGTGAGGGCCAGAAGTGGAAGACATGAACCACATACACTGAACCATATACACCCTGCCTTCTGCATTTCCATGATTTAGGGAAATGTCAAGGTTAATACAAGTGAACATTTCCAGGTAGAAACCATGCGATAATGTATGCCAAAATACTCTTTGAAAGTGTAACATGCCTCATTTTATGCTTGTAAAGGATGGCATTTGCTTAGCATGAGAGTTCTGACTCAGCCTTGGCCACAAGAAGGTGAGCTGTTCCCATTTCAATAGCAGTTTGCCAGATTCTAGTTGTTTAAGCACTTTTTGAAGTATTCTTATGCAAATCAGTCCCTCACCACCTCCCCTTTTATTTACATGTTTTGTGTTTGTTTTCAGATGCTGAGCACTGTACTTGCTATGTATGTTGTGTATAGCACTCATAATAGTCTGCTTAAGAAACAAGGACTTCCTCTTGTTAATCAGATTGTTAGCTGGACAATATTAGGTAAGTGGTCAATCAAACCACATGAGGTAACTTTACAGCAAGTCCTACTTTAAAATTATCCATTTATATCATTATTATTATTATTATTATTATTGAAAGACAGTTTTGTTTCAGGAAAGTAATAATAACCAGCTATTATTTCTTATCTCTTGCTGGTACCTGACCAAGAAAATTGGAACTTTTATGAACATTCATGTACTAATAAGAATTACTTGATAGAATATTATGACATGATGATAAGTCTGTATATTTATTCACACCTGATAAAAATCTAAGTGTTTCCAGAAGAGAAAACAGTGTATTTTCTGTTTTCTCCCCACCCCGTTGCAAATAACAAGCCATCCCCGCAGAGACACTCTAAGACCATCAAATATCTTTCTCTCTAAAATGTCTCCCTAGAGTTAGCGTTCACTCATAAAAGTTTCCTGATCCTGTCTCTGTTGTGATGGCCACGAAATGATGTTCTGGTTGTAGCATTCCCACCGCATTTACCGAAAGACTCGGCATTCTGCTGTAAGGTCCTCCTTTCCTGTTCATTCGTTCCTTCATTCACTTAACTATTTTTCATGGTGGACACCTGAGCTCCTATTTCTTTCAAAGATTTCTAATTCATCACTGTTGATTTTTTTAATGTTCTGATTCTCCCAGACTTGGCCAGAGAGAGCCCCTTGAGGCTAGCTTGTAAATAGGCCTCCTATTTTTTTTTAGCACTTTTTTATTTTCTGGAATTAAGAAAATGTTATACCTTATGAGCCTTACTTTGTATCCACCCTGTCATGGTGTATGATCCTTTCCATGTGTTGTTGAATTTGATTTGCTAGTATTTTTGTTGAGAATTTACACATCTGTATTCATTGGGAATGTTGTTCTACAGTTACTTTCTGGTAGTGACCTCTGGCTTTGGTGTCAGGGTATTGGGGGCCTACTACAATCATTTTGGAATTGTTCTCTACTCTTTCATTTTTCTTGGAATAGTTTGAGAAGGACTGGCATTAATTATTTTTTATTTTTTAGAAGATCCTTTTATTTATTTATTTATTTATTTATTTATTTAGAGGGAGGGGAAGAGAGGGAGAGAAACATTGATGTGCAAGAGAAACATTGGTCTGTTGCCTCTCACATGCCCTGAACTAGGGATCTGGCCTGCAACCCAGGCATGTGCCCTGACTGGAAATTGAACTGGTGACCTTTTGGTTCACAGGCCATTACTGAATCCACTGAGCTACACCAGCCATGAAGCCATCTGTTCCTGGGCTATTTTTGTATTGGGAGGTTTTTGATAACTGATTTAATTTCATTATTATTAATCTGTTCAGACTTTTAAATTTCTTACTGATCCACTCTTGGTAGATTGTATGTTTCCATTTATTTTAGGTTATACAGTTTGGTGGCATGGAATTGTTCAGTTGTCTCTTACGGTCCTGTGTATTGCTGTAATACAAGAGATACACAGAATTAAGTTGTTTATTTGAGATCTTTCTGTTATCCTAATATATGCATTTATCACTGTAAACTTCCCTTTCAGAGCTCCTTTTACATCCCATAGATTTGGGTATATTTGGCTTCTAATTTCAAGACTTTTTTTTTTTCTTTCTCTTGATTTCTTCTGTGACCCATGGGTTGTTCCGGTGTGTGTTATTTAATTTCTACATATTTGTAGATTTTCCAGCATTCCTCATGTTGGTATGACTGTAGCAGTCTTCTTAAATTTGCTTAGACTTGGTTTGTGGCCTGTTATATGATCTATCCTGGAGAGTGATCCAGGCGCACTTGAGAAGAATATGTATTCTGCTGCTGTTGGGTGGAGCATTCTATAGGTTGCTGTTGGATCCATTTGATCTAATGATATATGGTTAAGTCTAATGATATATGGTTAAGTCTAATGTTTCCTTGTGGATTTTCTCTCTGGATGATCTATCCATTGCTGAAAGTGACGTATTGAAGTCTCCTACTATTGTATCATTGTCTCATTTTCCCTTCAGATCTGTCAGTATTTGCTTAATTTATTTTGGTGCGTATATATGTGTGATTGTTATATCTTAGTGATTGACCCTTTATCATTATATCTACCTCCTTTGTTTCTTTTTACCATTCTTGGCTTAGAATCTATTTTATCTGCTATAACTATTGCCACCTTTTGCTTTGGTTTTCACTTGCATGGACTATCTCTTTCCATCACTTTACTTTGAGTTCTCAAATCTGAAGTGAGTCTCTTGTAGGCTGGACATATATTTTAAACAAATATTTGCTCTTTGGGGCTAGGAAATCTAGGTACTAGAGGATGCCTGCCACGTGGTACAAGGTGTGACATCGCTGACACGCAGGTAGGTCAGCGGTGTTTCCAGAGTGCTCCTGCAGGCACCGTTTTATCACAGCCAGCTCCACTGGGCATTTTTCCTTCACGTGCTATGGTCCACAAATAGGTTATGTGCTACGAAGCTGGTTCTAGCTCTTGTCATTCAGAGTGGAGACTCTTTATTTCTCCTTTAGCACTCATCAGTCATTTAGACGGAAGTATAAAACGAGTGTAGAAAATACAGTTATACAGAAGAGGTCTCATTTGAACTGGTTTTTTTAAATTAGAAACATTATTTTGTGTGTGTGTTAAAATATGTATCATTAGAACCACATATCTGAAAAAAATCAGAAGCTATTTGTGCAAGGGTGTTATAAATGTAATGTGCATGGTCTTAAATTGTGCAATGACTTGACTTTGAATAATATTATCTTCACATTTAACTTAGTAGATGTTGACTAGTAATAATAACTGCAGCTAACAGTTATTAAGCACCGACGGTACCTGAGGCACTGCTCAGGGAGCGTTTGGTAGGTGAAATTACATTTAAACCTCACTGCTTTTTTATATTATCTCTACTTGACAGATGGAAATACTGCTTACATGAGTTAATAAACTCGCCCCGTGGTTGAACACTTAATAAGTGATTCCTCCAGGATTCCATCCCCCGTCGCCTGTCTCCTTCTCTGGAGAATTTAACTCCGGGCACATAGCAAGACCTGACTAGCGGATTAGGAAGTTGTGTGCATTCCATTCTCCTCTCCTTTCACCTGTCCTTCTCCCACTAAAGTGGTTTCTTTCCTACCCTGTAGGGAACGATTACTTCGTTTATTATGATTCTTATTACAGCTCTCGCGTCTCTCATTTCCTAAGGGGCACAGTACAACTCTCAACGGATATTTTGCTGTGGGAAGACTTGGAGGAAGGAGGGGTTAGAAAAAAATCAATTTCTGGGCAGTGAGTGGTTTTTGAACTAAATGCCTAATTAAGAGAAGAGTTGCTGAATCTTGAATAATACATTTTATTATTTACATTAGAACATAAATTATTCATTGAGGAGTTAGTATTACAGTGAGGCTGAATATAAATTGAGGAAATCTGAGCCCAAATCAGGTTAAAACAATGAAATGTAATTTTAATTAAAAATAAGAAGTTAGAAATCTCTTACGGAAATAATAAGGGCAAATATAGCCTCCTTTTACACAAGAAGGGTCATGTGTGATTGTAGATTATTTGGTGCTTCTGAACTCGCGGACGCTGGGCGCCTCGGACTGACGCTCGCCTGTCTGTTCGTGTGTTGCAGCCTCCTCTTTCGTCCTGCCCCTGCTGAGCCCCAGGGGCCTCTTGCCGCGGCTGCTCAGCATACTTGTCTCCTGGATGTCGACCTACCTCCTTCTTAGCACAGGGTACGGACCGTTTTTAAAATTTCATTTGGAGTAGCAAGTTTTCAATGATACACTGATATTTCTCCATGAGTATTTAACCTCTGGAAATGAGAGATGTTGTGTAAACCTTGAGGAATAAATCATAAATATTTTCTGCTCTCTAAGAACTGTATATGACCTGAATCGTAATCTTCAGTTTCCTTATTCTTTTCACAGTATCACCTTTTGTCTTTTTCTGTTTATTTCAGGAAGTTGCTAAAATGTTGTTTTACTTCAGTTTTAGAAAATTCTGATTGATTATGGAGGTATTTTAAGTCTAAAACAATAACTTAGAAGAATTTTAGGTTTTGTTGCATTTCTTTCATGTGCTTTATGCTTTGATTTATTCATTCTTCTTTGACTTTAATATTTTCTTTTTGTTTTTACTCTTACATATATCATAGTCCAAATATTCCTTTTGATTCAGAAGACTTTCACACTGTTTTCCCAAAAGTTAAAAAATGCATTTTTATTTAAGATTGAAATTTTCTCACAGAAGAAAAACAAAAACTAGCAGCCTAATTTGGGGGGTGGATCCTGAAGTGTCTCTTGAGCTTAGTGAAAACAGTGACATGTGTCTTCCTATCTACTTAGAAGGAAAAAATTCCTCACTTGCTTTTGAATTTTATTTCATCCTTCTTAAATCCTTATGAGGATGAGAAATGTGCACATTGTAACAAACACGGAAAAGAACAGACAAACTGATTAACCACTGTTCATGCTTTGGCCCAAATACGGGATTTGGTTTTAATTAGACTACACCTAGGGATTGACTGTTGTGCAGTCAGTGGACTGTTCCCACAGCGGATGATTTTGTAAAGCTATTTTGGGTCCAAGGCCTGGGTTCACTTTCAGAATGAGAGGGGTGTTCTCAAAGTCTGCACGGTAGACCCTCACATCCCAGGAGTTCTTAAGATTCCGCAGAGGGGAATCTAAGGCAGGAGGTTCCCCCGATAGGACGTGATGATCTGGTGGCGTGCTAAACCTCCTTCTCTGGCCAAAGCTCCCCGCACCTCCCGTCTCTCATTTCTCTCTGCATAAACAGGCCTGAGGCACACAGCAACAAAGATGTAATATAAGCAATGTGGACATTTCCCCAGTTACCTAATGAGGTCTTGCTTCTAGACCTCAGAACTTTGAACTTTGGAATAAAACTTGAAGTCTGTCAGGATATTCTTCTTACTCGAGTCATAAATATAACAAGACCTTAAAATTCTTTACCTTTTTCCACTTATTGGTGAAATTATAGAATAAATAAATTAGTTATAATCGATCTATCAATGTATAAATGTATATATGAATTAGAATATGCATGGCTTCTAGTCTAGATAAGAAATTTGAATATAAAACCATTTCTATTCTAACCCACCATTTTGGGGTGACACATAAGTCTCATTAAAAGACCACACCCAGAGGTTGCCTTAGGAAGTAAATGTTGAGAGGGCCCAGAAATTAGTGCATATTCTACACAGTCACTTAATAATCAGTAAGCACTTTTTTTTGAACTTCCAAGTTTTAAAGCACTAGATAGATGTAAAGGAATGTGTAGTAGATTAAAGAATACAAATAAATGTAAATATAGTTCTGGGTTGCTGGATTATAAATTGAGAAAGGAGGGAAAAAAGGATAATTAAAATTGAATTTTGGGTGAAAAAGTACTTCATAATGTAGAATGAGTTAGTCATGTAACGAACATTAGGGATAAGCATTATAGTATTTTAAATCATCAATTTAATAGTCATGACAGATACCAAAACAGATTATACTAAGATATTTGATTTAAGAAAATCTAAAAAGTAAAGTTCACACCTAAAATCAGAATACTGTGACCTTACTAATGAATGTATTACTAAATATATTTTCACTATCAGAAAGTATATTTACCTTTGCAAAAACATTTAAAGAGGTAGACTGAAACAGCGAGGTCCAGTAATTTCAGTTAATACGTTTTTTTCGTCACATCAGCCTTGCAAAACATAGTCCGCCTGCTCTCATTTCACGTCCCTGCCATAGGCAGCCCAGAAGGCTCTGTGTGGGCACGAGTGCGCGGTCAGAATCATAGGGCATTTAAAAGAAATGCGGTTTCATCGCTTTACAGGAATACGGTAATAGCATTCCTAAATTCTAGCTAACAATGCATCCTTGATTTCATGAACAGAGAAGGTTTATTTTTAATTATTTTTATGCAAATAGAAGCTGTTGTAATACTTGAAAACAGTTCTAAGGTGGTTAAAATTTCCCTCTGAAATTTGGGTTATATCACCCCTTAGCACACTATAATCCAAAGCTAAATGCCTTTTCAGCCCTGTTCTATCTACAGAGACCAAACCAGCAGGTCCCAATATTGTTTTGTTTTAGTATTGTTGTATTACCTACACTGTGAGCCCGTGATGCTGTTTTACTGGTATTTCACTTTATTAATTCAGATACGCAGACTTCATACAAGGTATCGATTATCTGAAGAAATAAAGTCCCGTAGGAAGGTTGTCTTCATCAGATTTATTCATCTACATTTTACAAAAGGAAGTAATCATAGTTTATAGTGTTTGAAAGGAAAGAAATCTGTAGCACTATGTGTCGAACTATGGAATTTAGGATTTTGTGTATTAGGAAAGAATGATTTCACATATAACTGCAGCTATTTAAAAATTTCACAGTCCTCTTTTACTCAGAGTATACACCTTCTGGATTCAACTCATCAATAATCATTGTTTCCCCTCACATTGCCCATGTCCTGGGCACTAGACAGACATACAGGCAGAACAGTGAGTGCACCCCAGGTGCCGTAAGCTGCTATGAAACAAAGACATTGTTTTACAGTATGAGGCAATTACAAAATGCAACAATGATGTTATTATGAGTTAATTAAATTGTGAGTTATGTGATATAAAGAATGACAAGAGGAAGGGTTACAGCAGGGAAACTAAACCAGTGCCTTTGGGGGCTCAGAGGGGACTTGAACGAAGTTTTTAAAGAATGGCTAGGGTACCGGTATTCTACCTCTTGGTCTTCCCTTTGCTTTTTAGAAATCATTGTAAAAATAGCCTAATCACATTTTGAAGATGGGGATAAAGGGGAGAATCATTGAATAACCCTGCCCTTCGCGTTGCTGCTCTTATATGTTTCCTTCCAGTCTTACCTCTGTATTTGTCTTTTTAACCTAGTATTAATCATAGTTCACATACACTTTTATATCTTTTTTTCCTGCTTAACATTATTTTAGAAACATTTTCCCATGTGGCTCATAGGTTTCCTCACCATCATTTTAATAGATATTTAATATTCTGTGATGTGGTTGCCCCTTGATTTACTTAGCCATTCCTATCTTTTTGATCATTTTTACTTCCACTTATTATTATCATAAATAATATTTTGAGTTATGTTTTATGCATAATATTTTACATAAATTAGATTACTTTGTTCACTTCTCAAATGTAGTATAGGTAGGCCACAGAGTATGAACTGTTGTTTTTTTGGGGTTTTTTTAACTTTTGTCTTAGGAACAATGCCAATTTATAGTAGCACCAACAGCCTATGAGGAGTCCTATTTCATCATATTCCTCACAGTATTTGGTATTTTCATTTTAAAATAAGAATATCAAATGCTATTTCAACAGGTCAAAAATGCTATAGCTTTGTATAACTTTCTACACTTGTTAAACTAATGATATTTTCTCTTGTGTGTATTGTCTCTTCACCCTTGGTCATTCTAAATTATGTTGCAAGTGATTATGTGTGCTTTCTCAAATCTAAACATTTCATTCTGCCCAGTCTTCAGTGTTTTAGTTTTATGACCTGTGGTTGAGTTTAAGCGATTTTGTTTCTTTTCTTTCTGGAGTTTAGAAAATGGTACCATATGGAAGGAATAGAATTCACTAGTTGAAAAAGTTGAAAGAGAAATAAAGGTTTTTAGGTTTGGGTGGTTGGTTTGATTTTGTTCTGTAACTTCCAGCTGGGTAAGTAACTCACTCAACACATGCTTGTGAGCGGGGCCTGCAGAGTGGCCGGCCTGACACAGAGACTGTGTGAGCCAGCAGGCAGTGCGCAGAGGGAGACGTGATTCCACAGGGCGGTGCGCGTTGCCATGGAGCGTGTGGGCGACTGCGGCGGTGGAGCGCTCACCCCAGAGGAAGGCCAGAAACGATGGGAAAGGCTTCTGTCCCTGGGTTATCCTCCTTTAGGAGGGTAACAGAGCATTTCTCCTTTGGCCACCTCACACCCCAGCCTAGACAGAGGTGTACGTACGACGCCCACTGTGGAGAGGAAGGGGCTTCTGTCCCTTCAGTCAACAACATTGCAACAAGCATCATCACGTGGGGGTTGTAGCACTACAATCTAATTATGTAATCTGTGTCTACTTATGTTCTCAGAGAATTCCTGGAAGTGACAGTGTTGGGTTGTAGTATATGAATTTTTTTGAGATTCTTGCACAGTGTTACATCACCTTCCAGAAAGTGTTTTCTGCCTGTATGGAAAAGATGAGATTTCTTTTTTCATTACACTGTTGTCAACATTTATTTTTTAATTTTGGTAAATATGATAAGTGATATAGTATCTCCCTGTGGTTTTAATTTCCTTATCAGTTATCAATAAGGTCAAACATTTTTATGTATTTATTGGCTCTTTTTTTTGTTGTTTTTGAGAGTTTTATGTTCCTGTATGGCAGCCATTTTTTAAAACAAGTTTGAAACATTTGTCTTGTTCTTTTTGTATGTATAGTAATAATTTTAACTCGGGAACTGTCCTTTTACCTTTATCTTAATATTTTCTTTTTGTGTGTTATTTGTCATTTACTTTATGAATGCTTTTTAAGTATCTCTACTATTTTAAACACATCCTGATCTCAAGATTTTATACATTTCAAAAAAAAATGGATCTGAATTGATATTTAAATGGTTGGAATTGATATTTAAATGTTATTTTCCTTTCCTATTATCTTCTTCTGGAAAGCATAGAAAATTTAAATCTTGGGATATTGTACCTTAGAAGTATTATCAGGATTGTTTTAATTTTGGAAAAGCTCCCTCAATATAAATTTGCCTTTTAATTTGTTTAACGTTTTTGCCTTTTCGTCTCTGCGGTCCTACTTTCACCCCCCCTCACCCGTCCCTCAGGTACGAAGCTCTCTTCCCATTAGTGCTGTCGTGTTTGATGTTCGTCTGGATACACATGGAAGAAGAAACCCTGCAGCAGTCTGGTGTTCCCTGGAAGCAGAAGGTAGCTTGTCAAAATCACTGTTGCATTTACTTGAGAATATTGACATATTCTCCATTCTATAAGGAAATAGTTGTGTTATTTCATCCAGATTTTTACTTGAAACTTTATACTATTTAAGTCATTAGTAATTAAAGTAATAATTAAGTTAAACAATTAGTTTGTTAGGAATATTTTAATTTAAAACAGAAAAGCACAATTTATTGTTTTGTAGGCATTATATAGGATGGCCTTTTGAGAATCACTGATGTAAAAAAAAGTTAATATGGGTGAAGGAGTAGAGAAGGAATGTTCTATATCTTACTCTCCTCTGTCTTTACATCTAAGAACATTTATGTTGTCATAAGTCAATGAATGAATTTGATTATAAGGTGACATTTATGTTTCCTGTGTTGTTTTCCTCTTTCTAGTCATCCAAATCCAAAATGCTTACTCTGTCACCTTAGTGATTGTGCCTCAGACCAAATCTTGGACTGTTTATTTACCACAGTGTGCTTTGAATTGACTAAAAGCCAATCAGAGTTTAAGGACATCCTAATTATCCTAAGATAGAGAGTTAAATTGATGTCCCTTGCCTTTATTTTAGAAGCAAGGTAATTATGACAAATTGGTGATAGAATACTTATGGTTTTATTACTGAGGTCAGATAAAATGAATATTACAGAAAAACTCTTTCATAATTGATCTATCCTTAACTGTTCCAGTTGAGTTTAAAGAGAGTAATTGATAGTTTAGAATAATTTATTTCAATAAAAAGCAACCTTATTGAAGTATAGTGAATAATTACTAGTTTTTAACCTGCAGTCCTGGAATAGTAAATATATTTTGATCAGAGTTAAGTAAATGGTCAAACTGTTCTCAATATTAAAGAGTAAAAACTTTAGTGTTAAATAAATATTTAAAACTTTAGTTTTAATAAATATTAAATTTAAAAACAAGGTTCATTGTGTTGTTTTTTAAATTCTATTTTTTAACTGAAAGCAGGTTTTCCTTTTTTGAGAAGAGAATATTAAAGCATCCTAAGAACTTATTGAACAATTACATAGGGAGTGGGGGATGGGGGAAGTCTCCCTTTAAACTCACCCATGAAATTTGGTGGTATGGGTGGGATTAGGCAAGATGCACCCGTCTTCTTGGATTTGAATGACTTTCTGTTTTACCAAAGGCAGAAGTATTTTGCTTTTTTGTAAAGAGGAAATGATTTCTCTAGAAATAGAATTAACAGAAGACCAAAGAAACAGATAAATATTTAATTTCATCATGCTTTTAGTATAATGCCATTCCTGGGTTTGAAAAGATCAGGACCCTCTGAGAAATCAGGTCTTCGAAAAGTAAAGAATTATATAGGGATTTAAAAGTGAAGCATTTATATAGGATAAGAAAAAGCTCAATTCTCACTTTTATTGCATAGACAGCAATACTACAATTCTGTTCAGTATATTATCAGCAACATATCTTATTTTTTGTCAGGCTTTATTAAGGTGTGATGAAGCGATAGGAAATGGTTTAGTGTTGGTTTTCGGGTTGTCAGTACGAGGCATCTTTCCGGTCATCGTAAGGTAGACTGCACGTTTGCGTTTGCCTTCGGGGGCAGACGGGAGGGAGCTGCCGTCACGCATCCGTCTCTCTCTTCGCCTGCAGGTCACCAGTATCCAGTTCTCCAGCAGCACTGACATCACCCAGTTTCGGCAGCTCTGTCTGGATGACATCCGAAGGGCCTTTTTCCTTGTATCCTTTGTTGAGCTTTTGTTTTAAGTTGCTGCAGCCTCCCACCTAATGGCGTAAGAAGACGGGAGGTGCAGCTGTCACTTCATGTCGGCATTAACTTGGAGGACATTTAACACCCCCTCAACCGTCATTTTCTCATAGTTCACATTTTTTAAAAACTTTGAAACTATAGAAAAGCATAAAGAATGGCATAAATAATGACATATATATATATATACATGTGTGTTTTTACCATCCAAAATATCAACAATGAATATTTTGTCACATATGCCATACATTTTTTTAAATTAAAACATTATAGCTAAAGTCAAAGTCTTGACTCCCAACACCAATCTTAATTTCCCTCACCCAGGAGAAACCACTGTTAGGAGTTTGGTTTGTATCTTTTTATGTGTATCAATTTTTTACTATTCTCATAGCAGCTATCTCACAAGGTTGTGGATCACATCAGGGGCAATGTTGTGGAGAAGTTATTAGAAGACTGAAAGACAGCCAGCCTTAAGATACTCATAGGGAGGTGTTTCCTTTGCACTTAGCATGGTGCGGCATAGACCTTGCAGGTCCAGAAATAAATGAGCTCATGCTCCTCTCCACCCCTTGGCGTTCAGTCTCAATTTTACCTTCTTTCTTTCTTTTTTGCAGACTCCTTCCACTCAGCATATATGGATAAAACACTTCTTTCCTTGAACCCTGCATCTCCCTAAATTATCACTTCATCTTGTCTTTCCTGTTTATTTACAAGTTCCTTGAAGAAAAATCTGTAATTGCTGCTCCCATTTCCACCCCCTTCATGTACTATATCATCCTCAAACCCTGGCACCTGGCACGCCGTCTTGTGGCACAGAGTATCTGCCCAACGTCTCTGCTCAAGCTGTCCTCTCGGCGATGGGCAGGGCTTCCTGATTGTACAGTCTAACCTATTCAGTTTTACTTAACCGCTCTGTAACATTCAACTCCATTGATTTCTCTTTCTTCTCCCTTGGCTTCTAGGACAGGATCCCAGTTCTCCTCTTAGCTTTTTATATCATCTCTATTCTCTATTCAGGTTGCCTCTCCTTTGTCTGCTCTTGAACCGTGTTTTTCTCTGAGTTCTGCAGTCAGCCTTCTCCTCCTCCTGTGCCTGGGTAACAGCATCCTCTCTGGGAGCTTTGACCGCCATTCCTGTGCACACAACTCAGGTCTGTTACTTTTCCAGCCTTGACCTCTCTCCTGACCTCAGGAGCCATATTTCCAACACTCTGCTGGGAGTCACCAGCTCTGTGTCCCAGACAGACTAATAACTGCCCTCCCTTTCCCAAGTTGCTCTCTGGGAGGCCTCGCTGCTACGTGGTTGGCCATGCCCCCGCCCACCCAAGCTGTTCAGCTCATTGTCATCTTAAACGGCTCCTTGTCCAGCTCTGAAGCGCCACTGGCTCTCCTCATTCTCCATTCCACTCCCACTGGACCAGTTCAGGCTTCACTGTCCCTGCCATGGACGCTTGGCAGGAAGAGGCAGGAGCTTCCTAATTAGACTTCCTGCCTCTTCATTTTCTGTCTCTCCAGTCCGAATAACACTCGATGGTATTACTTCTGTATCATTCATGTAAAATGTTTGTTAGCTCTTCATTGTCTCCACAATAAAGTTCAAGGCTTTTAATAAATGTGCCACCAATCTGTATGTCCTGCTTCATCTTTCACTGAATAGTCTTCCATGAACCCTAAGCTTATATCACATCCATTTACAATTTCTTGACTATGTCATTTATTTTCCCACTGTTTATCGTACAGTGCCTCTCATATACTTCTGCATATCACTGTGATCTTAGTCACCATCTGAGCTGTTGGAGACTATTCATGCTCTTCATGCCAAGCTCTGCCTCTGATAAACACCAGACAATGAGTGTTGGTTGGGTAGTCGATTGGTTGAATGGATGAATCCATGGGTACAGTTAAGGCTCAAATACCACTTTTCCAGTGAAAGTTGTCAGGATTCATACTTCCTCTTTAGCGTTTTATAGCACTTTTGTGTATGTGTCTGCAACAATAAAATAGCTAACATTTACCAAGCCCTTTCATGGGCCAGGCACTATTTTAAGTACTTTACTAGCAGTGAGTTCTTAGACACCGACAGGAATTAGTATCTACTAATACTAATAACAATAGGAATTAATACCTACTTTTTGTTTCTGTACTAATGCAAATGTAATTTTAAGAAGTGTTAAAAATATAGTTAATGTTTTCTCATGTGTCATTATTGAATTATTTTAAAACATGATACCTTACTTCTTTGTATGGTGGGCACACCGCAAGCATGTATGTATTTCCAACTGAAAATATCTAAAACATGCACTAGGGTCACATTCTCTTTTTGAAAAAATCATTAGCGGCCAACTACAGGTACATAATTATGGCAGAGAAGAGGGGAATCGCAACCTTCCCAAGGCTGCCAGTGACAAGTGAGGGTGACCTCCCAGGCCTCGTTGTTCTCAGTACACTGCTTCTTCAATCTGGCTCTCTCCAAGCGCATTTCTAAGAAGATAAATGGAACATTCATTTACAGCAATTTATGATCAAATATACAAGTCAGCAAACTGCCTTTGTGGTAGAATAGGCATATCTTTTCTAAGTTATTCAGCTTTTCTAAGCTGAAAAAGCAGTTTATATAAATTCTGTCTTGTTTTGGCATTTCCTTAACTCTGTTTAGGTTTTCTTCTTAGTGACAGCATTTTTTGGAACTGGAAATATAGCTTCTGTTAACAGGTAATTTTAAATAAAAATAGCATATGTATGTATGTGTGTGTATGTATATGTATTTATATAACCAAAAAGTAATACGATTGGGTTTTTGTACTTGCTTTTTATACTGAAGGATATATTTTGATGATTGGCATGTATCAGCACAGACCTAACTCATTCATTTTATCTACTTTAATTATTTATTTTTTTTATCCTCACTGCAGTACCCAGGACATGCTTAGAGAGGGGAAGGGAGGAAGAGGGAGAGAAACACTGACTAGTTGCTTCTAGTACATGCCCCATAAAACCCAGACATGTGCCCTGACTGGGAATCTAACCTGCAACCTTTTGGTTTATGGGACAATGCTCCAACCAACTTGAGCCACACTGGCCGGGGCTTAACTCATTCCTTTTAGTGGCTTCATAATATTCCTTGATATAATGTATGCTTTGTGTTTTAGGAAGTATAAATTTCAGAAAATTCATGTGAACATCCTTTTTAGTAGACATTCTCTTAAAGTTACAGTGTGAATTCTAAAATTTTTTCTTTATGTTGGTTCCTTAGCTTTGATCTTGCTTCTGTCTACTGCTTTCTGACTGTGTTCCATCCTTTTATGATGGGAGCTCTGATGCTGTGGAAGGTCAGTTTTCTTATTTTCTTAAGATACTGATTAATATGATGAAACTCATTGTAACATTAATATTTTGTAACGTGACATTAAGATTATATATAGTCTTTGTGACAAAGTCAAATAGCATGGAAAGAAGATAGCTCATCAGATACTGTGGAATGGGAGGTGGACCCTCTCGCCTTTATTCCACAATATAACTAATCTTTTTGCTTTACTCTTAAGCTCACTAACCTCAGAAGAGCAGAGGTTCTATGTCAGACCCAGGAAGTGCTGTCAGAGGCGACGAAAGCCTATGGGGAAGTGCAGTACCGATCAGAACTGCATAAGGTTCCCCCAGCCTCCGCTCCCAGCCCCGAGACTGTCCACATGTTACAATCTTTTCTCATAATCCATGGGCCTAGGATTGATTCATTCATTCAGTGAAGGTGTCATCAACCACTTACACTCAGTAACACTCCAGGCACCAGCTAGGTGCTAAGGATACCAATACGATGACTAATGATCAGCTTATCACGGGTTCATACTCTCTGGTGGAATTTAATTCATGTGCTTTCCTGTTTTCTCTAGGGCCATTGTGCTCGTCTTAGTCCCTCCACCATAGTGCCTGGCACATTTTACATAGTCAGTTCAATCCTCCCTTAGAGTCCGAGGGGGACTGGTCCCAGGACACCCTTGCTACCCCCGTGGGTACCAAAATCCATGGCCCTTATGGAATGTGGAACATGGTATGATACTTGCGTATAGCCTACACACACCCTCTTGATTAATTTAATCATCTCTAGATTATTTATAATACCTAATACAGTGTAAGTGCTGTGTAATTCGTTGTTACAATATTTTGTTTAGGGAATAATGACAATGAAAAAAATCTACATTTTCAGTACAGACACAACCATTGCAGGCCTAACTGCATAGTGGACGTCAGCAATAATGGAACTTTTTTCCCCAAAATATTTTCAACCCATGGTCAATGGAATTTGTGGATACAGAGGGCCAGCTGTATATATTTGTTTGAATAAAGTAACTAATATTGGCCAAAAAGCTGATTGCACTCTGTTCAGATCACAGAAGTAATAATTGTTAAAAGTACATATCTCTTAATAGGATTAATACCTTTTTTGTAACTGCACTAACACAAATGTAATTTTAAAAAATGTTAAAAAGCTGTTCATTAGCTCATATTCCATTTATTAATGGATCATTTTAGAACATGATTGCTTCCTTAGCCTCAATTTACATTTTTTATAATGGTAGTTTTTTTTTCCTCAGTCTATTAAAGACTATGGGTCTTTAATTAGAAACAAGAAAAAAAAAGAAAAATGAAAGTCTAGATTAGAATGCTCGATTGTAACCCTCTCTCCTAATTCAGTGAGCTTTACTGACGCAGTACACTCAGTGACCCATTTTCCAGATGTGGCTAGAAGTGGAGGTCTCCCTGAACTTTTATTCTCGTCATATATCCTTCACTTGAAAATGAATCTTATGCAGTCTTTTTTAAAAATCCTTACTTACCTACTTTCAGAGAGAGGGGAAGGAAGGGAGAAAGAGAAGGAGAGCAACATCAATTGGCTGCTTCCTGCATGCTCCCAACCGGGGACCTGGCCCGCAACCCAGGCACATGCCCTGAGTGGGAATCGAACTAGCAGCCTTTCAGTTTGCAGGACAATGCTCCAACCCAGTCAGCCATGCTGGCCAGGGCCTTATGCCATCATGAACATGTCTTTTCCATATCTTCTCCCTCTCCTCCTTTTAAAAATATTGTGTGTGTGCGCGTGTATTTTTTTTTTATTGGTCACTGGAAACAGTATCTCAGAATATTACCAGTGTTAGCTCTGGATTATGGATTTTTCAACCACTATAAATTTTATTATACTTTTTTTTGTATTTTACACATTTTTTACAATGGGTATGAATTTTATAAACATAAATAAAGTAGTATTAAATATAAAGCAGCTAAATCATGTTTATGGAGTTATAGTATTAAATAACCAGATAGGTTCAGGGGTCTGTGAATCAAATTATAAGGTGCCATAATTTATTTGATTTGGCCATTCTGTGCCCTTCACACCCTCTTGAAATAATTTGAACATGGTCATTAATATGAGTTAAGAAGAACAAAAAATTGTAATAGGTTTTATTTGGAATGTGTGTCGATGTGTGTTATTGTTTATACTACATGAGCTATGATGTAGATTTTAGAATCATCTTGACTATTCTACATGTCATTAGTATTGTGGTTTTATGTCAGCATTTACTGTTTACAAATAGAGATGAAATTCATTTGAGGAACCGAAACATTTCTATAAACAGAAATAACACCTATTTCAAAAAGCTTTGCGAATGCTCCAGCATGGCATCACTTGCTGTTCTTTTAAACAGATTTTAATCCCCTTCGTCCTTGTGATGTGTGCATTTGAAGCCGTCCAGTTAACTACTCAATTATCATCGAAAAGGTAAGGTGAATGTTTAAGAACCATGGGGTTTGCCACTTTTTGGAAATGAGAGTAAGCATTTGAGGATATTTCATATGATTGCTGTTAAGGCACTGTAACATAGATGGTTTGTTACAAAAATAAGAAAAAAAAATACTTCAGTCTTTAAGCAGAGTTCAGTTTCCTCAGAGGAAGTCAGTAGATCAGAGCCTCTAGGAGACAAATGTGCTTTCTCAGCCCTGACATGTTATTAGACTATCATTCAAGCTAGTGAAGAGCCTTCTTACAAAACAGTAAAACCCAAATGTTAAATTACTGTAGTGAACAACTCGTACGTTACAGATTTAACTGCGCCTACAAAGCAAACGAGGGCTATCATTCTACCTGTTGCGGGGAGGCTTATTTCTTAAACATGTATTAGATTAATGTGTTAGGATTATTTCGTTTTGCATGTTTTAGAATTAACTATTCTAAATGTCAGTAATGTCCGTAGTTTCTCAGTCTTGGTTTCTGCGCATTCGACAAACAGAACAGAAAGCGCCCCTCCTGGGCATGGGGAGCCTCTGGAGCGCCAGCCTTAAGCGGAGGGGCCTCTGGAAAGGGAGCTGTCGGCGCTACTATTGGTTTTTTTCCACCAATAAGACTGCTTCATCAGCACTGGGCTGATCAGCCTCTCTGAAAGACACTTGAGATAAATGTGAAATTTCTTAGCTGTTCTGTTATAATTGAATCAAACTGGCATATTCATTGCTGAAAGGAGTAACTAACATTAGCATAGATTTGCATGTTCTTGATGAGTTTAAGCTTGAGCTGGGTTCAGCATGTTATTATGCATGCGCCATAATAAAAAAACGTTTTTTCCTACTGCCTAAAAATAGTAAAAGTCTGATTTCTAAGTTTAATTTTGTATATTTTTCATGATATTTATATAAATGTAACAGTGAAAGCATTTATACCTTATTTTATTTATACCTTTACTTATTTTATAAGTAAAAGATACTTATAAAATAAAAATCTGGTAACTAATGGTACTTTCTTGCACTTATTAATGGATGCATTTTTTAGAAGAGATTTTAATTAATGTTTAAATAAAAAGAGCTGGGGACATATGGAATGAGGAGTAGAAGCCTCATCAAAATGTGTCTGTGTATGTGTGTCTGTATTTGTGTGTTGTGCATGCCAACACCTTGATCTTGACTTAGCCTCCAGGAGAGATGGAGAGAGAGAAGCATCGATTTGTTGTTCCACTCATTTGTGTACTTACTGGTTGCTGCTTGTATGTGCCCTAACTGGAGATTGAACCCGCAACCTTGGTGTATTGGGACGATGCTCTAACGAACTGAGCTGGCCGGCCAGGGCTCATTTTGATTTTAATGTGTTTGTCAAATGTGCCTGTTGTATTATGTATAATTTTTCTTTTTTTTCCCCGCCCTGCAGTCTTTTTCTCATGGTTCTCGTCATATCGGACATTATGGCTTTGGTAAGACATTCTTGGATACTCCGTATAAATAAGATTGAGAAGCTAGGTGCCGAGTTAATTTAATCAAGATAAATATGAGTGCATTTCTGTATGCAAAACCTTTAGATATTGAGTTATACATGCTTGAATCATTTGCACATATAAATGAGTTTCTTTTGATATGGCTTAGGCAGTAAGAGAGCTCTGGTTAAGGTGTCAAAAGTCCTCTTTCTTGATTTATTCGAATCTGTCATTTTATACCTAGTCCTCATTGGTACATTGGTCTGAAATGGACTTCCATAGGAAGTTAACAGAAAAACTAACTTTAGATTTAGGCAATACATTATTTTCATCCTTGAAATGATTTTTTTTTTTTTTACCTTTTTCTCAGACTGGAAAAGAAAGGAAAAAAGGGAGGGAGGGAGGAGAGGAAGGAAAGAAGAAACAGAGCTTTTCAAGTGGGAAGATGGTACTTTTACCCCTGCAAGTTCAGGGCGTTCCCAGAACTACCCTTGGGTTTAATAACTCACTAGATGGACTCAGAATTCGCTGAAGACTGTGGCATACACAGGTGTGGTTCCTTCCAGGGAAGGGACGCAGAGGGCAGGGCCCAGAAGGGTTCCTGGCGCGGAGCTCTGGCCCTGTTCTCCCTGAAGGGTCAGGGCAGCATTGCTCTTCCAGGATTTGTGTGTGACGAGAGAGCACTGCCGGCCGGGCCACCAGACCCTTGGTGCCCAGGCATTATTGGGGCTCAAGAGCGTATTTTTCCCATGGCTGACCTTTAATCTCCACTATTTGTAGAGGTAGAACTGATAACATGTGGTCCAAACCCCCCACAAAAATCACATTATTAGACTGTTCAGAGGCCAAGGCCGCCTAGGCAAAACATTCCTGATCGGGCATGACGGTCCAGAGGCCCAGAAATCACCTCTCAGTAGCTGAGGGCAAAAGACAGACCTCTCTTGGGGTACAGTTAATTCTTCCCTGCACAGCAGCCTGTGCTAGAACTAATTAGAGGCAGCAATTACGGCAACTTCTCACATCAGATTCCCAGTCATTTGATTTAGATGAGAGCATTTTTGTGTTGTCTTGAACTGGACGTTCAATGCAGGCAAACCTCAGAGATGTTGCGGCTTCAGTTCCAAACCACCACCATAAAGCGAGGATCCCGATACCATGGGTCATAATCTTTTTGCTGGTGGAGGCCATCTTACCTTCAATTTATTTAGAAAAAGAGCACACAATCTCTGAAGCACAATAAAACAAAGTGTAATAAAACAAGGGATGCCTGTGTATATCTGAAGTTGACCACACAACATTAGAACAAATCTGCTTTCAGTTTTGCCCATGAAGTGCCAAACAGGGAAGATATCAATAGAAGAGAATTTAAATTCTCTGATTTCATTGTTTCCGTACAGAGTCAGAATGCTCATTTAGCTTCGAAAGCGATTTGTGTCTGGTGTCGTCTCTCACCTGCCCCTCCTGTTTTCTCTACCCCAGCCTGGGACCTGAGACAAGTTCTGCCTGGACTGTTGACATTTATGTTGTTTACCTCCTCAGTCAGAAACAGACTTCTCCGCACAGCACCCCAGCCTCCTCTTTCACCTGACTCTCACTTTTTACTTGGATTTTTAGACTTTTTATTGGGGCAGCCTTCCCTTGTAATTCAGGTGGGGTGTGGGCCCCTTCCTCGGTGCCCCCACAATGGCCTGCATGTGCTGGCGGTCACACTCATCACACACATGCGCTTGGTAACTCGGCCAGATTGTTCATTAGATTATACACATCCTGAAACCAGGACCTAACACAGTGAGTGGTTAGCACATAGTAGGAGGTTAGGAGATACTTGTTCATGAATGGGTACTATGGCCTCTTTTCACTGAGGTCTTTGGTATTATATAATGCCTTGTATTAAAGTTAGTTTTCTTTAATTCTCATAATTCACAAATTTCACTTTTGTGTTGATTTGATTGAATGGTAATGCTATTTCTGGCTTTGAGATTGTTGCACATTTTAGCCCAAGTAGAAATTTCATTAAAAATCATTTTTTTTTTTTTTTTACTGATTCCAGTCCTATAGTGGTTCTGAGGGGTCAGAAATCTGAAACACATAATCCTAAAACAACATTGTTTTTTGACTGAATTAAACAGCCTTTCTTTTTCATGGAACCATATTTTGTTTTATTTTTACAGCATTTTTTCTTCCTGGTCAAGGATTATGGCAGCTGGCTTGATATTGGAACAAGGTATAGTACATATTCACACAGAAATTCTTAAGCATACAGGGGAAAAGTAAATTGATACCTGAGTATAGAAGATGCCAGTTTGATTTTTGAGGTAAGCATAGCAAGTGCCAATTATTTTAAGCCTCTGGGAGTGAGACCCACCTCTCCAGTTCTTGGCATTGATTGGTTGGCACATGTTCTTTCGGGATGATGTGTTCACAGGTGTTAAATGTGGAGCGGCCTGCAGGGCAGTGGGAAGGGGTGCTGCCCGAATCCGGGCGCTCGGAGGACAGGGCTCCGCAGTCCGTGTTCTCATCGTCTCTCCATCTCGCTTTAGAAAAACGAAATCATTCAAGTGATAGTGCGAATTTTATGTGGCAGTTTAAACTGCATGTAATCATTATCTGCCTCTTAGAGTCTAATATCGGAGCGCTTTAACACGCGATGCCTGTAAGGTTGTTATATACATAGGATGGTGTGAATGAAAAGCCAGGTTCCTCTTCATTGTGATTTGAGTGTCTGTGACTGCTGTTATCTGTTGCATTTCTTCTCTGTAAGAAGAAAGCACTGTTGATCCTTCTGCCTCTCTGTTTTCAAATGCAGTGGAAGACAGAATATATTTTTGTAGACTCATTTCATTTAGTCCATATTCATTCAGGTCTCGTGCGGCCAGGAATTGTGTGGGTCTGGGTGAGACCGTCGGTGTCAGACCATCTGCCGTCTCTCCCCGCCCCTCAGGGAGCTCTCGGCTTGTACCGCCTCACTACTTCCATCCTGTCCGCCTCCCCCATCTGATTTGAATCCCCTTGATTCCGTACGTGCTGGGCACCTAAAAGGTACCCCACAGATCGTTGACTTTGGTTTCATTACTCCTAAGTTTTGATGTCTCCTCACCAGACCTCTGATCTCGCTGTCCAAGCAGATAGTGGGTCAGAACGTGGGCTTTAGACCAGAGCACCTGGGATTGAACTATTTCTGCTACTTTTTAGCTGTGAGACCATCAGCAAGTGATTTCACCTCTCTAATCTCTCCCCTGTTTCTTGTACTCACTTCAAATGAATTAATCCATGTACAGCACTTAGCCCAGTGCTTGGCATTTAATAAGCTTCAATAATTGGAAGCTATTATTATCATTATTCTGTAGTTCTATTTTTATCCTTCATAATGTTTCTTGCATTTTCCATATCCCTCCTTACTCTTTCCATAATTTGCCTAATTTGTATTCACTTTGAACATAGGTCAGAATTTTTTTTTGGAAAGTAATAAAATACAGCATTTTTGCGTGTGAGACATTTTTACATTTAATTGTGGTAAAATATACATAATATAAAATTTACCACTGTAACCTTTTAAAAACATACAGTTCGGCGGCATTAAGCACATTCGCATCGTTGCGCAACCCTCGCCAGGGCCCCTCTCCAGGCTCCCCCCGCCCGGCCGCTGAAGCGCTGTGCCCGCTGACCAACAACTCCTGCCTGTCCTCCGACCGTTCTTTCTCCCTCCTGAATTTGACTACCTAGGTTGCCTTTCATAAATGACATTATACAGTATTTGCCCTTTTGTGCCTGACTTCTTTGACTTAGCATAACATCCTCAAGGTTCATCCGTGTTCTTGCATGTGTCACAAGTTCCTTCTGAAACCTGAGCAACACAGCATTGTATGTATCTACTGATGGACAGCTGGGTTGCTTCTACCTTCTGGGTGTTATGTAGAAAGGTCCCATGGACACGGATGGGATACTTTTTGATGGCAGATTCTATATTGACTTGGCTCCAAGTAAGTGCCAAGGAATAAAGAGGATATAATTTTCCTATGTAAATGCGCATCATTAGTTTCTATGCAACATCACTAATTTATATTACACAAATGAAGAATTTTACTTTGAGGCTTTTCCTTCAAACTACAAATTTTACTGTTATTACCAGTAATAACATATACAAAACACAAAGCATTTTTAAATATCTCTGATCTAAATTCAATCCAACTAATGTGTACTGATTGCCAGCTGTATGTAGGGGAGTTGCTGGGAATGGTCTCCTTCAGGCTGGAGGAGGAGCTAGATTCCGGAGCAGGCGTGTGAAGAGTTCTCGGGGAGCCTCTTAGGTGCCATGGGGACATTAGTCAAGGCACCTGCCTCAGCCTTGCAGGGTAAGGGCAGACTCATCGAGGGAGGGACAGTTTAAAACTGCAGGTACGGGGGGTCTGAAAGAGCAAGCGGGTCACAAGATGTGAGGAGACTGCGTAGAGTGAGAAAGGAGGAAGGTCTAAAGTGGCACCGTAAGGAAACACTGGTATTTCAAGGCGGAGAACAAGAAAGGTGGAGAAGAGACTGCAAAGGTGACCAGAAAGGCAGGAAAAAGCCAGGTGAGCGTAGTATCGGGGACATGAAAAGAGCATTTCAGGAAGCAGAGAGGTCCCCCGCATGTCGCAGGCGGTGAAGCAAGAAAAGGCGGCGTGGCGCGGCGAGCGGGCAGCCGTGGCCACGGTCGCTGCGGGGCAGGATTTAGCAGTAGGCTGCCGCCCTGGGTCAGACCCGTCCATTTCCGGGTGAGGTCTCAGGCCGGAGAGCCTCGTTTTTCTTCTCCCTACCAACACACCAATAAAATAAACAAGACCAGCAAAAGTGAAAGGGTGGAAGAAGAAATGTCAGCAAGTGCGAGTCCAACCCATTCCTAGAAGACAGATAACTGGAGCGAGGAGGCAGGAGCCCGGAACCCGTCAGTGGCTACTGCCAAGGGGAAAGGGAGCCCAGAGCTCTGGCTCAGCCACACCGGAATGTGGAGCGTGGGGGCAGGGAGCCTGACGGGACTCACTGCCTGCCTGTCGACTGAAGCGTGGGTACCAGCAGGCTCTGCACAGCCCGCTGCCTCCCCGCTTCAGCCCCATTCAGAGGTGCCACAGGCATGTTACTGCCAGGGAAAAACCAAAGGACACCTGTAAAGGGACCGGGACAAAAAGGCCTGGGGAGAATTTCCCTGCTACGGTGTATCTGACTCTGCCTCAGAGGGAAGCTGTTCCATTCCAGCATTTGTGGCCACCACCTACCCTTGCCCCTGGCAGAGGCAGGCACCACTCCTGCTCGTCCTGAAATGTGACGTGGCAATTTCTTTGATGTACACACAGCTTGTTGGCAACTATCCTATTTGTGGGTGAGAGACCTAGAAGGAAAAGAGACGTACTTATGACCCAGCAATTCCATGACTGTTTACCCAATTGCAGGAAAAACATGTTCAGGGAAAAAACTCGTACAGGAATTTTCATAGTGCATAATAACACATAATTCTCAAAATAGCCAAAATGTGGAAGTGACCCCATGTTCATCAGCACGTGAGTGAGTACATGAATTGTGCTATATCCATACAATGGGATACTTCTTACCATTAAAAAGAAATGAACGACGGATGAGCTCAGCTACATGGGTGAATCTCAGAAACTTTATGTTGAGTGAGAGAAGCCAGGTACATAAGAGAATAGCATATTGTTATTCCATAAAGTTCCAGAAGCAGAATTAATCTGCAGGCACAGAAGCTGATCAGTGGTTGCAAGTATTTTCTCCTATAGGTTGCCTTTTTCCTTTGTTAATTGTGTCCTTTGATGCAGAGGAGTTTTTTATTTTGATGTAGTTTTATTTAGCTATTTTTATTTTCGTTACCTGTGCAAGCCATTGCAAAGCTTGCATTTAACACCTACTGTGACATTCCTCTTGCCACATGTGCGGTGCCTCCAGCCCTGTTCCTAGTGTTCCTTTATACAACTATTGTGGGAACAAAGTGCTCATCAGAGAGGAAATAACAGCCAAAAGAGAGGCTGCAGAGGCGTGAAGCATAGTGAGTATCATTCAGAGGAGATAGCGTGAGCACCACGCTGTAGGCTGAGGAGGCCATGAAGGTCCCCCTCTGCAGTGTATGGGCCACCAGAGAAAGGTATCAGCGCTCGTGTTGGTACTTCGTAGACTTACGATGCATAGAGTTAACACTAGACAGGGTAAAAACTGCTGTGGAAACATTTCGTGGTAATGATGATTTTACAGTTGGAGCTGCTCTATACCTACTGTGGCCATGTGTCTGGGGTTACCTGGAACAGCCCTGGCTTATGCCTGTTTTCCTGGTGTATTCATTGCACCCTCGTCTGTACGTTTCGAATCCGCAGTGGGTGGGAAGATTAGATAAAGGCATCACCGGCTGGTGGGTTATGTGAAACTTCTCTATTTCTCAGTCTCGGTGCTTCATCCCCATGGGTCCAAGGCCCGCAGGTGAACTGGGGCGCTTGCCCTGAGAGACTTCCTGGAGGCAGATACTGCAGAGGGTTGCAGAGTGCAGCTCTGCTTGTCAGCCTGTGGGGGGTGAACAGCCTGCGCCACTCCCCCACGTGCTCTCCTGGTCGGGTTCTGTCTGCCCTGCCTCCTACTGCCCCGCCCGAAGATGCCCCCTTAGGAAAGGAGGGTGGTCGCAGAAGGCAGGGCAGGGAGTGGGGGGCAGGGGTGGGGAAGTGAAGTGCAAGCTGCGGGAGTGAACTGGGCGTTCTCAAGGGGATCGCCCCAGTGCTGCTGCTGCTGCTGCTCTTGCTGGTGAGTTAGGGTTCTAGAACCTTCCTTTCCCATTGTGTCCTGCACAGCAGCCATGGCACACACCCCTCAGTGAGCCACGCGGTGCAGGGCTCAGGTTACACGTGGTTCACATGTCTTCATGAGCATGTAACCAACTGCCAGGGAGAGGCTTGGACAATGGGGGAGAAATGCGCTTTCAGATTCAAAAACTAAAGCCCTGGATAATGGGATTCACACATATCAAAACTTTGTTGTACTTTTTCCTGCTTTTTATTTTTGTGAGAGTTGCTTTTAAATTTTCCTGTGTGGATGTGTATTTGAAAAGCTGAGATGCTGGCAGACAGTATCAAACTTGCTGCCAGTGTTGCCTCCGAGGGAGCTGGGGAACCTGAACTGGGCTCCTGCGCTTGTTATCTCTCTTCATGAGGATTTTATCTCCAAACTCTAGTAACACAGTTCCTAACGTGAGCCCTT